GTCTTTAGGGCCTTACATGGACAAGCACCATCTTATATTGGTGATCTTCTCAGTCCCTACACACCCAGCAGGTCCCTGAGGTCCAGTGACCAAAGCCTACTGGTTGTGCGGCACCAGGCAAAAGACCAAAGGTGACAGATCATTTGCTGCTGTGGCCCCCAGACTCTGGAACTCTCTCCCCCTGAGCTGAGATCAGTGGACTCAGTGATCTCCTTTAAAAAGCAACTGAAACTCACCTGTCCAGGCTGGCTTTGGTGTGACCTGTGCACCCTTATCTATCTTACTAGCTTCTTTTTCAGTTGGTGTTTCTGTGAATTGAGTATTTCTGGGCTCACTTGTTAACTTTCTTCATTTTTATTCTCTTTTTTCCCTTCGTTCCACTGTGGAGACCATGGACAGCTCCTTCAGAGGCAGACTGAGACATCTCAGATGTAAGACCTACTGTAGATTTTTCATCCCCTCTGCAGTAAGAGTGTATAACTCATCAGTTTAAGCTGCACTGGCATCATCCTGTTACACAATAACACCACTGCAATATTCAGTATGGGTTCAATACTCGTTCAATACTGGATTTACATAGTATTTCCGTGTCTCTTGCAGTATGTTGCAGTGTTGAAACCAGCTTCAACCCAAGTGTTTTCTTATTTATTCGTGTTTTTAGTGGTCGAAGGTTACAATACTAGACTACTGCCTACAGTATGTGTATACATGTACCTTTGTTATTATTTTTCTTCAAATTATTCTCTTAAGTGTTGGTGCTGCTGTAACAAGTGAATTTCCCCACTGTGGGATCAATAACATCTATTCTATTCAATTACATTATATTCTATTATATTTTAATCAGAAGGTTATAGGTTTGATCCTATGTTGTGTATTTGGGCAAGACACCTAACCCACATTGTCTGCTGGTAGTGGTCAGAGGGACTGGTGACGCCAGTATTTGGCAGTGTTGCCTTCCATCATAATGCCCCAGGGAAGCTGTGGCTATATTGTAGCATCACCACCAGAGTGCCAATGTGTGTGGGAATGGGTAAAAGACTGATTGTGTTGTGAAGCACTTTGGGGGGGCGGGGGGGGGGGGGGGGTGTAGAACTGTAAGAAGGCATTAGGTAATTTACCATTTAAAAAATCCTTTCTTCTCCTTCTAACCTGAGCTCTGACTAGCCTCTGCTCAGATTGTTTATGACTCTCGCTGGAAAACCACATAAAAATCAAGGGTCAGAGTTAATAGTAAAGGCTGGAGAGCAGGTCAGGCGTAGAGGATTAAGGCAACAAATGTGTGTTCACATGCTGGCCAAAGCAAGATCAGGACTAAAAGACAGAAGTTACTGTGATGAACAGAGGTAGTAATTCCACCAAAAACAAGAACACAACAACTGGAGTTTTGTTGAATGTGAAAAAAAAATCACTAGAAACAAGCACGGTAAGGTGTTAAACAGATGGAGTAACTCAAGAGGGTCCTCTGAGCTAAAGTGTGTTGACAAACCAGGCAAGAATAGTCTAAAAGCAAAGAAGGTTGATGTGTAAACTATTCATGTTATTATTTAAAAAAGAAATGAAAGAAGTGAAACATGTTACTTCTGTGTGATAATCAGATTTTTTTAATCCAAAAATGTATTGCTTTTTATACCATACGTCAGCATTTTCCAGTTTTGCACAATGAACACTGTAATAATTCTGATTTAACTACATGAAAAAAAAGAAAACTTGACTTTAAATCAATCACTTTTTTCAAATATGAACCATGTCTGACAAAGCCCCATTTCAATAATATAAACATGTTAAATTTGATTTTACAAAGTATTAATGTCTTTTTAATGATCTGGAATAAAAGAGTAAAAAATGGTAAAAAGCTTAAGATGTGTCCTTTCTCAATGTGAGTTTTATGTGAAGACGCTGTAACTGACTGCTTCCCTGAGTGGTTGTGCTCTGTGCTGCACAGTCTGACCCTGACATGTTTCCTGTTCACTGGACGCTGCCAAAAACACAAGAGACCTTCCCATCATGCATTTGGGGGGAGGGGGGGGGGATTAATGCTCAGAGGAGGAGGGGGTTTTCGAGAGGAAGGAGGGGAGTGAAAAAAGGAGAGGCGAGTGTATGATTCCTCATGGGACCGAAGAGGGCGGGGGGGGGAGGAACACAGCAGGGGGGAGGCAGACAAAAATGAGAGAGGAGGAGGAGGTGCAGCCTCAATCAGACTAGATCAGTCAGCATATCTGAGATTATCCAGTTAAATCTCAACTGAAAGAGTTCTCCAGAGCAAGTGTTCAATGTTTTTAGCAAGCTGGAGGTATAGTCACACAGACGGTAATCCATTTAACTTAACACCACCTTAAACCAACTGTCTTCAGCCACGTTCTGCTGTCTGGGTGTCATTCAGCCGGAGAAGTAATGTGGGTCAGAGAATGTCTGACAGTCAGACTTTCAGACAGTAAGAACCAGGTCCAAACCAAACCAGGAAGTTATGGTTCAGAATAAAATAACTAGACAATACTGGATCACCTTAAAACTGAACAAAAATAAACAAAAAAAATAAATATCAAAAACAGCACTGAGGCTGATCATTCCACCTCTCAGTTTCGGATTCTAGCAAACAGTCCTGCATCAGCTGGGACATAATACATATGGACCAAAGCCGACTTTTATGGTGATGTGTTACGAAGCCGCCAATATTTTTCAACATCTGGGCATCTTCTTATTCATTTTCAACAACATTTCAATGGATATTTCCAGAGATAAAAACTACACATTGTCTCTTTAATGTGTGTATACAAGGAAAAAGTTTGTCAACCATTGTTCTAATCCAGCTAGTTAATATTCAGAACAAAGAAGTCCAAGAATGAGAGTTCTAGAAGGTCTGAACCATTTATTAACTCAGCAAGATATTTTCTGGTACAAAAGCATTAGATTTTATTGACTCTGACTGACTGAACCATCCTTACATTCACAGGTTTGAAGCAAAACTCTGACAAGCCACACAAAGCTAAGAGCACAATATCTCTAACCTCCTGACTTAAACCAAACGTACATTAATTCAACATCCTTAATGTACTTGGTGATGGCGCAATGGAAACAATTCCTAACCAACATAGTCTGCTTCAACTAAATCTTGGTCTGGATCTTCAGAGAAGGTTTTCTATGTTTCAAACTCTTTTGAGCAACTTATTTTATTTTCCAGCTGTTGTTTTGTTAAGTAGAAGCTTGGAGACAACTTGCTTGGGCAGAAGAACTGAAACCAATGAGGCGAGGTGGCTTTATTGTTGTGGCTAATCAGTGTACGCTCTGCTCTCCCCCACTGGCCATATCTACTAATGCACCATGGTGGTCAGAGAAGCTTTTAATGTTGCATTAATCTAAAAAAAATTTTTCAACATGATCTGATGAACAACAATCCCATCATTTCAATGTCTTCAACATTTCTACAATATGAGAAATCTGAATAAATGTTTCAACAACATCATTTTGTAAATATACTTGGACTACTTTAGCTCAGAGTATACATCCAGGTTCAATATTTAAGACAGAAAATATTTTAAACCTTTGAAGACACAGAAGAGCTCTGTGTCAGTTCTCTGTTGTCAATCTTTCAGTTTGGATCAACAGACCCGACATCCAGAACTGGAGCAGCAGCTGAACTGGAACCACCTCCTGCACAGTCTGACATTTTCAGCCCAAGTGTGTTTGTGTGTTTACGAAAGGCTAGCTTCATGAAAAGGTGGTTAAATGTTCAGTTTTACATTAGCTTTGTTTTAATAGAATGTTTTGTTCTGACTCTACTTTTAAATACAATTAAGGAAAATGAGACTCACCAATAATTGGTAAACCGAGAATGTAAATCTATTTTACAAAGTTCACTAAATGTGATGTAAATCACATCTGACCAGGTGTGGCCAATTACCAAATACCCAATTATTAACGTACACACCAACAGACCAACACGATCCCAAATGTTGCATTTAGCAAAAGACCGGTCACCAGAAGGCCAGTTGCCAGCAGGCTGATCACCAGCATTCACACGCACTGAACCTGGCAAAAGAGCTTCTGCTCACTTAGCACCTTCAGTTCGGATCATGCTGCAGGTCGACAGGACAACGAGTACATTTCGTAATTTAAAAAAAAAATCTAAGCTAGAACTCTTGAGGCCAACTCCATGACATGTAACTGTTTCATTTAGATTGCTTCCAACTTTTTATTGATTTTTAACTATTTTACTATATTTTGTGTTGTTAATACACATGTTTTAACTGTGTAACCTTTCATTGTAACTGTGATGCTTGCTGCTGCCTATCTTGATCAGGTCTCCACTGAAAAGGGTTTTTTGAGTCTCAATGGGATTTTCTTCCTGGTTAAATAAAAAAAACAGGCCAGTCACTAGCAGTTACCAACAGAGCCTGTAAGAGTACTTTTTATTTCTTGTTTAGTGTTCTGGTGAGATGATGGGTCAGACCCAATCATTAGATATGTGTAGCTGGTGTAACACCTACACATATGATGACTTCTGTAACTGCCTTCTGAACTTTTATTAATAAAAAGAAAATTGATGACACTTGCGTGTTTCTCCTCCACATCGACCAGTGGTGTGTTTGTATTCATATGTGTATTTACAATGTTTACATTTAAATGAGTTACTTTAGTTTATGATTTTTTTGCCTCATATTCTCATCATATTTTCACTGCTAAATTTTATTCTTTCAATCAAAACTCTCACTGTCATCTTTGGAAAACAAATAATGTAACTCTCACAATAATTAAACATGAGTATGTTGCTTGTTCCTATTACAAATAAATTATTTTTTCCTTACAGAAATTAACAATTTCATCACAGATCCATGTTTGAATGATCACGAATGTTAATTCATTTCAGTGTCTGTTGGGCTGCGCTGACAGAATCATCACACAATAGGGCTGACATGTTGGTGTGAATATGAAACACTGATCCATCCATCAGGTTGGAGCTCCTAGAACACAGATCCATGACAGCCAAGAAAAACGTGAGTTACCTGTCGATGATGACGGGGTCCGATGGGGTCTCATTCCTGTTTCCACAGCTCTTCTTATCACAGCAGCGGCTAAAACGCAGAATGACAAACAGCTCCATCAGTCAAAAACTACAATCAGACTTCATTACTACACAGCAGATGCACCTGGATGCACAGGTGACACCTCCAATCCACGTATGTTCAGTCCTCTGATTTGCAGTTCTAAGACCTAAGTAACTGTTGCTTCCCCATCACAAGACTCAAAGATGTGTGTTTTTCCATGTGTGTGATAGTTTCTGGTGTGTGGTGTGTTTGATGAGTGTGTGTTGTTTTAGATGTGTGTTTTTCACGTGTGTTGTCTTAGGCATGTTTTTTTTCAAGAGTGCGGTGTTTAAGGTGTGTGTGTTGTATCAAGTGTGTGTTGTTTCAGGCATATGTCATTTCAAGTGCCTTGTATCAGGTGTGTTTTGTTTCAGTGGTGCAATTGGTTTCAGGTGTCTGTCATTTAGAGTGTGTTTTATCTGGTGTGTGTCATTGAATTCAATTCAAATTTAATTCAAAAATACTTTATTAATCCCAGAGGGAAATTAGAGTTTCAGTACACACAGTTCTGAGATCAGACATAAATACATAGACACATGACAAGAATTGGTGACTGTAGTCATTCGCAACCCGAGTCGCGCTACCGTAATAGATCAAGAGGGTTTATATGAGGATAGAGTCACGGGGAGGGGAAAAAAGGCACTTCAGAGTTACCCTCCACAGAGAGGATAGCTTTGCTATGCAAAAAAACACCTCAGACAGATATGCACACAGACTTCAGACATTACACAACATAAGTGTCCACTAGCTGGGGAGGTAGGGCTGGGACTCTCCTCACTTCAGTGCGTGCAGCCGCAAGAGCAGCGCTCATCACCTCAGTTTGGACAGGAGAGGTAGATTAATGGGTTAGAGGGCACAGTGACTCCTAGATACAGTTCCACGGCCTTCACCGGTCACAGTCCCGCCCAGGCTGGGATAGGTAGAAAGGGTTTGCATAGCGACAGCAACATTCCACATTTCTTCTGACGGGGGAGTTTTCACTTCAGCCTCACAGGCTTCAAGGGCACCAGATTCAGATAAGAACTATGGGACAGACAGAGATAAATTCCTCTCTGCCTTAGAGTTCTGTTGGTCTTCAGTGTGTTGTATCTGGTGTTTTCCCTTTCAGTCGAATCACTCGGTACAACGAAGGTAATATGGGACATCACGCCCTCCTGTGGGACATCACGCCCTCGTGTGACATCATGCCCTCATGTGGTCTGGCTGAAGACACATTTAATCATGCCTCTAAGGCAAATGAAAGTAACGTGGCATGGAGGCCCCGCCCTCCACTTATAAGCGACCGCGTCACCATCATTCCTCAGTTCTTACACTCTTCATCTCGCTGACTCCACACCTGAAAACTAGCTGCGCTATTGAAAAATAGCTTAACCGCTCACTGACTGGACTCTACTACATTCTGGCTAGCATTCCTGCCCACCTAGCGCTATCTTTTTTGGCTCTTCAGCTTCTCTGCTTTCGCTCCGCTGTGTGTGTTTTGCAATGAGCACTGTGTCGGATGTCGCTTCACGGAAAGCCGCTTCGCACCCCTGTACTCAGCGCTGTGGATTCTTTCTTCACGAGAAGGACCTACACGAAGCGTGCCCGGTTTGTCTGGGAATTCTCCATGCCAGGAAAGTGCTTGTGGACCTGGAGGTGTGCGAGTTCTGTGGCCAACTCCACCATCCCACGCTTGAACGGTGCATGAAGCTCCTACAACGTCTCCTGGGAGATGCTGCAGTTTTGCAGCAGGACCCTATGCCTTTCCATTCGGCCCCGGCTTCGCCCGGCTCTGACGTGGACAGCCTAGTGATCGATGTCCCCGCTGCTAGCTGGGCAGATCAGACGGAGATGGCTGACAATTTAACCAGACCAGACCTAGATGCTTCTCACTTTCCTCCTCTGGCAGAGGATGAAGGAGACATTTTAGACATTTGCCCCGATGGTCATGACTTACTCGAGCACGAGGATGTCCTCTCAGCGGTGGAGTGTTCAGCTCCAGCCGCTGCTTCAGCCTCCCCGCTTTTCTCCCGCTCTGCCGGCGTACAGCAGGGAGGCTAGAAGTGGACTGGTCCGCTCCTCCACCTGCACAAAAGAGCTCCCGCTTTTCTGGGTTTTACCTCCCCTCGGAACTAGCGGAGGTAAAGAACTTTCTGCCACCGTACCCAGATTTTGTGGCTGAGCTCACGGCATCCTGGGCCAAGCCGCTATCCACCCGCACCACGGTCCCGGGTTACGGTCAGTTTTTGGACCTCGATGGCGCAGAAATGGCGGGATTGGTTAACCTCCCTCCAATGGAGCCCTCTCTCGCGGCTTACCTGGCCCCGACCTGCAATAACGGAGTCAGTGGCCAAAGTAATCTACCCTCCAAACCATGCTGCTTCTCAGCTGCACAACTGGAGAAGATTTACCACGTGCAGGCCTCCACTGCCCGCGTCCTCAGCTCTTCCACATGCTCCAGACCAACCAAGCATTTTGCCTGGCGGACCTTGGAGCAAGGGTCCCACCCGACAGCGAACTGACCTCCCTCATCAATGAGATACAGGTCACGTCAGACTACATCCTGCGAGCTGCCTGAGGCGTTGCCCTGCTGTTGGGAAGAGGTATGGCCTCAACTGTAGTGGCTCAGAAACACTTGTGGCTGACCTTTCTAATGTCCCCGACAGGGACAGGGCTAACTACCTGGACGAGCCTGTCTCACCCAGTGGTCTGTTTGGACATTACCTTGACGCTATTCAAACAAAGTTTGAGGCCCAGCGGAAACAGACTGAAGCGCTACGCTCCATTATCCCCAGACGGGAAGGGTGGCGCACAACACCTGGGTCTGGGTCTGACAGGAAGAACCTGACCTCACCTCCTCTACCTCAGAGGACAGCCTCGCCAGTGGCAGTGAAGGGCTCAGTCCCAGCTCAGATCCCATATTTCCCTCCTCGCCACTCCGCCTGGAGTGAAGGCCCCCATGGGGACTTCTCGTCAGTGGCAGCTCCCCTAACTTCCTTGACCAGCCCCGCTTGCCCATTTGTTTGGTCCGAGGACTGCCAACATGTCTTCAAAAACCTCAAAGGTTTGCTTTCTTGTTTTCCAGTTCTGGCTGCACCTGATTTTAACTGCCAGTTTAAGCTGGACTTTGATGCCAGTGCACACGGGGTGGGAGCTGTCCTCCTGCAGGAGGACAAAGATGGTTTTGACCATCTGGTGAGGTAAACACTCTGTGAGCCGCAAAAAGAAACCTCAGTCGTCCTAATCCTGGGACCGACCATGTTCGGGTTTTGGACCCTGTTGGACTACAAAACCCCAGTTTTCTATGGTTGAAATGGACTGGTTCAGCTACGGATCAACCCCACATTCCAAAGAGACTTTGTTTACCACCCCCAGGGGATGAGAGTTGTACTGTTTGCAAAAACATGCACACAAATGTAATAAAGACTGCTGTTTGCATTCGACAATGTGTGGATGTAATGTGTCTCAACAATGCTTCTCGAATTGGCCCCATAAAGCTGCGTCAACCCGCTCCGCTGGTGAACGACAGCTCAATTTTCACATCATATCCTGTCTACAATCGGCCTCTGTGGGAGCGGGAAAAGCTGTGTTCACCCACTCTACTGGAGAACAGCAGCTTTCCTCCGGTGGCAGACATGATGTTCAGAAAGCCTCCCGTTCCGCCAGAGGGCAGCAGCTCCCCCACCAGTGCACTGAGTGGTTGCCTCTTGGCGAAACTTCACCTCTGGCGAGCATGCGCAGTGTCCCTCTGGGTCGAGCGCACAGTTGCCATGGGTTACCGACTCTGCTGTGCAGACATGTGTAAATACCAACGCTGCGGTCATGTTACGGGAGGAAATTCCGACTCTAGTGTTGAAAGGAGCTATTCGAGCATTCCCTGTCGAGGACACAAACAAAGGTTGGTACAGCCGCTACTTTGTTGTCCCAAAGAAGGGGGCCGGACTTCGCCTTATTTTGGATCTGCATGTGTTAAACAAGTATCTGCGCACGTACAGGTCCAAAATGCTAACACTCAAACAGCTACTGGATACAGTCAGTCCCGGAGATTGGTTTACTATGATCAATCTCACAGCTGCTTATTTCCAGGTGGGAATCCATCCCGATCACAGGCGGTTCCTGCGCATTGCTTTCGAAGGGAAGGCTTACGAGTACACAGTTCTGCCTTTTGGGTTAGCTCTAGCGCCCCGCACCTTTTCCAAATGTGTGGAAGCCGCACTAGCCCCCCTCAGGGAGGAGGGCATCTGGATCCTCGCTTACCTAGACGATTGGGCTCTAGTAGCGAGTTCCCGAACACAGGCAGAAGCTCACACTGCACGGGTACGTTCCCACGTTGAAGCCCTGGGGTTTTCCGTGAACTACAGAAAGAGTTCTCTAGTTCCGAGTCAGAGTTTCTCCTTCCCCCGGGCTGGAAATTTGCTCTCGGTCAAGCAGAGCGCGCCTCCGGACCAGCGAATAGCCACGCTACGCAGCTGCTTAGCACGCTTTCAGCTGGGAGCTAGACTGACACTCCATACAGCTCTACAGCTGCTTGGGATGATGGCTTCCTCCATAGCCGTGGTGCCTCTCTGACTGTTAAAAATGCGACATTTCCAGCATTGGGTCCTCTCTCATCATCTCCATCCTTCACGCCATCTCCGCCGGAGGTTGACGGTCACCAGAGCCTGTATGGTAGCTCTCCTCCCATGGAGAGAACCAGGGCTGTTCTGCCAGAGTTCCCCTATCGGGAGGGTGTCAGAACGCATAGTGGTGACCATAGACGCTTCCCTCAGAGGCTGGGGGGCTCTGTGTGGGGGTTTAGCGGTGAGGGGGGTACGGTCCTCGACCCAGTCAAGGTTCCATATCAACTTTCTGGAACTGTTAACCGTGTTTCTGGCCCTGAAACACTTAAGTCGTCACCTGAGAGGACAACGTGTGCTGGTGTGCACAGACAACACAACTGTCTTCCTCTTCTGAATCTGACCCACACATTGCTGCACTGGTGCAATCTGAATCTCTTGTCTCTCAGAGCAGCATATGTCCCCGGGTACCTCAACCACAGGGCAGACTTGCTCTCCAGGGGCGGACCTCTGTCAAAGGAATGGAGGCTCCACCCCGAGGTGGTGTCTCAGATTTGGCTGAGGTTTGGCAGGGCAGTAGTGGATATGTTTGCGTCAAGCGCAAACACACACTGTCCCCTGTTCTTTTCCCTGATGGATCAGACTGCTCCAATGGGATCGGATGTTCTGGCACATCCTTGGTCCAACGTTCTCCTCTACGCTTTTCTGCCAGTGGAACTGATTCCAGCAGTAATGGAGAGAGTGCGCAGGTCGAGCAGGTCTCGGATTTTGGTGGCCCCTCAGTGGCCCACAAAGTCTTGGTACCCGGAGATCATCAGTATGATGATAGCGCCCCCCCCCCCCCCCCCCCCCCACACACACACACACACACACACACACCCACCCCCCATGGAAGCTCCTCATCAGACAGGACCTTCCGTCACAGGCACAAGGGGATGTGCTGCACCCTCGCCCCCATCTGTGGAAGCTGCAGGCCTGCTTACTAAAAGGTCCAACCTGTTAGCTAAAGGTCTTCCCCCGGCTGTGGTGATTGCTATTCAGAGCTCAAGAGCATGCTCCACTCGATCAGTATGAAGCTTCTGTCTCATAAGACGGCTCTGCTCTTAGCCCTTGTATCGGCTAAAAGGGCGGGAGACCTTCATGCTCTTTCAGTTCGCCCTTCCTGTCTGAAAATGTCATCAGATGGAGCTAAGGTCACTCTGCATCTGAATGCTGCGTATTTACCTAAGGTGATCCCGCTCAACTACGGTTCCATGACCATAGAGCTTTCAGGCTTCAATAGTCCTCCTTTTGCCTCTGAGGAGCAGAGGAGACTGCATTGTCTGTGCCCGGTTCGTGCTCTGCAGGCTTATATAGATCGCACTCGGATCAGAAAAACAGACCAACTGTTTGTGTGTTTTGCCAAACCCTCCATGGGTAAAGCTTTGTCAAAGCAAAGACTTTCTCATTGGATTGTGGAGGCCATTTCCCTGTTTTACAGCGTCACTGGCTCCCAGCTGCCACTAGGGGTCAGGGCACACTCTACTAGAGGTGTGGTGACATTTGCTCAGCTGCAAGCTGGGCTACACCCCACACCTTTGTGAGGTTTTACCACTTGGATGTTTTGGCCCCTTCAGTGGCCCATGCGGTTCTCTCTGCTGGATCTGACTTGCCATCTTAGGTTGCAATCTCAGGCCAGGTTTGATAGCTGCTCATGGGGCGTTTCAATAAGTCCCAAAGTACCGTCGTTGTACCAAGTGAATTGACTGAAAGGGAACGTTAGGTTATGCATATAACCACTGTTCCCTGAAGGAGAGGAATGAGGTACAACGCAGGGCTGCCCCATTTCACAGCCCAGCTCGGTGAAGAGCGGCTATCGAACTGAGGAATGACAGTAATGCGGTCGCTTATAAGTGGAGGGCAGGGCCTCCACGCCGCGTCACTTTAATTTGCCTTACAGGCATGATTATATGTAGCTTCAGCCAGGCCACACGAGGGCGTGATGTCCTATAGTACCTTCGTTGTACCTCGTTCCTCTCCTTCAGGGAACAGTGGATATTTGCATAACCTAACGTTTTGTTTCAGATAGAATTAAAGAACATTAGAATAAACTTTATCGATCCCACAGTGGGGAAATCCCCTTGTTACAGAAGCACATACACACAATAACAAAGGTGCATGTGTGTATATGTATATATATATACACACACACACACACACACAAAGACAGTAAGCTAGTATTGTAACCTTTGACCCCTAAAAACCACAAATAAAAAAATTTTGAAAGATGCACGTTATTTAGAGCGTGTTGTTTCAGGTGCATGCTATTTGAAGTGTGTTATTCTGAATGTGTTGTATCAGGTGTGTGTTATTCAGTTTGTGCTGTGTCAGGTGTGTTCTGTTTTAGTTCTGTCTGTTGTATCAAGCATGTGTTGGTTCAGTTATTAAGTGTGTTGTATCAGATGTGTTCTGTTTCAGATGTGTGTTATTCATAGTGTGCGTTATAAAGTGTGTAATGTTTCAAGTGTGTGCATGTATTCTGTGTCTGGTGTTTCAGGAGTGTGTTGTACAGGTTCTGTGTTATTCAGAGTTGTTGTATCGGGTTATTCAGTATTCTGGATCAGGTGTGTTTTGTTACAGTTATGTGCTGTTCCAGGCAGAGGTGAGTAGCCAAAGACTTTACTCAAATACGAGTAGCAGTATTTTAATAACACTTTAATTAATTAGAGGTAAATTTCTGTCAAACATTAATCAAGTAAGAGTAAAAATTTAATCAGATAGTTAAACATGTAAAATCATCTGCAGAGTCCCATGGATAATACGTCACTAACATATGAAGGCAGAAGAAACACATTTCCAAGTGGCTCTTATTCACACAAAAGGACAGAACCATGAGAGATCCTAGGTGTGTTCAGCTGTTCTTACCTGCACATTATTTCATGTGTGAGCAGAACTCGGCACATCTCTGGGTTCTTGTCCTGGCCTTCATAGATGATGGCCTAAAGCACACACACACACACACACACACACACACACACACATAGGTGTGATGATCTGTACTCGGGTGAAAAGACACACCTGTTAAACCTGCAGCTCAGCTGTGAGGGTTTCAGCTCCGCCCCTTCACTCATCTCAATTAGGACTCATTATTAGTGATTAGTGTGAATGAAGTGAGCAGGCAGGACGAAGGGCAAACATTTGATCCTCTGAGTGTTTCATTACCGCTGCGGCCTGCAGAAACTCACTGAAACCAGCTGGAACCAAATGCATGAAAAGCTTTTTTCACAAAGAACACATCACACAACAGAGACAAGTGTGCTCGTTAAACCGCTCTAATTAAATAACTCGTTGAATTTAAATGCTGCTGATTTCCATTAGTGTCACAGCAGAAATCAGACAGAGGGGCAGGCTGCTGACAGAGCGCCTGCTGCCTCGTACTAACTGCTCCTGCCAGCGCCCTCTGTGGGCGGGACTAAAACCTCCTGGTTGGTTAGACCTGCAGGGTGCCGCTGCAGGCATCATGTTCTCACAAGGAAAAGTTCAGATGGGAGAAAAATACTACAAAAAAGCTTTCTCTTTGTTTGTTGTTTTATGAGACCAAAAATGCACGTCATCCTTGCTCTTGTTAATATTCATCCATTTAGTCATCCACCTAATTACAAACACCAAATGGTCATATCTACTAAAATCATGGGAACTGGTAATGACTAAATTAACTCAAGAGGCTCACAGATCTGTGAAGCCCCCACAGGACGGCCCTAACAAACAGATTGTCATCGCCTTGTGTGATGCTTGTGATCCTGCAGGCCGTGACTCCTCCCAGCAGGTGGAACAAACCACCTGCAGCGCGGACAGATTGGCGTTTGTGCTGCTTCAGACACTTGACTTTTAGTTCCATCACAGACAGGAGCAAGTTAACGTGTGCGTGCATCCGTGTGTGTGTGTGTGAGAGAGAGAGAGAGAGAGAGAGAGAGAGAGAGAGAGAGAGGCAGAAGCAAGAGTGAGGGACCAATAGGATGAAGTAGACAGTGTGTATTTGCTGTGGATGTGAAACTGTAACGATGTGAGGTGCTCCGTGTGAAAGAGCAAGATGAAAACACACAAACGTAACAGATGCTTCCAGTTCGTCTCTGATCACAGATTCATTATGAGCTCAAACACGAACAGCTGGTGGTTTAAACACACACACACACACACACACACACACACAAGCATGCACACACACCCGTGCACACACACTATCTACGCAACAACACAAAATATCATTAACAGTAACTTACAAAATTAATTATAGAAAAAAATCTAACATATACAAAACATTTACCCAACAACACCCGTGTTGTCCTATACACAATAACACAAAGACAGATCACTTTTCCACACAACCAAAGGCAAAGATCCACAAAAACAGAACACACTGCAACACACAGCAGTCGTGTTTGTTCTGACTGCAATGTTGGCCTCACAACAACGCAATATTAACAACAACAAAGGGCTGGGGTGTGGGTAAAGGTCGGGGTCGGGGTCTGGCCGATCCTGATCATTATTCTGATCCTGATTTTGATCCTGACATGGATAATGTCAAAATGCAACCATCTATTATAATTAAAATTATCTGGCTGAAGATTTTTGAGTTCACATGTCTGTTTATGGAGGAGGAGGAGGAGGAGGAGGAGGAGGAGGAGGAGGAGGAGGAAGAGGAGGAGGAGGAGTGTTGTTCTGTCAATGCAGTGAAACTAAATGTAACAAAGAGTCAACCTAAGCAAACCACCTGTTAATGTTAATCTGAATTTCTTAATTTCAATAATCACTAATCAGAGACAGATTTGAGTTGTCTTTGTGTTTCTTTTGAAATGTGGATCTGAATCAGTTGATTCTGCTGATTTCATTCACAGACAGCTCAATAATCAGTGCCTCACCTGTTTGGTCATGGAGTCGATGAGGCGGATGTAGAGGTCCTGCTCCGTTCTGACGCCTGCACACAAACCAGCAGCTGTTACACCCTTAGTGTGTTTCTGTTACAGGTGTTGGACCAGCAGCTGTTATTCTGAACATCTCAGCTACTGCGTGGGGTAAAAAATGCACCCACCATTGCTGTAAAGAAGCTGCAGCTTATAGTGAATCCCGTTGTTGGTTTTCTCTCCGCTTGGCTCCTGAAACAACAGAAGAAGAAAACAGACGCCCACACAGAGTGTGTTCGTTTTCTGTCATCTGATCTGATCTGGAGTCTGATTTATGTTATCAGCTGATTTGTGGGTTCAGGTGACCTTCCTACCAGATCAGAGTTTTATTATTGATCAGCTTTAACTTGACACGACAAAACCTGAACCTTCTCTCTATAACTGCTGGTTCAACATCAGTGGTCCTTTGTTCATTCAGATTTTCATCTTCAGACTCTGAATGCAGTTACACGATAAACATTTTCACTTATCGTGTTATGCTCTTCTTGCATCAGTTCAATATTTACATTTACAGAGATTAATATTTTATTTGTTTTTTTAATTTTTTAAGGAATCTTTCAGTTTCCAGAGCTTCCACACCAGGATAGTCCAGCAGACTTGGTTCAGCTGGGCAACGAACGCCCAAAGATTCTTCTGTCACTGCACCTTATAAACTGCCTGACCAAACTACCTGGGAAATGTTTCAACACATCTACTTATTTGAGGTTTTGTTGCCCTAAACAAGCAGATGGTCATGAAGGAGCAAAACATGAGGAGGAAGAAAACCTGGTCAGAACCAACCCATCCTCATTATTCAGGCATATTTACAGAAAGGGAAGTCTGGGCCTCTCGCGACCCGACTCCGGATAAGGGGATGAAAATGGATGGATGGATGGATGGATGGATGGATGGATGGATGGATGGATGGATGGATGGATGGATGGATGGATGGATTTACAGAATCAAACTATGGAGCCTGGTGACATCTGCACCTCCTCACCACTTCTTGCCGACCCGTCTTTATTCTGCTTTCATACATTTGCATAGAATATTTTTGTTTGTTTTTTTGTTACCTAAATGCTCTACATCACATCCTTCCACTCTGATTAGCTTATAGTTTTTTTTTTTTTTTTTTTTTTTTTTTTTTTTTTTTTTTTTTTTTGCTTTTCGTGGTGTAACTGAATCAGATCAGGATTCACTTGTTAGTGAGACCCAGGTTATCAGGTGGGACTGATTTCAACTGAGCTCCCACAACGGCACAAACAAGCAGATTACACAGAAATCTAACTCTTGTTGGCCCAAACAGCTTCAAATAAGCTGAAAACTCTGAGTTCAGATTAAAACTCTGAATGTCCTGTCTAGTTAGAGCTGTTGCCTTGCAGCGAGAAGGTCCTGGGTTCGCTTCCCAGCCTGGGATCTTTCTGCATGGAGTTTGCATGTTCTCCCTGTGCATGCGTGGGTTCTCTCCGGCATCCTCCCACAGTCCAGAAACATGACTGTCAGGTTGATTGGTCTGTCTAAATTGTCCTTAGGTGTGTGTGTGTGTGTGTGTGTGTGTGTGTGTGTGTGTGTGTGTGTGTGTGTGTGTGTGTGTGTGTGTGTGTGTGTGTGTGTGTGTGTGTGTGTGTGTGTGTGTGTGTGTGTGTGTGTGTGTGTGTGTGTGTGTGTGTGTGATTGTTTGCCCTGTGTGTCTCTGTGTTGCCCTGTGATGGACTGGCTCTCTGTCCAGGGTGTACCCCCGCCTTATTGCCCATTGACCGCTGGAGATAGGCACCAGCCCCCCCTCCCCCCCCCCCCCCCCCCCCCCCCGCAACCCTACATGGACAGATTGGGTTCAGACAAATGGATGGATGGATGGATGGATGGATGGATGGAAGGATGGATGGATGGATGGATGGATGTCCTGTGTAACTTGTTTGGGTTTCTCTCCTGTTAGGCTGCACACCGCACACATTGATCACCTTTAATGTGCTTACACATTGCGTTTTGGTCTTGTTCTGCTTGATGGGTTTTTTGTGTTTTTCTGTTCATCATAAAGTAGGTGTATTTGATTTGATTTGTGTTGCAGCTCCTCCCTGGTGAATTGTTCTCCCACCTTTTCTTTCTCCACAAAGTCGACATAGGCGGTGCGCTCGATCTCGACGGGCTGGCCTTGGCGGTCGTACAGCGCCAGCACAAAGTGAAAGAAGTTGGACTTTCTCAGGTTGGATGGAGGCTGCTTCTCAAAGTGAGCTCGTGCTAATCCCACCCCACTGAAACACGCACACACACACACACACACACAAAGGTCAGGACTGGGAACCTGAAGATTTGAGCAGGTGCAAAAACACTTAATTTTCATCTTAATCTTTACATCAGATCAAAGATGAGTTTAAACCAGCGTTTGCAGCTGAGGTTAGTGGATCTAATAAATTTGTTATTTTATTGCTGATGAAAACAATAAAAACATTTTTATCGATGAAACAACTGCTAACTGAACAACAGTAAATAAAATGTAAACAAAAACATTCAGTTGCTGTCAAACTAAAAACTTAACGTGAGTTTGCTTCTGGATCAAATGAAGAGCGGAGTGTAAATCAAACAGACCTCTGACAAACACACACACACACCAGTTAAGTTTCTATTGAGTGTGTGTGTGTGGGAGAGGGATAAATGTTACTTAATAAAGATAAAAACATGAACCCAGAGCAGCAGCTTCAGGCTAAATGAAATAAAACATCTCCAACCTGAGCACCGACGCACAGGCCGGAGTCACGACTGATTAATATTCATGGAGGAGAAGTCAAACTGCAGCTCCGACCTCGACTGTAAATCTGCTGCTCATTATAAAATCACACACAACACGATAAACGATTGTGTTCTCATTGTGTTTCAGCACAGAGCCGATAACTGATGCGTTAATATTTAATGTTCTACCAAAAATGTCTTACAGACGGCTACAGAAATAGAAAAGAATCAATTAAAAACTGCTGGAAGGCTGTGTAGAAATGTAAATAAATGAATTCATCATCAAACTGATTTAAAGAAATATCTATAAGATGCTGTTTCAATTTTAGAAAACGTTTCAAGGTCTTTTTAATCTGTTAACATTTCAGTTTCCTTTAAGTTTTTATAATTTTTGCCCAGAAGCAAAAGTAGTTTCCCTTATAATTTATAATTACAGAAATAATAAAATCAGGTGAATTGCTGTAATGATTGAGTTTTTCATTTTACTGGCTGCTGTCAAAAATAAAAGATACATACTGGTACATTTCAGTCTTTTCATTCCATCTCAGAAAAAGCATCTTTAAACACCATCTAGATGTTTGTTGTACTTTTCTAATCAGATGAATTTCATTAAACAAAGTCGATATTTTCTAAATCTGTTCGAGGAGCTCTATGTTAGATTTTTGTTTTCCTGAAGGAACATTTGGAAGTTTTATTTCTTTAATGAAAACTCCATTTTATTTAAAAAAATTAATAAATAAATATTCCAAGATTTTAAAATTACTTTTAGTCTGATTTCTCTTCAGGCTGCTGTTACTTTGACACGCTGACAGTTAGACTTGGGCTGTCTGATAAATGCAGGGGTTACAGATGTTTTGCAGAAGGTGTTGAACATTTTACTAATGGGTTACAGATGCTAAAAGTTCTCATTTTTGTAAATATTGGGGTTTTACCAGATGTGTTACAGATGTTTCAAAGATGTTGGGGGTGTTGATGATCTGCAGCTCAGACTCACGGTGATCCCAACACTTCATCGAATTTGTCCTCAGTTCGGTTGGAGACTGAAATAATGTCAGAGCTGCAAGATTTTAAATAAAATACTTTTTTATACTTTGATAAATAATTAAAACAACACGATTAGAATTTTTGGGGTTTATTCTGATGAAAAAGATGACCGGGGATCCTTGAAGAAAAAGTAATCATTAAAAAAATCTGATGTTGAAATTTAAAGTCAAAACGCCCACTCACAGATAGTATTTAAAATGTATTCAGCAGAGTAAAAGAGAGAAAAGTATTAATTGTTTTGTCAAAGAAAAAAATCAATAAACAAAAGTAATTTATTGAAGAATTTTTTAAAATATTTGTGTAACCTTCAGAAGTCTTAAATGTTTTTTTCTTGGATAACAGAATTTTACTTTTACTTTTATTATTATTATTTTTATTATTATTATTTTTTAAACATAACATTCATTAAAGATAAAATAATAACTATAATAATTCTGGTTTGAATTCTTAATGGATTTACATTAAAATGTTTCTTTTATACGCATGTTGTTGTTTTTTTTTTTTTTGTTTTTGTTTTTTTGCATTTCAACCCAGAAACATTTAACGTTGATCTGAGAGCAGATGACAACTAACTGCTGGGACTACATCTCCCAGAATCCCCCGGGAGTAGCGGAGAGTTTACCTCTGTGCAGCAGTGTTGGCGTCCACCACGCCGGCCGAGTGCATCCAGGAGCGAACGGCCAGCGGCTCCTCCTTCATGTTGGCTGTGGCCCCGCGGGGCAGGTTGTCCTGGATTCCAAACATCTCCAACTTGCCGTCACAGAAAAATCAAAAAAAAAAAGAGCACCAGAAGAAGGAGAAGAAAAAACTCAAGTCCAGCAGGAGTTCTATAGGACAAATTTGAACTTCAGGCTGGCCAACATTCTCTGGAAACCTTCAAAACAAGCCACTAATGAGAGAATAAAAGAAGAACGAGGAGCAAAATTACTGGGAAAAATTGATTACGGAAGAAAAACTCAGGAGATTTTGGTGTCTGTGGAACTTTCTTTTCTGTTTGTTAGATTTATTGCGACTTTTCAGAGAACAAAGGACAGAAAAAAACACCAGTGTTGAAATTTTTTACAAACTGTCAGCCAGTCTACATGCTGAAACCCACAGAGACAGAAAGAAAGGAGGAGGAGAAAAAAGAAATAAAATCCTCAGAGAAAACCAGAGGAAAAACAGAGCCGGCTCCGGACGGCAAATCGAACATGAGCAGAGAGGCTTTTTCTTTTCCCCAAAGAGAGGAGGAGAGAGGAGGAGAGAGGAGAGGCGGCCCGGGATGGAGGAGAAACTCTCAGCCCTGCGGCCCCACAGGACTGGACGCCAAAACCCAAAAACCCCACGGGTCTTCCTCTGAGTCCCTGACATCACAGCGTGGGGCGGGGCCTTACCATAAAGGGAGAGAGAGAGGGAAAGAGGGATGGAGGAGGGGGAGGGGGAGATGAACCAATCAGACAGACTGAGAGCAGGTGTGTGTGTATGTGCTGCTCCAACTCTCACCAGTCCCACCAGTGTGGGAACTGGTTTCTGAGGAAGCACCACATCCGCATGCACCTCTGTAGAAGTGTGGACCATCAGAACCCGACCTTCAGCTACAGCAGGACTCAGTCCAGATGTGTCACAGCATCTCTCCATCCAAACATCACTTTGGGTTCATTTGTTTCAAACGTGTCTGAATTCCATTTTGGGTCTGAAGGAACATCACAGCTCTCCTAGAAAACCCCAGAACACGGATCCATCTGCAGAAAGGCTCAAATTCCATGTCCAAAAACCAGAGAAAGTCCGGGTTGATCTGGGCCGTATGTTCTGGGCATACCTCTGGTGGTTTTGTGAAGCTCAGACAGGTCAGCCTTTGGTGTGACTAGCCACGATGTGACCACTGGTCATTGTCTATGAAGAGCAGATGAAAATCATTCACATCCAAATATGAATTAGACGTCAAAGCCAAGGTCAGAATCTATGAACGAGGATCTGAAGGAAGCTTAAGAACACAGCGTCCGCAGTCCTGCGTTCAAAAGCTCTCCGTTTTTATCAACAGGGAGCGACAGGAGGCTCCATGACAGAATTCCTGAAAGTCTCTGTGGAATGTGGCTTCATGGAGGCTGCAGGAAAATGTCCATAAATCTTCCAGAAACTCACCTAGAACCACAATCCAAATATTAGCTGGCAGGTCCTTCTTGTCGAGTCATCTAAAATCTTCTTGTGACAGCATCACAAAAAAACAATTACAGGAGGTATCAGAGCCAAACGGCTTCTTTTGTCTTTTTTGGAACAGAACCTGTCTGCTGCTCAGCTGATTACCTCCTAAGTGTCAGACATAAGTGAGTAACGGCGCTCCAGTCTTCTGGGGCCGAGGGCCTCCAAGGCTCCGAGGGGTGGACCGAGTTTGGACTGAAGAGCTGAAAACCAGCAGGAGAAGAGAGCAGAAGAGGAGGAGGGAGAAAACTGAAGGAGGAGGTATACATACTTTTATTCAGAGAGAAAAAAGGAACAGCAGAAAACAAAAAGAAGATATTAAATGAGTAAAAGGATGGGATTTTGTTCTGCAGTGATATGAAGAGAGGAATTTAAAAATAGAGCGGTGACAAAAAAGGAGAAGACCAAAGAAAGACTGGCAAGTTTTATTTTCTTTTTCCAGCAAGGAATCTAAAAGATGAAAGAACAGAGGAGGAAAATGTCTGGTGAGTGAAGAGAGTTGGTTTTTGTCTAACAAATCCAACAGAAGTAATCTGTTAGTTCTAATCGGACAGAATCTGGATAATCAGATGGTCAGCTGCTGTAACACACGCCGCCGCCGCTAATAAAAAGCTGTTAAGTCAGTTTAATGGATGACGGAAAGCGCTGAAAGATGGGAGACGCTGGGGGGGCTGTGTGTGTGTGTGTGTGTGTGTGTGTGTGTGTGTGTGTGTGTGTGTGTGTGTGTGTGTGTGTGTGTGTGTGTGTGTGTGTGTGTGTGTGTGTGTGTGTGTGTGTGTGTGTGTGTGTGTGTGTGTGTGTGTGTGTGTGTGTGTGTGTGTGGGAGGGTGCAATCTGGTTTTCAAATGAGGCTCTGTTCTTTAGGGATCAGTTCTTGACCTGCACGGAGGCAGAGGAGGAGGTAGGAGGGTTACCACGAACACACACACCAATGCACACCTATGTATTTAATTAATTACTTTATTGATTAATTGTTTATTGATTGATTGGAATGAGTGGGGAATGAGGAACACAGCTGCGTCGTTCCCTTTCACAGCTCTGCTCCAGCTGATCATCCAATCCAAACGTCTCCTAGCCACCATCCTAGGAGGGCACCTGCACACTCAAAGTAACATTTACTGAAAAGAATAGTTCAAAATAGAAAAAACAATGCTCCTTACGACCGGGGTCGTAGCATAACAAATTACAAGGGAAATATTTGTATGTGTCTTCATTGTCTTTTACCTTCAGACCTGTATTCTTACCATGTAATATATGATGTGTTAATGGAAACGTAAACTGCTTTTTTTACTACGTGTGACAGAAAAAGATCATTTGTCTGTCAATTATGTATTTGAAAATATGTATTGAAACTGTTGTTTTATTTTCTTTTAGATTAGGAATCAGAAGATACGTTGAACCTGAGTTTCCTTTCTGTTGCGCTGACTGATGAAAACGTTTCAGTCTGTTTGGATCTGCCAAAGGAACAAGAGGCTGTTTAAAGCACTAAACCATTGTCAGTTACAGTGAAACATGCTGATGAAGAGGAGCCGTTTGCAGCCATTGTCTAATTTGCTCTAATTTCCGTGAAGACAAACTGAGCCAGAGCCAGGGCCCCGTCAGTCTGCTGCGCTGAAGGAACAGATCCTTTCCATCGCTCCGCTGAACATATAAATTCACTTCTTATGAGCTGAAGATTTCAACAGTTTTCATGTTTTGTTTTTCATTTTGAATTCAAAGTACAAGAAGACCAGAACATCAGAGAACTAAAAAATATCCACCAAACATCAAATAAACACTTTTAGAAATCATATATTTCCTTTATTTATTGTGTTCAAAAGACAGAATTCAGTATTTGTTAATAAAGTTATTTAATTGTAATTTATCGTTTTATTTGCTTTCTGACTGACGAAAACTTAACTGTAATGGAACATGAAAATCTAAATTTATTCTTTATTTGATTTCATAATAAACCAAAACATGTATTAACCCAAAAAAATCTACCTTAAGAAAACATGAAATGTTTATTTGAGTTCACATCTGATATGATTTTAATTATTGTTGCTTCCCTGTGTGTGTGTGTGTGTGTGTGTGTGTGTGTGTGTGTGTGTGTGTGTGTGTGTGTGTGTGTGTGTGTGTGTGTGTGTGTGTGTGTGTGTGTGTGTGTGTGTGTGTGTGTGTGTGTGTGTGTGTGTGTGTGTGTGTGTGTGTGTGTGTGTGTGCGTGCGCCTGTGTGAAACAGTGCAAGCACTCAACACACACACATTTGCATTTAAATAGCAACATCAACTGAAGTCTGAAACGCCGCACCGGCGGGTTTCCCACATGTCACTGCAAAGTCAGACGGGCTAGCTGACACACACACACACACACACATTCATACCCTTGTTAGGACATGGAATTAACTTCCATTCATTTTTGAAGTCTTATCTAAACCCAAATACTAACTCTAACTATTATCCCTAACACTACCATTAATCTAAACTTAAACTCAGTTCACACCTCATCCTTAAACCCTGAACCAAGACAAACTCACCCTCTAAGGACCATAAAATCTAGAGGTCCTCACAAGGTTGATGATTACAAAGGTCCCAATTAGCTGATAAAAACAAGAGTACACACACACAGTTTAATCATGCACAGTTGTTTTGGAGATGAAGTCAGAGAGGCCAGACTGAGAGGGTTGGGACACTGAGGCTGAGGTGAAGCCTCCAGGCAGGAGGTTTAAAAGGAGACATAGGGATACAGTGAAAGAGGACATGAAGTAAACTGGTGTGAGAGTACAGGATGCAGAAGATGGGACAATATGGAGACAGATGATTGGCTGTGGAGACTTCTGATGGGACAAGAAGAGGAAAACGAATCTGCATTTTTCACTAAGTCGACTGTGTGTGTGTGTGTGTGTGTGTGTGTGTGTGTGTGTGTGTGTGTGTGTGTGTGTGTGTGTGTGTGTGTGTGTGTGTGTGTGTGTGTGTGTGTGTGTGTGTGTGTGTGTGTGTGTGTGTGTGTGTGTGTGTGTGTGGTTTGAAAGCCCAGTTTCATGTCAGCAGGTTCAATAGAGTCAGCTGGATTGAGAACTCCCTTGAGAACATTTAGGTAGCTTTGAATACATTCTTTAAAAATATTTTTACATGAAAACAAGAAAGTCTACCAATTGTCACAGTGATGCTGAAAGGTTATTGTTCTCCATGACAGATAGTGACTTTATTTCACACTAGATGAGCCCTTAACATAAAGAGAAAAACAAGATGAATTTGTATCATAAATATTTAACCCAAAGGCATCACAGCAGGAAATGTTATCTGGTATCAGTCAGTTTACTCAAGAATAATTCGTTAGCTAAACGCACATTTAAAAAAAACTGATCATTAAATCAGTTGTGATAATAATAATAATTATTGTTATTATTATTTTTATTATTATTATTATAAATACATTTTTATCTTAAATTACTTACATTTTGGCCTGTGTGTGTGTGTGTGTGTGTGTGTGTGTGTGTGTGTGTGTGTGTGTGTGTGTGTGTGTGTGTGTGTGTGTGTGTGTGTGTGTGTGTGTGTGTGTGTGTGTGTGTGTGTGTGTGTGTGAACTTACATTATTATTCTTTAGATAGAAAACAAATTTAGACCAAAATGTGGAACCAAGTTGAGTTAAAAGGCTTGTTTTAATGTTGATCTTACATCAGGGAACTTTCCAACACATGTATGAAACAGTTTTTTGTGTTTGTGTGAAAATAGTCATGGTGATGGCTTCTGTGGGTTCTGGTCAATCAGCTGAAACTGTTTTCTTGTTATCAGAAAATGACATTTAGTTAGTTAGTTAGCTCTTTAGCTGATTGTTTCCTGTTTATTTTCACTTCTTCTACTTCCTGTCTGGTTTTCCTTTGGTTCTGTTAGTTTCTGTGGAAATTCAACATTAAGAACATTTCTTCTTTAGTTTAGTTCCATTTTTTAAATTCTGGTTTCTGGTAGGGTTCTGTTGTATGTTATGTTTGCTTTGGTGTCCTGTTCTTTGCTTGGTTCTGGTTCTGGAGGGTAAGTCGAAACAAAAAAGCAGCAAACTGAAAATAAAACGAGGAAACAAAGCACTCGACCTTCAGCTGCAAATACAAAAACACTTTCAGTTTTGTGTGTGTGTGTGTGTGTGTGTGTGTGTGTGTGTGTGTGTGTGTGTGTGTGTGTGTGTGTGTGTGTGTGTGTGTGTGTGTGTGTGTGTGTGTGTGTGTGTGTGTGTGTGTGTGCGGGCGCGCGTGCGTGCGAAAGAGAGAGAGAGCGAGAGGAAAGAGAGGGACCACTGCAGGGATTTCAAGTTGTCCCAGTTCAGGGAATTCCCTCTGTCCCAGCAGAGCGCCTGTCAGGTGGAAAAACAGCGCCTCCAAGTGGACGGAAAGGGAGAGTCATATGTGATCAGAACTTTAACAGTGCAATCCCGGAGACTTGGAACAGGAATGATGTGATGAAGAGGAAGAGCAGCGATGAAACAAACACAAGGTTGTGATTTCTGAGATCTGTTGGCTTTTTGTAACAGATTTTAAACTCTAATCAGATTGTTTGATTCATAGAATCAGAGAGAAAATAAACAAACAAAGAAATGATTCCAACCCAAATGATGAATGTGAAGATAAAACTTTTTTAGGTTTTGTTATAGAAGTCTTTTTTTAGTTTGGACATGTTTAACGCCCTGTGTTTTTCAAAAGGAAAGGGTAAAAGCTCAAAAAGAACAAGGTCACAATTTCAATTATGCTCTAATAGATTTTTGATATAATACAATCACAGAAACACAAATTAACTGTTAACTAATTTAATAAATGTTTATTTTTTATTTAAACACTTTTTCTGTTCAGATCACAGATCACTGCAACTCAAACTCAACACAGTTCAAATATGTGTTGCTCATTTACAAACAAAGATCTTTGGGTCAAACACTATTAAAAGCTATAAAATAAGAACAGACAAAAATCTAATAAAATCTAAAATCAATAAATTCCTAAAAATTGAAAACTATCAACTTATCTGCAGTTTCAAAGCCAATGAGAACAAATGCATCTTAAAATCCCCAACAGATGAAGCCTGGCTGTGTGACATGCAGGGGTAGCTGGTTCCACAGCTTAGGAGCTACAGCTAAAAGGCCCGATCCCTCTGTGGACCAGCCAGGGCCTCAGAATAGCTAACAAGAAGTGAACGTTAGGTGTCTGAAGAAAACATGAGGCTGCAGGAGGTCAGACGTTTACTGAGGAATTGGCCCAGCAAAGGCCGTAACAGGAAAACTTTCAAATGCTTTAGGAAACAATGAAGAAGCACAATGTGAGGTCGCGTTTGTTTTTGTTTGTCGGCTAACACATTAAAGTCACAGTAATAGAATAAAAACAGCTCTGCAAACTTCTTAAGATAAAAACAGATTTTCTGTAGATGAGAGGTTTACTGAACTAGAGAGTTAATCTTTTTCTGACTTAAACACAATGATACACACAAGACGATAATAAAAACTGTTATTGGTCAGGCATACGCTGAACCATCCTCCTGAGGCCATGCAGCTCCTAAACTTCCTGTACCAGAATGCTTAAGTCCATTCAACTTAGAGCTGTTTAAATGAGTAGGGAGACTGTGCTTTATTTTTAGATCAGAATTCTTACATTTTACTTTACTTATTTAAACTATGAACATTTTTAAATAACTTCTTAAACTTCTAAGTCAGTGCTTCTTTTTTAAGTCTGTTTATATCCAAATCCAGATTGCTGTTTAAACCACCCAAACTTTGCTCTATATAAGAAAATCAGCAAGAAAACATGAAGCCAAAAAGGCTGAAACTTGCAAGAAAAAACAGAACATTTAGATTTCACGGAAGAAAATGGTCATGTGTGGTTTATTTAAATAATGCTACAGCCTAACTGAAACCAAACCAACCCACAATACATTTATACTCACTTGCAACTTTAAGACGACCACAGTAAAACCAAAACACAGCCACAAAGCAGAACTATTTTTGTCCTACTGCATCAATATCATCAGGTTTTTCAGCTCAGATAAAACCTAATCAGCCTCTACACTTACTGATCATTGTTCCAGCTGTGGCACTGACGTTTTCCCTTCACAATAAAAGTCTGATGCTACTGTGTCTTAATGAGGCGGAGGCTGAAGACCTTACAGAGGACTAGTCAGCACATCACAGAGGACACCCAAGTTCAGGACATCTGGAGCTGCCACTCAAAGCTGAATTCATTAACCTCCTCTGTTAATTAAATTAAAGACATGTCAGATTCAATTAACAGCAATTAAAGAGCAGTGAGTGTTTTAATCAGGTGTGATGGACCGAGCCGAGCCAGGAAACTGAGGGTTCGCTTGTCTACTGCCTGTCCGACCAAGTCCAGGGCTCAAATAACTTCCCTAATGTCCAACAACTTATAGAAATATTATATTACTTTTCCTTTAGTTCTTCGTTCTTTCAATCTGAGCTCTGATTTATCCTTTAGCCACCACATTGGATAGTTTGGTGTTATTTTGTGTTTATTACCTGATTGAAATGGGTTTGTAGATTTTGTGTTTCTGGATCTACGCACAGAATGGACCGTCCAAGGTCCTTAACACATGACCTATATTGGCTCCTTTGTGCAAGGAGGAACAGGACAAGTTCTTTCCACAGATGAGAGCAGGTTCACTCCGATCTCATGCGATAGGTGTGTTAGTGGGTTAATGTTAGTCAGGGGAGGCATATCCTCCACCGTGGGATGCATAGACCATCCTGACTGGCCTCAAACTTTCCAGGAGTTCAGTGACGCCCTGGTCAAGATCTGGGAGGAGATACTCGAGGACACCATCTATCAGCTCATAAAGAGGATGTGTGACATCCTTTTGTTATTAAAATGTCCCCAATTCTTTTTTCTTTTTTTTTTCAAATAAAATATGATGCTTTCAAAGTGTTCTTTTAAATTTCTTAGCAGTTTCCTGTATTGTTGTTAGGTAGGCTACGTAATTCTAAATTCTAAAAGTAAACGTGAGCGCAGCTCTGCATGATGACCTTTTCCCCCCTGCTGGACAGAAGCTGTCTGTTCTGATGCAATGTTTGGTTCAATAAAGCAGGCCAGCCTGGGAACTTTCTGTTGAGCGTTGTCTCCCCCTAGTGAACAGAATTGTTTACTGCAGATGGAGGACAGAAGACGTGAAGGCTGTATCAGGCCTGCTGCCCTTACACATATTTAACCCTAAACAAGTAAACAACAAAACCAGGGCAGAACATATGCATGTATACAATATGTATACAATAATCCACCCACTGATCTGAGGTCGAACCATGATGTTACACGACATACTTGTAGTTAAAGGTTTCAGTCTTTTTCTTATCTAAAAGTTAGAGAGCAACTAACCAATAAGATTTTTTTATCATAAATAACCTTAAATACGAGATAACAAGGAGATAGAACCACTGCACACCTAATATGAAACATAAGCAGAAAAGGAGAGGGGGTGTTCAGATTAGGTTTTCGCTTCATGTCATATTTAACCACTAGGTGGCAGTATGTCACAAAGTCGTTGTTTAATTACTGACAATAAAATGGATGAAAAAGCGCTCACGTTTTTTTATTTTTTGTTTGTTTGTTTGTTTTGTTTTGGGGTTTGTTTGTTTTTTACATTAAATTGAACTATTTCCGTCTCTGCTAACATGCCTAGTTTTGGTCTGTTTGGTCTGTGTATAATATGGTATCGAAAAACGTTTGCCATTCTGGGTCATTACGTCACAAAACCCGGAACATAAACAAGCAAACGAAGGCGGTGGGTTGAAGTTCGGTTTGATGAAGTCCTTCTCCAGCTGATATGTTCCCCGTTTTTACACCCACACACCGACTGCTTCTGGCGGCTCTCACCTTGGTTCCGACCCGCCTCTTGTGCTCCTCGTCGGCGGTACCAAACATCCCGAACATCGCCGTTTACTTCGGAACTAAGAGCCGCTACGAGGAGGTGAACCCGCACCTGCTGCAAGACGTGTTATCTGTGAACGCGTCCGCGTTGAGACCTCCACCCGGCGAGAGCTGCTACCCGGTCCATCTGACCGCTGTCATCAGGCATGGCAGCCGGTTCCCGACCGTCAAGAACATCCGCAGGATCCACAAGTTGAGCGAGCTGATCCGCAAAGACGCCTCCAAATCTTCGGAGGGCTCTGTCGGCTGGTTGCGGGAGCTCCGGAGCAGCTGGGAGCCGTGGTACACCGAGGAGATGGACGGTGAGATCACGGAAACCGGTCCTGACCCGGACTGATGAGGTCTCATCTGGGCCAAGATCGGTCATCAGATTTTAATTAGATTTATTTGGTCATGTTACCTATAATTATGACAGTCTATTGCGGTGGTTTTCTAAGCCATGTGACAGGTTTCTGTTTTCCTCATATTATTGTTTTTTTTTTTTTTTTTTTTTTTGCTCTTAGAAAGGATCGATTTTGTGAAATTTGTTAGAATAATTCTTATTTCTGTAAAATAATTCAGAAATTTTCTTTTTATAAAGTCCATATGCCTGTTTTTAATAGGACTTAAGATTTGTTGAACTTTGCCAGTAGATTATCTTGGAATTGTTCCTTATTGTTATTACTGTTGAAGAAAATAAACCTTTTTTATAACTTTTTGTAGGGGTCATGGGACCTTTGAATTGTTTTTTTTTTTTTAAGTTGATTTCTTGACATGGCGGCTCAGTGGTTAGAGCTGTTGCCTTGTAGCAAGAAGGTCCTGGGTTCGCTTCCCAGCCTGGGATCTTTCTGCATGGAGTTTGCATGTTCTCCCTGTGCATGCGTGGGTTCTCTCCGGGTACTCCGGCTTCCTCCCACAGTCCAAAAACATGACTGTTAGGTTGATCGGTCTGTCTAAATTGTCCTTAGGTGTGAGTGTGTGTGTGTGTGTGTGTGTGTGTGCATGATAGTTTGTCCTGTGTGTCTCTGTGTTGCCCTGCGATGGACCGCCTGATTGCCCGTTGACCGCTGGAGATAGGCACCAGCCCCCCCGCGACCCTACGTGGACAAAGCGGGTTCAGAAGATGGATGGATGGATTTCTTAACACAATGTTTTTTCCTAATAACTTGCCTAGTGGTCTAAACGAAAACAGGGAATGTTTTGTTGCTGTTCAGATAAATATGTGCCCATTGCTCCTCCTCCTCAGGTCAGCTGGTGATGAAGGGCAGGGATGACCTTCGTTTCCTTGCCAGAAGACTGGCCACCTTGTTTCCATCCCTCCTATCAGAGGAGAACATGAGGAAGGGGAAGATTCGCTTTGCGAGCAGCTCCAAGCATCGCTGTGTGAACAGCATGGAGGCCTTCCAAGATGGTCTGCACCAGCACTGGAGTCACCAAGGTGATGCCCCCTGCACCCTAAAGGCTTTGTGGGAAGCAAACATGTTCCTGACCTTTGACTTCTCTTACCTCTGCTTCTACAGACAGCCCTCCTGTATACAGACATGAGGTGGATGATGAGCTGATGCGTTTCTTTGACCGTTGCCATGGTTTTGTGGAGGGTGTAGAAAACAATCGCACGGCACTGATAGAGGTAGAGAAGTTCAAACACGGCGAGGAGATGGAGGCACTGAGGAGGAGGACGGCTGAGAAGCTGGGCCTTCATTTTCATCGTCTCACACCAGGTGAAACATGACAATTATTTATTAACTTATATTTATTTCAGAGGATAAACCCCTTGAGATGTGCCATCTTGTTTTTGAGAGGGTTCTCTATTATGAGTTTAAAAAAAATAACAGAAGAATCAAGCAAGTTGTAATTTGTAAAAAAGAGGAAAGAAATGACAACGCTTAAAAAAGACAAGAATGTCATACTAACACACACACACACACACACACACACCAACATTTACACATCACTCTCACAATGCACCCAAAGAAAAAGCAACAATAAACTATCTCACTTTGGAATAAGTGAACAGAAAGGAAATCAATCCAATATGGGCTCCAGACATGCTAAAGAACGGGAACAAATATTCAAAAGATGCACATAAATATTATTACAAAATTTTCTAAAAGAAATAATCATGCAAATATGAACGTCACAATTGTTCCAATCTAATGGGGCTTTGACACAAAGCAATTTTCACAATTTCCCTTCGAAAACGAGAAGCAACTAAATGATTGACATAATATTATGTATTTAATACACAGGATAATAAGAAAGGTAAGTCTCTGTTGTATTTCAGCAGATTGCAGTGTAGGATTGCACAGAACAGATTAGCACAGCTAGCACTGGTTCCAGTGATGATGTGTTCAGGGACACTCAGAAATACAGAAGTTAAAGGTTTTTGGAGAGGATTGATTCATAATCTTTATAATAAGAATCACGATTCAGACGTGAATGGGTTTTTTTTTCTTGGTAATTGGCGTAAAATCTGCTGTATAAGACTGCGGTGTAGTTTAAGAGCTGAAATATTCCTCACAAACAACTTAAATTAGGTCTTTGATTTATTGAGGACAAGTTAATTACGCAACAGCTGGTGCAGCAATTTGTTAAAATCATGTTGAAGGGACATCAGTAATTCAGTAATATTGGGTATGGAGCAGTAAACAGTTGTGTGTCAGCCTCAGAACAGAACAGGTTGAGCAACACATGAGACGGACCCATTCCCACAGTCCAGACGTGTCCTCAAAGGTCCAACACAAAACACGCCCATAATGCAGACATGTCCTCTGGAGACAGACATGTCCTCTGGAGACAGACATGTCCTCACTTTAACAGTGTTTGTTCTTTCATGGCTCCTGTAGACTTGGTGGAAGCTGCCTTCTTTTTGTGCACCTACGAGCTGTCCATCAAGTCCCTCCATTCACCGTGGTGCTTCTTGTTTGATGAGAGTGATGCAAAGGTACAACAGCAATAGAATGTTGAATAATATTTACGACATAAATGTAAAATCAAGTCAGTACAAATGGTAAAAGCATTTATAGAAGAGTGGAAAAGCGATGTTTCTTTTCTGATCAGAATCAATGGACATGCTTTGGGTTACTTCTCCCTGCTGTTTGTCTGCAGGTGCTGGAGTACAAATCGGACCTAAAGAACTTCTGGAAGCGCTCTTATGGTCATGTGATCAACAGCTTATCCAGCTGTCCTCTTTTCCATCACATCTTCAGAACACTGGATAAAGCCGGTCGTCCTCGCAGGTGGGTGAGCTCCTGACTGATCAGTCAGCGGCAGGATCTCACTGACTGATCAGTGACTGATGCTGATCCTGAACCTTCAGGTCCACCGAGGCAGCTCCAGAACCAGCCTCTATCCTCATTGGACACGCTGAGACGCTCCTCCCTCTTGTCTCCCTGCTGGGACTGTACAAGGATCAGACTCCACCCACGGCCAGCAACTATCACTCGCAGCATGGTAAGAAGCCCCGCCCCTTCCAGCATTCGATCAGGGAAGAAGCTTTGAGAAAAATCTTCTGAGTATTTGTGGACAAGCTGCCTTAAAATATCTAAAAAATAATCTGAAATCAAACAAAACACGATTATATTTAGAACCACGATGTTACAAATTATCGTAAAAAAAACAAGCAAAAGCAAGAACTGAATCTTGAAAAAATACTGCAAAAATATTTATTAGGTAATAAAGTAGAGATTTCTGGAAATGAAAATAAAAATATGAAATTATAAAATTATTATTTTATTAATATCATTGGGTTAGGATAGTTATTGCATAAAATTACTAGTAACATTATTGTACAATAAAGATTACTCATAAACTTTATAGATCTTGAAGGAGTGGAACACTGAAATATTTTTTTTATTATTATTCTGAGTATAATCAAGTCAATCTGAGTTTTTCATGCAGGCTTAACATGAAGATAGTCTCCTACACCTATCTCCTGAATTAGCTTCTGATAGAAAATAGACGGTGAAACTCTAGGATTGGAAAATCCTGACAGATCTACGTCACCCTGTCACTTAGCATTCATGGACTCACCCATCTTTACTAATGACAGAAAAGGCTGTTGTTGGTTTAGCGTCCAGGAAACAGCAGATAACGTTTCTGCTAGCAGAAACTAACTGTTAGCATTAGCAACTCGACCATACGGCAGAACTCCTGTTATTTGTGGAGATGTTGCAGAGCAAACTGAGTCAGTGGTAGAGTCGTGTTTTGCTGTTATCCAATCTGAAGCAAGATCTCCCAATCCTGCTGTTTGAAGCTCAGCTGTGATGGGGCTCACTTCTAGTTCCTGGAGATAGTGCACCAGTGTTTTCCCCCCCAGAGTTTGACCTACAAGGCATTCATTCCTACTATAGAGACCACTGCAAATGTATTGAATAAACAAGTGTTCCACATCTTTTAAAAATATATAGGACCATAACCATTCAAATATTGGGGTATTTTGTTAAGAAAATGCAACAAACATCAAGGAAAATAAAACTCTCAAGAAGTCTTTAAATTTGTTATGAAACCCCTGAAATAGAGGGCTGTATTGGGATTGGGTCCCACCGGGTCCCACGGGACCCAACACAAATCTCGTGAGAGCGGGCGGTGTGATTTTTGCTGCGGGCGGGAACGGTCAGCTAAAAGAAACAGTGTAGGATCGGGATGAGTATGATGGAGTCGGCAACTGATGTTAAAAAGAAGCTGAAACAAGGTCTTTATGACACAAAAACCAAGCAAGGCAAGTCAGAAAGCTGCTTTTCAAGGATAAACCACTTCTCCCTGCACACATTTGACACCTTTTTTTCGAATGGCGAAGAAAGAGCGAACCTCAGAAATTCAACAGAGCTCCGATTAGTCCCGGATATTATAAAAATTTACAACAACTTAGGAACGAGTGCGAGACCGCTATGAGAAAGATTAATCCTGATTTCTATCTCATTTTCAGAATCCCCAATCCCACTCTCAAATATCAGATTGGTGGTGAAATAGAATTTAGATTTGCAGCGCCTTTGGCGTGTATGCTAGGTTTTAATGTGGAGGAGTGGCTGACACCTGAAGCGTCATGCAGCAATAAACGGGTCAAATCAGTGCCTCATCCCCCCGATTTAACCGGCGATCTATTCAGACATAGTGACCGAGCAGTTGGTGGGTGATGTGTATGCCCCGTTATTACGTACAGTGAAAGTTGAAGGTACCTTTGGGAACACAATCACTCATGTGTTTAACCCTGTGGATTACATCCCCGTCTCTACGAATCTTGCAAACGAAAAATGATTTATCACCTGCAGAGAAATGACCCCAACTGATTTATTAATTATTACGTAACTCAGGCCGGTCAAGGTCTCCCGGGTTTTAGCGGCGTTCCTTATATATACGGGCGCGCCTTTGGTTCGATATTTTCAAGACTCTTCAGATTTATATCACCTTTTGTTAAAAAAGGATTTGCTTTGGCGAAGACGCAAGGCTACGACTGGGATCGCGTCAGATGTGTTGACGTGAGCTGTCAGCAAAATCACTGAGCCTAATGCCCAGGAGGGATCAGGGCTCATGGTTCTGTCAAGGCGAGTCCGGAAAACACCCCCCGGCAGGCGTGAAAAGGGATCTACTTCACAAAACGACCGGCGCTTAAAAGCCGCAGTTACAAAACGCAAGCAAAAGAGGAAGAAGTATCAACAGCAAGGCTCCGACATTTTCTAATCAAGTCACTGCTTCACAGTAAATCATCAGAATGCACACTGAGCGAATTGGACCTCTTCACCGTTCCCACGACGCAACTGTCTATCGAAGATAAGATCTACAGCGAAATTTTACCCATAGCAGCGCTGACGGATAATGGACCTGTAGAATTTTTTGTCCCAAGGAAAGGCAAAAATTATTTAGATTTAAACACCACGCTTCTGTTTTTACGTGTGAAAATCACCAATGATGATATAACTCCCCTGGTTGATGGAGGGCCACTGCTCTGATTAATTATCCTATAAACACAATTTTCTCACAATGCGACGTGATCCTCGGTGACCGCCTGATTTCTCAATCCAGCGCGACGCATCCCTACAGCGCAATTATTGAAACTGTGGTGAACTATTCTGAAGAAAGTTTGCAATCTCAGTTCAGCGCCTGCTTATTTTTCAAAGGCACGGCAGATGCGCATGATTCCATCATTATAAACATTGGGCCCAATAGAGGTCTTAATCAGCGAGCAATTTTTACAGAAAACTCCAGAGAGGTGTACCTGATAGGGCCTCTCCATTCCAATATATTTTTCTGTGAAAGACTTATTTTAAACCCGGTTGATCTCAGAATTAAGCTGACAAGAGCCAACAATGCTTTCTGCCTGATGGGGGCGCGTGACTCCACCTCCGCCTGAAACTGCTGGGTGCTTCGCATTATGTGAAAAAAGTTAATATTTCACCCACCGTACGTTTGGGTCACAAATCTGCTTTACTAAAAGCAAACGCCTTGTATTCCCTTTCACGTGTTACTGTGAAAACTTACTCGATTCCACAAAATTCGAGGATATGTAGTCTGGAGAACCTCTTTCTCGGAGCTATCTCTAAATATATATTACTGGGATTAGTGGATCATGAGGCCTATTCAGGCAGAAGAGAACTTTCTCAGTTTAATTTTCGCCACATGAATGTGGAATACCTTGCGTTGTGCAGAGACGGCAAATAGATCCCATCAAAAGCATTCCAGCCAACTTTTGATCAAAGAACATCCGTCAGAGAATTTTATAATCTGTTTACAGCCACCTCCATACATTTGAAAGGTTTGCCTCTTGCGATTAACAGGATAGATTATCAACAAGGCTATATGTTGTTTGCCTTCAATCTGAACTCTGCGGATGACGTAGAGGCTTTGTCTCCTGTTGCTAATGGCAACTTGAGAATGGAAATGTGCTTCTGCACCCCACTGAGGGAGACGGCTACACTCATTGTGTATGCATGCTACAAATCCTTTCTCGAGATAAACTCAAAGAGAGAGGTGTTGGTTGATTATTATTGATGGATAATCATGAACTGCACGGAATAATATCAAGCCTGCTGGGAGATCATCTTTTTTCGGGCGTGTTTGCCTCTGATCAGCTGTCTACAATCCCGAAAAACATACAGCTCCCGGCCTATTTTGTGGTAAACACCCATCCGGCTCATTTACCATTTTTTCTTCAGGCACTCGAGGAGTACAGACGCTTTCCTCTTTCGCTGCCTTATCATTTTTTCCCAAGGCTCTTTGTCCTGTCTGCCCACAGAGCGCTTCTCTGGATTTCTTCTGAAAAATTCTGTTTTACTAACCATGGATTTGATAAACTGGTCATTCAATGTGATCGATAAGATTTTTTCAACAATGAGAATGGAGCAGGGGGCTCCCACATGTCCACAGGGGACACACCCGGTGGGATATATGTTGGATTCCTGGAAGAAGTGGAAGATCATATGCCTCTGCCAGCTGTCCATTGAGGACATCGAAGACGTGCGGATATTTGGCCTGATGATTACTGGATTTCTCCCGATTGTAGTGGGAGGATATGTGGTTTTCTGGAAATTTGGGAAGACGGGAGCGATTGAAGGGCGACCCGCACCCACGGAAAGCACCGTCCGTGTGGAGACTTCTCAGACTGGGATGTTACTCGAGGTGAATCGTAAGCTGGACAATGTTCTAGCTGCGATACCGGTATTAGTGCGCAAAATGGATGTCATCTCGGAGAGAGTCACCAGACGGTATGGACAGGTTTAAAAACCCAAAATTGGCTTCACTGAAGGACTGTAAATGATCAGTTTAAAGACTGAAGGCAGAGAGGAAAATTATCTTAGCCTGACCCAAACAAATTCTTGTTATCTGAATCTGACACCCTGGTAGCCTTGAGCTGCAAGCAACTAAAACCCACCCGAAGGAATGCAGACAGATGCTGTGACCCCCCCCCCCCCCCCCCCCCCCCCCGCCTTCGGATTGGTGGACTTCAGCCTGGCGAGGTCATCAACTGTAGGAGTCAATGTACTCTTTGCTTCTCCCAAGATCTCCCTCCCACCTGTGACTGTAAAGTAAATGAGCGCACGAATAATATAGCTGAATTGTTGCTGAAATATTTTAATGATGTGTGAAGATTTCTATTTTGAATTGCATTAGAGTTAATCAATTTCCCTCTGGGATTAATAAAGTATTATCGAATTGAATTGAATTGAATTGAATTGAGGATGTGTGTGAGGTCAGCCAGAGTGTGCTGAGATGTCTGTCTCCTACAGTTTGAGGCTTTTGACAGCACTTCTCTTTGCAGGGAGAAGTTTCCGGACCAGCCGGATTGTCCCGTATGCTGCCAACCTGCTCTTTGTGTTATATGACTGTCAGCGCGGTCCGCGGCTGCAGCTGCTAGTCAACGAGAAGCCCGAGCACTTCCCGGGCCTGCATACCCAGAATGCACCACTCTACCGGGATGTTCGGGCCACCTACCGCCACCTGCTAGATGGATGTGACTTTGACAAAGAGTGTGAGGGAAGGGCTCAGGGCCGGGGCCCCAACACTGAGCTCTAACCCATTGAGCTTACCTGTCCTTCTTCACCACAGCCTTAATTCCCCTGCTGAGCAATCCTGCACAGTCAATGTCCAATCCGAGACCACCTCGGCCAGGCTGCTGTCTAAGCTCAGAATGTTTTGAGATATTTTGTCACTGATGTGAGAAATAAGTTCATCTTGTTTGATGGGTAATGCTTCGTCATGGTGATTCTGTTTAATTTTGGGACAAATGCTGAGTTTTGTGCGGGTTTATTTAGATATTCATCAGCTCAAAATGAACAAGTTCATCCTGAAGGAAACGACAAAACATCTGGTCGTTGCAAATGTTCTGTCAGGGCATCTCAGCCGTCAGACCAACAGCAGCTGTTTCATCACATTTCTGGGCTCTAAAAAATGTTTTCACTCGACAAATATTTCAGTAACATCCTGTAAAGTTCACAATAACCCCTTAAAATACAAAAGAAAATCCTGATGAATGCATTTGGATTCCGAATTTCACATTTTAATTCTTAAAATATGATTATGAAAACTTTTGGAAATTTTTCATTTTAAAGAAATGGAATTTGTTAAAGAAAATCTTTCAAACTTGTGAACTTTTTGTAAAATATTGAAGATGCCTAAAAATATGTCTAATTGATCAATTTCAAAAATTATAAAATAACTTTAGAATATCAAAAATATAAATAGAAAAGGGACATAGAAAAAAATGAGTGGTATCTGGGATATCTTTAATATTTAAAAATCGTAAAATATTTTATTATATATTAGAAAATTTGGGAAAAGTTGAATTTTTTGTGGTTTTTCATTTTCTGTGTGATTTATGCATCCTGAGCGGAGAACGTTTCATCAGAAGGACTTTTACCAAAATCAGACATGTCTCTTGCTGAAATGTTTGGGCAAACTGACAGTTAAGCTTTACTGGAACATTTAATTTGATTCAGTCAGGCAAAAGCTTTACGTTGACTTTTTTTTATAATAATCATGATTTTCTGCTAAAAACTTTTTTATTCCCCCTCATGATGAATCTTGATTAAAGCCAAAAATTGTGCATTTCTACATCCGTTTTCCTGCTCTGCTTGAATCTTGTGCATTTAGGGTAGTTCTTTTGGTGCATGTTTAATTTTCTTGGTGCCAAATAGTTTAACTGGTGCTTTTTTGTTTTCCAAATGTTTCTAAATAAAAGCTTTAATGAAGTGGTTTTGCTCCAGTGACGAATCAAATGTGTCATGAAAAGTTACAAGTTGACAAAGTTCTCATCAGAACTTCCCGTGCCATTTTTTTCTGTTACTCTGAGTGTTATTCTATTATTCTACAGAATTCCTAGAATAGACATTTTGTTTTTGAACCAGAATACTGATCAAAAAGCAGATTTCATTTTCAGCTCCTCATTATTTGAAGTTTGAAACAGAAATTCATATTAATAAAATCTTCACAAGGGCTCACCTGATGACTCCACCCAAGCTGTGACCACCTGTAAATTATTGAAATGATGATGTCATCAGTCTTTGTGTTGTTTGAACAAGTTTATTACAACTTTCCCTCACAGCCCACAAAAAAACCCAAACTTGCAGCAGTTGATCGGACAAGAAGTTCAGTCTTTTGTCCAACTTTTCAATAAACAACTTTTCTCAGTTTTTTATCATTCTAATCTGTTTTGTGATGAGGTTTCAAACAGTAACTAAAAACAAAATATGTCAACAAAATATTCAGTTTCATGTTTGTTTTTTAATGCTTCAAAACAAACATGAGCCAATGTTTGAAAACATTCCCCCCAAAATAAACAGACAGAAAAATGTAAATAAACACCAAACTTTGGTGAAAAATAAACTGTTCCTCAAATATGAAACCATCAGATATTTTCTGGCCCCTTTCAGGAAACATTTTTAAAAAATTATGTAAATGCATAAAAACAAAAATAATGACACTCAAAATGACATGTTTGTTATAAATGCATTAAAATATGAGGACGCTGAGCCTCCATTCTGTATTAAAATCAAAAATGTGTTTGTTTCTCATTAATTCATATTCCAGTTTAATCTGAACAATACTTTAGGAACTCTGAAGATTTGTGTGTGTTTCTAGAAAAATGAATTTCATACATGTCCGACAATGATCAGATTATTGATTTTAACTAAAGAGAGGATTTCCACAATAAGGGCTTCTCTGAAAGTTTTCAGGTCAAAGGTGTTGTCATAGCAGCAGGAGCTGATGGGTGATAGGACATCCCAGCCGTGCGTTCCAGCAGAACGTCTTTGTTGGATCAGAATGCTAAAGTCTGAGCCAGCAGAGGTGCAGCAGTAAAACTCATCCCCTCAGGAACATCAGGTTCAAACACCCCACCCTCGTTGTTGGAGGAAGAGATGGGATGTAGAGTTTCAATTAAAGCATCAATGAGAGACAGTGGCACATGCTCAGTGTGTTTCCACACAGGTAGAGATGCAAAAGGGTCATGTGACCCATGTGTTCAGTCCAGAGCGGCATGCAGCAATATGCCAGGACCACCAGCTGATTTGGACTGCTTCATTTTGGAGGCAGCGGCCTGCAGGTCAAGCTGACCGATGGGACGAATGGCTTCCTCTGGCTCGCTGAGAGAGAGGACATGTCAACACACAATCTCAAACCCAACAGGTGTGTGTGCGTACAGGTGATCTTCAAGCTTACCTGTCACTCTGGTTGTGGACAAAGTCTCTGACACATAGCAAGGCAGCATCACGGCACATTTCTCTTAGGTCACTTCCTGAGAATCCATCTGTTTCCTTGGCAATGTCTCTGAGGTTGACAGATGAGTCCACCTGAAGGAAGAGGTAATCAGATTCCAACTCATTGATAACTCATTGGGTTACACATGGTAAAGATGTTTCTGTGGAGTAAGGGGCCGTGATATACTCTCTGTTTGACGATGCAAACGTGTTTAAAATGGCTGCCACGCGTTACTTGCATTGATTTGAAGTGTTGTTTGTGAGGCATCCCCCGAAATTAACGTGACGCGACCAAACACTGCAATATACGAGTAACCAGTAGGTGGAGTCGACTAAATGTGTGAGACACACTCACCATGGTGACCCCGTCTCTGGTTTAGAGGTCTTTCATACCATCTTCGATATCGCTGCGGTCTCTTTTTCTGTTGTGAACTCAAAATTAACCAGTTACTGATCTTTTCTATTGATGTCATTTTTTTTTTTTTTTTGGTTGTACCCACAAGCCCGGTTCTCTGTCCGGTCTGAGTAGTCTAGTGTGCCCTTTAGTGGAGCCCCCCCAATACTACGTGCCGTGCAGCAGCATGTAGGTGAACACAGACGCAGCCTGCTGCCAGCGCCAACGCGAGGTCAAGTAGCAAGCATATCACGGCCCTAACACTTCGCCTAGACTGATGACACAAACAGAAGATTTGGGCAAGCTGATCCAGAATCGGGTGAGCAGGGTTTGATTGTACTAAACTTACGCTTTCATTCTCCAAAATCAGTCTGAGGATCTGCTCTCGCTGCTTTGCGATCTATCAAAACAGAAAACACAGCCTCAGCACCATGCTGCAGCAATGAGAATATGCAAAGTGTGTGTGTGTGTGCATGTGTGAGAGTGCGATACATACAGGCTGGTTGATGTGGAACCTGGTGGGCATCCTTCTCAGGATGGCAGAGTCCAGGTCCTGAGGACGATTGGTGGCTCCCATGATGATAACCTGACAGTGGTGGTCTGTGTCTAGTCCGTCCCACAGACTCATGAACTGGGCCTTCATCATGGCCGTGGCCTCATGGTCCGAGCTGGAGCGACTCCTCAGGAATGAGTCTGTTCACAAAACACAGTTACACCTGCTGGACTTGTGCAGAAACTGCAGTAACCAACTACACTAATTTAGGCCACACCCACCAGGCACAGACCACACCCCTGACTACTGGGTGCCTCCATCAAGTCTCTGGAAATTCATGTGTTTTAAGGTCAATCTTATGAACAGCACAGGGATTCTTTCTCTCAGTGGATGACAGTGCGGTCTGGTCACATGATGCCGCTGTCAGAAACTCAGGATTTTTTTAAGCAGCAGCATCTCACAGCCACATTAAAAAGCTGTTTAATGTAATATGAATGAGCAGATTTTCTCTAACAAACTGAAACCTGACAGCTGTTCGTTTTCATCATCAGTGTGAGTGTGCATGTGTGAGCTCCTCACCAATCTCATCAATGAAGATGATGGCCGGCTGCAGTTTAATAGCCAGTGAGAACACAGCAGCAGCCAGCTTCTGCGACTCTCCGTACCATTTATCCGTCAGCGTGCTCGGCTGAAGGTTGATGAAGCGAAATTCCGCCTCCTTTGCTGTTGCCTTGGCAATCAGTGTTTTACCGCATCCAGGGGGGCCATAGAGCAACACACCTATAAACATGACGACAGGAAGAGGTTAAGAAAGGAGTTCTCTCCTTTATGTCAGTTGTTTTTTATTCTTTGACATATTTTCAAATGTTAAAACAGAAACATTTACATGATACTTAAGACTTTAAATGTTGCAGCAGTGTTTACATGTTTAAATTATGAAGAGTTCACATGGAAAGGCAGGAAAAAAGATTTTCTAACACCATCAAACAGTTTTTATCTCCACAGCATCTTCATCGATTCATTCACAGCTTCTATGAAATCAGCCAACTAAAACCCTGAAACCTTCACATATTTCATTCATCTGTCCACATAATCAAGAAGCAAAATGGGTCATGATCCATTTGAGAACAACTTTGCTCACACAGTGTTGTTTTTTTTCCCCTTTCAGCAACAACAGTCTGCACATACTTGTACAGGTGCTGGTCATAAATTTAGAATATCATCACAAAGTTGATTTATTTCAGTAATTCCATTCAAAAAGTGACACTTGCATATTAGAATCATTCATTACACAAAGACTGATATCTTTCAAATGTTTTTTTCTTTTAATTTTGAAGATTTTAATCAACGACTGATAAAAATCATTGCTAAAGAGGCTGGCTGTTTACATAGCTGTGTCCAAGCACATTAACAAAGAGGTGAAGGGAAAGGAAAGGAACGTCCGCTTCATATACACACACACACACACACACCCGCAGTCACGGACGAGCAACGGAACTCGAAAGTTATACATCTATACACCAAGCGCCTGACCCCCCCCCCCCCCCCCCAACTGTCATTTGTTTAACTGTATATTTACTAATTAAAAAGACCTGACTGCAGGCACACAGGAAACAGGTGCTTGACCTCTAACCTTTGGGAGGCTGCAGCAGTCTGGATTTCTGGAACAGGTGTCTTTTCTGAACAGGTAGGATCACGGTCTCCTTCAATTCAGTGATGACATCATCCAGACCTGCGATGTCTCTCCAGGCAATCTATGACAGTTTGATGGAAGAATCTATTCATTCAGCAGTTTTTACTTGCTGGGTAATTGACAAATATGCAGTAATGACCACTTGTGTTCTCAGGGAGGTTTGTGTTTTACGACAGCTAGAAATGTTTCTCTGTTTTATGATGGCTTAGCTAAATCCTTTTGTCTGTTGCCCAGAGGTTCCGCCCCAAAAGGCAGGAGGAGTAATCTGCTTCTTCATTTATAGCAGGTAACCGCCAGTGTCTGGCTGAGAGAGGAAGTTAGTTTATTGTCCACCCCTTTTTCTTTTCTTTTCCCTATAAGCAGACATGTGATCTGTGACATCAGACTTATAGTCAGATGTAATGTAATCCGTCTCTGTGTGCAGGTATAATTTATAAAACATGTTCTGATGAATTATTTAACCGTAACTCTCAAGATTTTTTTTAACCATCCATCATCTGCTGTGTGTTTGTGAGAATGAGGAGGAGTCACCTGCATGCTGAGTGGATCTACCAGGTGAGCAGCAATGCTCATCTCATACTCAGACAGTTTAACATTTTTCACTCCGATCTGACGCATCAGCTTCTCGGCCTGTGGGGCACAAATCACAAATGATCAGAACCAAGTGGTCAGGACCAGATGGACTCAAATCAGACTGGATCTGACTTAGGCTCCCTATGGGGGAGCCAAGTTTGGAACCTGTAACCTTCTTGTGCGAGGCAACAGTGCTGGCAACTGTGCTATTGTGCAGCCAACTTAGGATTTAGATCAAGTTAAACCCGCATCTTTTTGGGAATCAAGTCTGTGAAGAAACACGCTGATCTCACCTGCTTCTGAGCCTCCATCTTCTGCTTCCTTGTGGGGTCAATGGCATCCACCATCCACTTGATGGTGAAGTAGGTGACAGCTCCGAATATTGTGAGGCGGAAGAGCAAGCCAATGACCTCGTTCCTGCCCAGGGGACGGGTGATGTTTTCAGCAGGCACCTCCTTCAGAACCATCTTCACTTTCACTGGTTTCTGACTGACACACACACACACACACACACACACACACACACACACACACACACACACACACACACACACACTAAAACTTAGTGTAGGAGTCAAAAAAATGATTTCGTTTGACTTATTCGTGTTTTTAAGCAAGAAGCAGGTGATGCTTAAATGATCCAGACCCTCTCTAACTTCTTTACATATAAAAACTTGAAGAGTTGGTAAAAAATATGTCCACCGACGAGAACCCAGAACTTCTCCAAGCAGAGTTTAAAGACAGATGATAGTGTTTCGGGTCCCACCTTGACTGACAGCTCTGTCTGACCGACAGCAGGTGACGCAGCCCTAAGGGTCCACTTCTGAAACCGAGTCTGGGAGGATGCTAGCTGCCTGTGCTGTTGGATTACTTCACGGTATCCTACCAGCTACTTTATATTCAGAAGTGTGTACCCCGGGGCCCAGAGGATCCTCGGGCCACACGTCCGGGTATGATGTGAGATGGATAAAACAGAAAGTGATGTAATGTTAGCTGTTAGCTTGACCTTCGTGTTACCGGTTGTTACTGAACGGCTCACTGCTAAAAAATACACACGGACCACCACATCGCAGCGCCACCGAGCCCGGGACAACCGGTAGAAGACAGTGCCGAGGACACCTCGTGTCTCCCGGTAACTCACCTGTTCCTGTTAACACCAGCAACTGCTTTTTCTCTGCTTTGCACGATTTGAGCCCGGTGTCTTCTGCTTCTGCAGCAAGGTGCGGACGTCTTCTTCTCTGTTTCATTCTCGTCCAGCCAACTTACAGCGCCCCTGGTGAAGGAATTGCGGCACAGCACCACTTCTGAAAAAAAAATTCTGGGGAATTCATTAGAAAATACTCATCATTCCGCAAAATGCCCCAATAAATGTCCATTTAGAATAGTTGATTGAAGTTAAACACCTACACTGATCATTAATTACGAAACATTTCATTAATACTGGACCATCATACCTCACCAACAGGCCACAGGCTGCACACATGTACGTCTGAGGTGGTTGTGTGCAGTAAGGGAGCTCTGCAGGGTACGGTGCTCTCGCCCCTTCTATTAACCTCCTACACCTCAGACTTCACCTACAACACCAGCAGCTGTCACCTCCTGAAGTTCTCTGATGACTTGGCCATTGTCGGCTGTGTGTGTTTTTATTTATTTAAAAAAAAAATTGGGGGGGGGGGGGTAACCTGGAGTACAGGTGAGTCATCGTGGACTTTGTGGATAGAAAATAAGTTTTAGATCTTTACCTGTGGCACCACCGACTCTGTGGAATATGTTTCCTATCTCTATTAGGCAGGCGTCATCTGTTGCCATTTTTAAAAAGCTACTGAAAACTTACTTTTACTCGACAGCTTTTACTATTTCTTGATTACTTGGTAGTCATGTTTTTTATCATTTCATATGTCTGATTTTTTAATGTTTTATACGTCTATGTTCAGCACTTTGGGCAACATTGTTGCATTTAAATGTGACATACAAATAACCTTGATTTGATTTGATTCTGGTGTAACCGTAACCAACTTTGCTTAAACACCACTAAAACAAAGGAAATGGTGATTGACTTCCAGAGAAACACTCCTTCTCCAGTAAACATCCATGGTGTAGACATTGAGGAGGTGGATATCTGGGTATTCACCTCAACAGCAAACTGAACTGGTCCAACCAACACAGATTCTCTGTATAAGAAGGGACAAAGCTTCCTCCACCACCTGAGGAGGATGAGGTCCTTTGGAGTTATTCCAATCGGCTAAAATCCTTTTATCCCTCTGTTTTTGGCTCTGTTATTCACTCTGCAGTGGTCTGTTGGGGTTCAGGCAGCTCTGACCAAGACAGGTAGAGACTGAGCAAGCTAGTTCACAAAGCTATCGGTTCTGGGCTGTCCACTGGATTCAGTTGAGGAGATGTGTGAAAGAAGGATGCTGGGGAAGATGACCTCCATCTTAAAAATAAAAAAAAACCTCCCATCCACTGTGTTCCACTGTGGAGACCATGGACAGCTACTTCAGTGACAGACTGAGACATCCCAGATGTGAAACAGAACGCTACTGCCAGTCACATCCCCTCTGCAGTAAGTGTATAACTCCTCAGTTTAAGTTATATTACTAGCATTATCCTGGTACACACTAACATAAATGCAATACTCAGTATGAGTTCAATGCCTGTGCAATACCGGATTTATGTTCTAGAAACACAAGTTTTTCATTTTTATTTGTAGTTTTTATTGGCCGAGGGTTAAAACAATAGCTCACCGCCTGTGTGTATATACATGTGCCTTTGGTAATATTTTTCATCAAATGATTCTCTGATGCAAAGTTAATTTCCCCACTGTGGGATCAATAAAGTCTATTGTATAATATTTATCAATATTTAATATTGTAGTATATAACTTCTTATCAAGTCACTTTCTCCTGCACATTATATGACCCCTCTCTATCAAAAAATCCTCCCCACAAACATTGATTTTATATTATGTTAAATAATTGCTAAATTCCTCTCTCTTTTGAAAACTGAATGGAGTCTAAACACAGCATCCAAATGTACATTTATTACACGTTATCTTTATCTATATCTATTCAACATATATTTGACATTTATATTGATATGTTTTAGTTGGATATTTTTTTATTTGTCTATGTTTTACTTTTTCTTTTTTTTATCTTGCTTATTATTCATATGTATCAGGATTCTTAAGGCAGGATGGTTTAAATGAGCTTGTGTTTCAACCCATTCCAATTTTGATTTATCTACTTTACAACCTATAATTGTGCAATGGCAACACAATTATAATGCAAAGCTAAAAAAAATCTATTAGTTCATTGAATTCATCACCTTCAATTTAGTCTCTATTTGTTGCTACACTTGCATGATGTCAGTGACACTTTTGCTGGGACGTTTTTATTTATAATTACTTAATACAGCGCACATATGATTCAGCATACTAACACGTCCTTCTACTTCTGTTAAAAGTAACAGTAACTACTTTTACTACTGTTATTGAGGCTGCTGCTTACTACTATGTACCTAAACTAGACAAGAACGTCTCTCCCAGCGGATCTTCGTGCTGCAGTACCTTAATCCTCCTGTAGATGTCACTGTGGGTCAACAGCTTTCAAACAAATGAAGATGATGAAACCTGAAACTACCAAACTGCGGCCGCAGGGAAGATTATGTAATGTCTACGGGTTGCCAGGTGCTGAACAAGACAGTAGCGACGTGCTCCCAGACTCCGGATCTAAATGCAAAGATAACCGCCTCCCAATCTGGCAACCCCTGTGCTATGTGAGGATGCGTTTGCTTCATAAAGTCCAGCTAGCTGCTAAGAGTTAGCATAAGTAAGTTTGAAAGGATGTTGCAGAACAGGAAATGAAAAATAAAATTAAATCATTTAATGACGTAATCCTAAATGTTCTAAACAGACTAAACTGAAGAACATTTAAAATGCTGAGTGTAGAAACCAAGGAAAGAAAATACCAGCATTGCAAAGCAAATAACAAACCATTGTGTTTATTTAAGTTGATTTCAGTTGAATACTTACATAAATTATATACCACAATCAAAAGATCTCCAAAATAATATAAACATCATCTATCTATCATCTATCTATCTATCTATCTATCTATCTATCTATCTAGATAGATAGATAGATAGATAGATAGATAGATAGATAGATAGATAGATAGATAGATAGATAGATAGATAGATAGATGGATAGATAGATAGATAGATAGATAGATAGATAGATAGATAGATAGATAGATAGATAGATAGATAGATAGATAGATAGATAGATAGATAGATAGATAGATAGATAGATGGAGGATAGAGATATCCCGAAAACCTCTTATGATGAATTATGTAAATGGAAACAGTGTTCCCTCGACCAGATGTGGGTCACCGGGGCCCCCCTCTGGAGCCAGGCCTGGAGGTGGGGCACGTTGGTGAGCGCCTGGTGTCCGGGCTTTCACCCATGGAGCCCGGCCGGGCACAGCGCGAAGAGGAAATGTGGGTCCCACTTCCCATGGGCTCGCCACTTGTGGGAGGAGCCAAAGGGGTCAGGTGCAGTGTGTGACGGGTGGTAGTCGAGGGCAGGGACCTTGGCGGTCTGATCCTCGGCTACAGAAGCTGGCTCTTGGCACATGGAATGTCACCTCTCTGGTGGGTAAGGAGCCTGAGTTGGTGTGAGGTTGAGAGGTTCCGACTAGATATAGTCGGACTCACCTCAACGCATGGCTCTGGCTCTGGAACCGGTTTCCTTGAGAGGGCTTGGACTTTCTACCACTCTGAAGTTGCTCCCACTGAGAGGCGCCGAGCAGGGGTGGGCGTACTAGTTGCCCCCATTTTGGTGCCTGTACGTTGGGGTTTACCCCGGTGAATGAGAGGGTAACCTCCCTCCGCCTACGTGTGGGGGGACGGGTTCTGACTGTGGTCTGTGCTTATGCACCAAACTACAGTTCAGACTACCCACCCTTTTTGGAGACCTTGGAGGGGGTGCTGGAAAGCGCTCCTTCCGGTGACTCCCTCGTTCTGCTGAGGGACTTTAACACTCACGTGGGCAACGACAGGTATGACGGGTACCGGCAGTCCAAGCGGAACGCGGCTCAGGTGGTCGCCGAGGCAAAAACCCGGGCATGGGAGGAGTTTGGTGAGACCCTGGAGCAAGACTTACGTACGGCTTCGAGGAGATTCTGGTCCACCATCAGGCGCCTCAGGGGGGGGGGGGGGGGGGGGGGGAAGCAGTGCGCTACCAACACTATCTATAGTGAGGACAGTTTGCTGCTGACCTCTACTCAGGATGTTGTGGATCGGTGGGCAGAATACTTCGAAGACCTCCTCAATCCCACCGACACGTCTTCCAGTGAGGAAGCAGAGTCTGGGGACTTTGAGTTGGCCTCTCAAATCTCTGGTGCTGAGGTCACTGAGGTGGTTATAAAGCTCCTCTGTGGTAAGGCTCCAGGGGTGGATGAGATCCGCTTTCGCTGGAGCGGTTTGCAGCTGAGTGTGAAGCAGCTGGGATGAGAATCAGCGCCTCTAAATCTGAGAGCATGGTCTTGACTCGGAAAAGGGTAGAATGCCTTCTCCGGGTCAGAGATAAGGTCCTGCCCGAAGTGGAGGAGTTTAAGTATCTCGGGGTCTTGTTCACGAGTGAGGGAAAACTGGAGCGTGAGATCGATAGGCGGATTGGTGCTGCATCTGCAGTGATGCAGGCGTTGTACTGGTCTGTCGTGGTGAAGAGAGAGCTGAGTCAGAAGGCGAAGCTCTCGATTTACCAGTCGATCTACGTTCCTACCCTCACCTATGGTCATGAGCTTTGGGTAGTGATCGCGGATACAAGCGGCCAAAATAAGTTTTCTCTGAAGAGTGGCTGGGCTCTCCCTTAGAGATAGGGGTGAGAAGCTCAGTCATCAGGGAGGGGCTCAGAGTAGACCCGCTGCTCCTCCACATCGAGAGGAGCCAGTTGAGGTGGCTCAGGCATCTGGTCAGGATGCCTCCTAGACGCCTCCCTGGTTTTCCGGGCATGTCCAACTGGAAGGAGACCTAAAGGTAGACCCAGGACACGGTGGAGGGACAATATCTCTCACCTGGCCAGGGAACACCTTGGGATTCCCGCGGAGGAGCTAGCCCAAGTGCCTGGAGAAAGGGATGTCTGGGCCTCTCGCCTTAGGCTACTGCCCCCGCGACCCGACTCCAGATAAGCGGATGAAAATGGATGGATGGATTTATATATATAAATGTGCTATATGACATATAAAAGGGAGCATTGTTCAAAACCCTGATCATCAATTGTAAACTGAAATGAAGTTTTAAAGATCTAAATTCTCCTCAGCCACTTTCAGATTAATGAATTAGAGGAGGTGTAGAGTAACAAAAAAACTGACAGGGATTATTCTGTGTTAAATTCAGGATAGTTGAAACTGTTGCTGATGAAAGCCAGCAGGCTTTACAGCATTTTTTCCACCAACCACGGTACCCTGGATTATTAACATTGGAATAATTTAAAATATTTCCTAAAGGGGATACATACCCATACATATAATAATCCTTATTACCCCTAAAATTATTAATATTTTGCAGAGTTTGGACGTTTTGCATTCTCATTAAGCTGAACTTTTTTATTTTTAAAGTGAGTAAATAAATAAAACCTATCAAAAATAAGTGCTTGCCTGTAGATTACGTAGATAATTAAAATTCAAGTCATGTTTTATGTTCCTATTCATATCGGGGTATTATTTTGAAAATAGACAGGAAGTGCACCGTCCTCACCACTGACTCGGCGCGTGCGGTGGTCTTGTATCTGCCGCTCCGTTCGGAGGGATTTTCTTTCCGCGTCGCTGGAGCCAATCACGGCGTCTCCGCTGTGTTCCGAGGCCCATAGCGGTCTGACTGGATCCGTCCAACGTCCGGAGGACTGGTTCTGCGCAGAGAATCAGCCCGCGGATGGGTTTGTCTCCAGGCGGGGGACCTGGAACACCGGGCCCGCAGCGGGAGAAAGAAAACGTTTCTGACCCAGAAAACGGGACTGACGGTTGGGCTAGTTGTCAACTAGCAGGCCAGCTAGCATCTGGCTGCAGCAGAGGTCGGAGGGAGGCTCCCTGCTGAGAACGGATAACGGAATTATTTCTGATTTACCAGGATACCTTTTCTACACTCATTGCACTTCAGGGGAATTTTTCAGAATTTTTATTTTATTCTTGGGGTTTCGAAGGACTGCTGTCGAGCTAGCTGCGGGCTAGTTCAGTTAGCTTCTCTCCGTGGCAGCCAGACAGCGGAGGACCCGGAGGAGCACCTGCCGTCTCTCCGTGCTTTGTTACCCGTTAACAGACTTTTGGAAGTCGGGACGATAATCATGGCTGCAAATATAATGAAAGTGATTGTTAGCGGGAATAAAAGGCGGTACCAGGAGGACGGCTTCGACCTGGATCTTACCTGTATCCTTTACTGCTAACGCCCCGCAGAACTCTATTCAAAATGTTGTGATTCTGCCATGCTGCTGCTCATTTAAAACGATACAGGGCTGCTCCTCACGTTTCATACACAGTCAGAACTCCGTTAGTAAAACTGGGTATTTTAGAGGTTTGTGAATTGAAACCGGATATGTTACCGACCTGATATTTGGGGGAGAAAGTGTTGAAAATCTCTCGAGGCTGCAGAGTTAAAATTCAGTTTTCACCGTCATGAGCCTGTAGGTGCTGGAGAGCATGTGTTTGGTCTAAAATGATATTCCCCCCCCCCCCCGTAGACTTCTCGATGCAGCCTCACACACGTTTAACATAAAATGTTTGTGCTGACTATGGATATTAGGCAGAATAATTATTTACCAAAGTTGGTGATTCCAAAACCACAGAGAAAGGGTGAGATATGTTGCTTTCATCGGTGTCGATGAATGTCACAGTTGGGACTGGTTGAAGAGCTCATTGTCGTCAAAGTCTTTGGCCTTTAAAAGTGGGCCGGTCCTGATGGAGATCAGTAAGTCATTTAGGCCTAACAGTCTGGATTCACATAAAACGGTATAAAATCACTTCATCCTCACATTTGACTCCTCTAAAGAGCAAAGAGGAAAACATCAGACTTTTGTTTCTGATGATTTAGCGTCTTGTTTGATTTAGCTGCTCAGTTGTTTGAGATTCTGCAGGACCTGTAGCTCAAAACAAAGAATCAGTCTGATCTGCAGATGGGCTGAGCATCACCACCAACAATGTCTCCTGTAGAACCTGCAGCTCTCGTCATAGAAAACGTGTAATAGCAAGTGGAGGACATTGTTCTGCTCTGTTGAGTATTTGGTGTTGTGACCGGGTTTGCTGTAGGCCCACCTGGGCCTATTAGTCTTAATGATGAACTCATCTTCTGGGGAACTGCTTTAAATCCACCTTAAAGAAATTTCACTTTAATGGTTGTCCTGATAGGATGAGGACTTATCAGTATTTTCATTTGTGCTGTCTGATCAAACTGAAGGATCTGTCACTACATCTGAAAAGTGTCATTTTCAAGCACAGATGTTGGTTCCGTTCAGATCAGCTGTTTTACAGTTAAAATAGAACTCTGACGCTGAAGCTGACCAATCACAAAACCTGATCAGTACCTGAGATCATATCAAAACGTCTAAAACATGAAACCCGTTCTCTTTACCTGCTTCTCAACATGTGCTGGTTTGTAGTTCTAACAGAATGATCTGGCCCTGATCGATCTGTTTTAGTGGATCAGTAACCAGAGGTGTTGAACTGGTGCACAGTTTTTCTCCTTGTACAGCTCTGACCTGCCGATTCTGATTTCTCTTTAAGAATAGTAAATAATCCCATTTTTCAAATATCTGATTTGGTTAAAGATTGTGATTCGTGTGCATTAATGTACACATTTCTGCAGTCTAGTCACTAGGCTTCAGTTTTTAAGTTAAAATTAAGTGAAATAGAATGACTCACTCATACCAGCTCAGTGGCTTAATGGTACGAGTGGCCACCTTGGGATCGGGGTCCAAATTCCGGTCAGGTCATTCCAAAGACTTTAAAAAATGGAAACCAACTCCTACCTGTTTGACACCCTCCCACTGTCCTATCGGGTGACCCTTTCAGGAAAGGTGACCGTTGAGCAGGGTTGATGGTTTGTCCCTTGAGGTCCACATGGCAGGGGTGTACCTCAAGGGACAAACCATCAACCCTGCTCAAGGGTCACCTTTCCTGAAAGGGTCACCCGATAGGACAGTGGGAGGGTCAAGAGGTTGGATTGGGGTATAAAACCACCAAATGGTTCCCAGGCTCAGCCACTGCTGCAGCTCATCCGTTTCTCACGGAGATGGGTCAAATACGGACATGTAATTTCACCAGTGTGTGATGACTAATGGGACTTTAACTTTAACTGCTGCATGACAAATCAGCAGAAATTGTTCATTAGCAAGGCACAGATACGGTTAGGGGGGCTGTTCTCATACAGCTTTGATTTAGGCTGATTCAGCTTTATCCAAAACTACTAAAATTATCAGATCACACTTTATTTTTCTTCTATTCCTCATTAACTTAAACTATAATTCAAAAAGTAATAATGTCCACATAAACCTCTGATTTAGCTAGCTGTAGGGAGTTGATGAATAAAAAAAAAATCAAACTTTTTATTGCTGCTTGGCTGTGGTGTGTTCACTGGCCCTGGGAAAAGAAAATATTTTGCATTTCAGACTGGTTGATCACCAGTTAAGCTGAACACTGGCTGATTATGGTTTTCATATTTGCCTGAGCACACATCAAACACTCAGTATTGTGGAAAACTTAAATTTCTACAAACCCTATTTGAAATAAACTGCAGCTGTGTCCAAAATTATACTGGTGAGAAAAATAAAAACTTGCTTGTTTGATCAGTCAGATTGTTGAGTTACCTTTTCATTTTACTGTAACTTAATAGCTATTTAACAAGTGTTCTTTCGTAAACCTGTTATACACCTCGAGAGTCATGGTGATGTTAGACCTGTGGGAGAGAGACACGCTTGTACTGCCTGCAGGTTCACAGTAAATTGGATTATCCTAAAACAGAATAAATACGCTGCTAACATTTTGTACGTTTCTTCAAAAACATTTGTCTTTAGTGCAGTTAATAACAGCTGTAATTTTTCCCAACTAGTAAATACAGCTAGCTACCATGACATAAAGATGTTGGATGCTGATGAGGATGAAACAGTCACTTTTCTAAAAGACGTTCTGTTGTCCAGTAAAGTTAATGAAACCTTTATCTTCATGGATAACAGACCTGCTGTAGAAATGCCTTACAGATGTAACATGTAACCTGATGTCTTTTTCAGTCAGTAAAAACTTCTGCACAGATGTGTTTTTGATGGTGACAATTAGCTGCTTAACTTTGACACTCTTCACTGTCCAAGAATAATGTTATTTTGGGTGTTTGGTTAAGTGATTCTAGTCAACAGCCAGTAAACTGGTACTTCTATAAGTCACCAGTTGCAGGTGTTCCAGATGTTTCTGTCCCTAACTCACCCATCAGATATCTACCCAAACATCATCGCCATGGGCTTCCCTGCTGAGCGGCTGGAGGGCGTTTACAGAAACAACATCGATGATGTTGTTCGGTGAGTCTCATTCTGGGTTCATGCTCCTGATTCTGAACACGCTCGCTCGTCACATGCTGACCCAGTCTGCTGATGTCTCAATCTTAACAATTCACACACATGGTGTAAGACACCTGAAACTGTTGTACGCTGTTCAATAGAATGTTTTTGTTTCAGATTTTTAGATTCAAAGCACAAGAATCACTATAAGATCTACAATCTGTGAGTACTGATGAGTTGTTTTTCTTCGTTATTTTGATCGTTTGATGATTTTGGTTTAAAAACACGGAGAATGGGGATGCTCTGATACATAATCGTAACAGCTGTCTCAGTGAAAGGTCATTTTCTGACCCAGAACTGAAGACTAGTTTCTCTGAAGCGAAGTCAGGTTTTTGTTTCTGATGGTGAAACCTGTCGTCATCTCCTCAGATGTGCTGAGCGACATTATGATACTTCCAAGTTTAACTGTAGAGGTGAGACTCGCTCAGATTCTGACCTGCAAAAATATTTTTTCTGAAAGCTTCATCCATTTATGTTTTAGGTTTTTCAACTCTAACAAGCATCTCTGTGTTTCAGTCGCTCAGTATCCGTTTGAGGACCACAACCCGCCCCAGCTGGAGCTGATCAAACCCTTCTGTGAGGACCTGGATCAGTGGCTGAGTGAGGATGAGCAGCATGTAGCCGCCATCCATTGCAAGGCGGGAAAAGGCCGAACGGGGGTCATGATCTGTGCTTACCTGCTGCACAGAGGGAAGTTCCAAGAGGCTCTGGAGGCTCTGGACTTCTACGGAGTGGTCCGAACCCATGACAAGAAGGTGACTACTCTTAATAAGTATACACTTCTCCCTACTCCTTTTCAAACAATTGCGTGGAATGATTTTATGAAATGTTGGTGAATGTATATGTTTGAAATAAAGTGAACTGAAGTGAAGTGAACTACAGCTGCTATTCACCAACAGATACATGAGCATGGTTAAACCTTTTATAGATGAGTCTTTATTCTGGATCTGTTCATGGTCAGCTAAACTCTTACTGTGTAACAGACAGCTGGTTCAGTTTCATTCTGTGCCAAGTAAATTTCTGGTTCACTTCTTGAGTTTATGGTCCTTTTTTGGCCTAAAATAGCTAAAGGTCAATGGTCAGTGTCTTAAAAAAACATTCTTCTAAACGTTCAGGTACAAGGAGTGAAGCAAATTGAAAAGGCGGCCAATGTCCATAAAAAAAGTGTTGATCCAGACCACATTAAAGGTTCTGTGACCGTTTAAAGACAGGAGAGGCAGTTTTATATTCTGAGTACCTGTTTCTATAGTTACTGTTCTCTGAGTCCAGCTGGTCAGACTAAAGGTCTGAAATGTGTGTGCGTGTGTGTTCAGGGTGTGACCATCCCCAGTCAGCGCCGTTATGTCATCTACTACAACTACCTGCTGAGGAACCGGCTGCAGTACAAACCCGTGGCCTTGCTCTTCCATAAGATGATGTTTGAGACCATCCCCATGTTCACTGGGGGCACCTGCAGTAAGTCCTCCCTGTCAGGTGTTACAGCTGGAGACGTTCCAACAGGCCACTCACATGTGCTGTTGTCTCCCTGCAGACCCACAGTTTGTGGTGTACCAGCTGAAGGTGAAGATCCACACGTCTAACCCAGCCAACACACGGAGAGAAGACAAGCTGATGTATTTCAGGTTCCCACAGCCACTTCCTGTCTGTGGAGACATCAAGGTGGAGTTCTTCCACAAACAGAACAAGATGATGAAGAAGGTGAGGAGTAAACTGTGAATGCAAATTATAAATAATTCCAAACTATTTCCTTCTAGCCTTTTCAAAAGGAGTAGTTTAATATTTATTCTTTTTCTACTATTTACAACATATAGTCTCTAAACAACAACATAAAGAAACATAATTTTTACTTTTTTTATTTATATATATATATATATATATATATATATATATATATATATATATATATATATATATATATATATATATATATATATATATATAGGCTAACTCTACTCCATTATTGCTACCTTCTACCTTCATGGACACTTTGTGTTCAGAGAAAAAGGACCCGGACAACTTTTTCTCCCAGAATGGACGGACAACTGACTTCTCCTCTCACTTGTCTTCCTCTGTCCATACAGGAAAAGATGTTCCACTTCTGGATCAACACCTTTTTCATCCCGGGACCAGAGGAGACTTTGGACAAACTGGAGAATGGCAGTGCTGGTACACTACGGGAACTGTCTGACAAAACTCATCAGAACCCAACGATGGTGGCGGGAAGTGAAACTAACGACAAGGACTTCCTGATTCTAACGCTGAACAAGAATGACTTGGACAAAGCTAATAAGGACAAAGCCAACAAGAACTTCTCCCCAAACTTCAAGGTAGAAAAGGACAAATTTTCTTAGCTTCAGTCCTGTTTTTTCTGGTTTTCAACTGAACATCTTGCTGAGTGATTAAAGCAGACATTAGATTCTTTTCCAGATGACCTGCATTGTTGGACAAAACGTCCTCGGTGTTGCTCCTGCGCCACGCCTGAAATTCTAGCGCCACAGCTATGAAATCAACCCCCCCCCCCCCCCCCCCAACACCTCCGCTGTCACGGCTGACGCACGGCACCGAAACGTTCCGCGCGCTATTACCCTCTTCCTTGCGCAACGAAACGATCCAAATGTAACCCCGCCAGCGAAACGGTCCCAAGCGTGCAAACATTCTCCTCCTCCTCCACCCCGCTGCCCTCACAGATGGAATACAGCAGCGAAACGATCCCGAGCATGCACTCCCCCACCCCTTCTCACGGCCAACGCACGGCACCGATACTGGGATGCAGCTTGGTTCCAATCTGTTGACTCGGCTATTAAAAAAAAATTATATTGGGGGAAAATAAACAAAGAATTAAACTTGCTACACTCCAGGAGCCAAAATTGCAAGGAGGCAAAGGCAGCTTTATTTATAGAGCACATTTCAAACACAAAGACAATAAAATGTGCTTTACAATTATCAGGACATGATATGAAAACAACATAAAAACACAAATTAAAATACACACAAATGGATTTACAGTTTAGAGCAAAAGGAGAAGACCAAGTTACAACGCAGATTACAGTGGAGATGACGCTTGATAAACAATTTATTTAAAGGCTGATGAGTACATTGGGGTTTTTTGTTTTGTTTGTTTTAAACAACACTAGGGTTGCGGCAGATCTGAGGTCATGGGGACGCTGATTCCATATGTGAGCAGCATAGTAGCTAAATACATCTCCACTAATGCGGCAAACTTATCACTATTCATTAGGCAACATCTACAATTTATTCACAATTTATCCATCCAAACCCATCTGACCAAACTTGGATAGACACTGAACAAACAATATACAGAAATATTAAAATATCAATTTTACACACTGGTTCAAGCATTCTGGGGGAAAAAAATAGAATGCTTGAACCTTCGACTGCCATCCGCTGAGCAAAAAACGTCCTTACCCATCCGTCTAGCTCCTCCTTGAGTGTGGACTCTCACGACGGCAGTGAGGAATGTATGGAGCTCTGAAGGTGACAGAATTTGCTGCTACTTGCTGGCATTTTTTCACATTCATGTACAGCTAACAAATATACAAACAATGGAACTTCGTTTGTTTTGCTTGTTGCAAGTAGTGAAGTATTTCTGTCAACCAATCAGTGCGCTGTGTTGTTGCTCCACCCTAATCATACCGCTCCAAAAATTTCTGGACCTACAACTGAAGGGAGCCAAAAAAAGTCCCGTGACTGGCGCGGTACGGGTAGGTTTTCTGGACCAGTTTTACAATCGTAACAGAAAAATTTGCGACCTGATCTGTCCGATTCCATGCCAAAACAGTTGATGGAAATTGGCTATTAGGCAACTATTGTTTTTTAATAGACTTGGTAGTTCGTTGGTTAAAGTGTCTACCATCCTAGTTCTGCCATCTGTTGATGTGGGTTCGACTACCGTTCGACTATTAATTATTTTCTGCCAAATGTTGTTAGCCTCAAACTAGGGCTGGGCAATAAATCGAAAATTTATCATTATCAAAGTTTCTGACTCTTATTTAGGTAATTTTTCCCATATCAATAAATTTGATAATAAAAAGATGAAAAGATGTTTGTAGGTTGGCAACGTTCATGTGCCTTTAAGAAGCTGTGTCACCTTGAGTCATGTAAAAATGTCACTCAAATTCTACATGTGACAGCCCCAGCTAGTGGGGAACTTTTGATTCTGTGCATACCTGTACTTATCGTCCATTTATCGTTATCGAGGTGAAATCCTCAATATATCGTGATATTAATTTTAGGCCATATCGCCCAGCCCTACCTGCTGGCTTCATTATCACTTGTAAGTTAGACTAAAGTGTCCGCTAAATACATAAACATGAATATTTTGTGTCTAATGATCTTTGAATTTGGTCATTTCTGAGCAGCATTTTAGTTGATACTCTGCCCACCTCACATGGACTCACACTGGCTAGATAAAGATTAGTCCTTACTTTTTAAAGAGCAAGTCACCCCCTACCGGAGTCTTACTCCACTCCCACTTCAAGTTTGAAAAATGCAACAGATGCTGTTGCCTGGCAGACCGAGAGACCTGAGCCGCTAACAAATACACACACACAGGCTCACAACGACATTGTGACATCATAATGTACCAGCTAACTTCATAGTGTACCTCTTAGCCAATAGGGATGGCAGATTTAAATTCAAATGCAGTGCAGAGTTTTTACCTGACGAGGGCACAACACTGACAGTTTAAAGCAGAAAATTAAAATTTTAATTAAGATTAACTAAAGTGCCAGATTGTTGACTACACATGTCTACCACACAGTTAGACACTCATTTATATAGTTTATCAGCCAAAAAAAGTTGATTTGGGGGTGACTTGCTCTTTAAACAGTTCACCAATAAAGCGTTGAAAACATTATACTGGCGAGTGTAACTAAAAAAAGAAGAAAAAAAGTTACAGCTCAGACAGGGACGTCTAAGACGCTGCTGTAGGCCCGTTTTGTCGGAGTGGGCATGGGCGGAGTTTCTCTGAGACGGACCGTTTTATATCCGAGTCTAAATTCAGGCTGACGAAAATAACTTATATTTCAAATGAATCTTTTTTTTTAATTTGTTTTCTCTTCATTTGTATATCAGTTATTCACACATACACACCTTTTCTTCACTTTATCTTTTGATGACTATGTAACTATGGTGTAAAGCAGAGACGGTAAAGAATTGGAGATAATGGAGATTAACATTCTCTCAAAGCCAGATTTTTTTCTGAGGGTACCATATAGAAGTGGACAATTGTATTGCACCTTAAGCCCCTGTCCTTACTTTCATGATTACGGCTGGAAGCAACACCTCTTATTCATGAAAGTGCACTCCTAGCCGGACTGAATCAGTTCTTTAACTTCTAGAGTTCAAAGAGCTTTTTGTTTGTTTGTTTATTTAGGGGTCTATAGCTTGATGAATGAAACGAGACCAAATGCTTTCACTGCCATAAAAAAGATCAAATACTTGTTTAGGTTTTAGATGGTGGTTTTATCTGCTGATTGTGGATGCTCCTGATTTTTTTCTGTAGGTCAAACTGTTTTTCACCAAGACAGTGGAGGAAGGAGCCAACTGTGACACGAGCAGCACGTCAGCCTCGGTGACGCCGGACGTCAGCGACAACGAGCCGGATCACTACCGCTACTCGGACACAACGGACTCGGACCCTGAAAACGAGCCCTCTGAAGAGGACCACCATAATCAGATCACAAAAGTCTGACACACTCTCTCACACACATTTATCAGGCGTATACGTGTACATAAACACACAGTATGTCTGTATACACAGCCGGAGCGCTGGACAGGGACAAGAGTGTGACAGGCTTTAGGGGGAATCGGATCAGAACTGATCTGTGGACTCAAAAGAACTCAGATCAGTTTACAACCCCAAACCCCCATCATCACAGTTGGACAATCATTGTGTGGCAGGCAGCAATGAGGGGGGGGGGTGACATATGAGTGGGTGGGGCCTTGTGTTGACAAATGAATGGACAGATGGATTTTAAAAGAAAAGGAGTGAAACTTGAATCTAAACAAACTCAGAGACAAGTAGACTTCTTCTCAAAGATAAGTCCCTTCATTTCCTTCCTTCCTGAGCAGCTTTAGTAAACGTTATGCAGACGAGTCTTGATTTTGTTTTCATCTCTGTCCCCATGTAGTGTCATATATGGATCTTCTCTCTGTGCATTGTTGTCACCTTTTTAAACCTAAATTCACATAAACTCTTTTAAATTATTTCTGTTTTTATTCACCATGACGATGATGATAAAAACACATCTGCTGAGTTAATTGCTCCTGATTAACAGGTGTAAAGTAGGCATGGGCTGGTTTCAGGCTGGCACTGCAGGTTTCACTCCCTCTCTCCAGTCAGTCAGTTGTGTGACCCAAAGGATAGAATTTTTACTGAACTTTTCCCTCATTAAAAAAGTCGGCTAATTAAAAATGTTTCCAGCAGCAGCAGAAACACAGTTTATTACCTTACAAGTGCCATCTATTGCTCTTTTAAAGTAACGCCGTTTACAGCCTCTTGCTTGCTTGCTGACATCAGCAGTCAGGAGGCTCCCAACCTTACTTCACAAATAGCAGAGCACAATATAATATGCATGTTTACTTTAGATGAATGACTAAAGTTATTTGGTGCTTCTTCTGTGTTTTTGATTTACTTCTCCATCTTTGTGCTCACATTTTTTGAAAAGTTATAGCATCATTCGAGCAGCCTCCTGCTACTTTGGTCAGCAGAGAACAGGAAATGAATTCTCCACCAATCTTTAGCTCTTTCAAACCCAAATAAAATGTTTAAGTTAAATATTCATCATTCATTGTTTTTCTTAGCTTGCTTAGTACTGATTAGAATTACAGGAACTGGTGCCCATCTCTAGCAGTCATCTGGTAAATGCGTGGGTCACCCTGGTCAGGTCGCCTGTCCGTTGCAGGGCCAAGTAGAGACCAACAACACCCCCAATCACTCACAATTTAGATCCACTAACTAAACAAACATGCATGTTTTAGGTCTGGGAAAATCCTGAGTACTGTGGGGGAACCCACACATTCATGAGGAGATCTTGCACAAAACCCAAAGGTTGCATATGGTTTTTGACCCCACAACCTTGTTGCAAGGTAACGTTGCTAGTAACTGTGCCACCAAGCAGCCCACTTTAGAATCAGATCAAGGTAAACCCTCATCTTTTTCTGGAATCAGAAACCTGGTCCCACGTGCTTCTGCTACCAACCACGCAACTGTGCAGCCCAATACTGTCCCTACAGTAGTAGATAAAACAGTAATATGTGACATTTAAGTGGTAGTAATAGTAGTCACGTTTCTGTTTGTAAATTAATTGGATGCACAGGAAAGTTTTAGTTTAAAATTATTCTGTTGTAGCTCTTGAAGGTCGTCCATCAGAACCTCCTAACCGTCCATGCCTACTGTAGCGTTTTAATGAGCTAAAGCAGCTCAGTCTGTCCCCGCAGAAACAATCTAACAGAATTTTTGTGTTTTAAAATGAGAAAGTGGTACATAAAATTTGTTTCTGATAAGTTTTAACGTATCAAAGCAAGAAAACTTGATTTTGTTTTTCACCCCCTCACAGACACTAGCTGATGAGCCGCATCAGTCGGGTTCAGATTGGACCTCTGCAACATTTAGAGCTTTGATCTGGAGGCTTTGACCTCCTAAAATCTCTGGGCTAGAATCTTAAAATTGGGTGGGATTTTTTTGTTTTCGTGGCATGGCGGTGCACTGAGAGAAGTGCTGACCTGTTTGAATGTGACTCTGAAGTAGATGTTTGGATTCTTCACGATCTGCTGCCATTCTGTCAATCAGCTTGTTTCTGCTGTGAAAAAATTCCTGGTTCTGTCTGTCCTCCTTGATCCTCTTCACTTAGCCCCAGAGCTACAAGATATGTATTTATATCCATCATTAAGCTGAACAACACAGTATAACCATTCCTTCTGTCAATCTGCGTCTCAGCTGCACGCTGTCTCTGACACAACGGAGCGCTTGGTTTTTATGTGTCTAAATGCTAGGTGGGTGGAGTTTATTTAAAACACTTCACTGAATCCGGATGTGGCCTGTAAATAATTCCAGGCGTGCTCTGTCCATCTGTCTGGATCATGCTGTGTGGTGGTGGCGTTCGGCGGATTTCAGTTATTTTCATGGATTTATCAGAACCGTATAAGCTATAGATGTAGAATTTTTTTGGAAACAGAAACCAGGATTTGGGTGGTGTCTGGGTCATGAGAGCTTTACGGTATGGGTCAGAAGAGGTTGAGAAAAGCAGTTTTTAAAGATGAAAGCTCCAACACCAGCCTCTTTTAACCTTTGTCCACTGGGTTGTGGTGCTGGATCCACTTTAGAAACCGTCTGTGCTTCAGCAGCTGAAAGATGAAGAGCTGCTTCTGTGGCAGTTACTGGGTTTGAACCAGCACTAGAACCACTTTGGTGGAAAAGGCTCCTGCATGTCTGGTTTCTGTCATTTCAGAGAAAGTGATGAACAATAATTCTTATTCTGTCTATAGAATATTAGTCATTTCACTTGTATTTTTGGAAATGTCTGAGCATCGAAACATTTGTAAACTAGCAACAAGAAGAGGTTTTATGGTCATATTAGCATCTCGGCAGACCCAACTCTTCTGTCTGGGTTCTACTGAAGCAGGTGAACTTTAGAGATGTCCTTAGGTCTGAAGTAAGTGGAAGTTTCAGTCCGTGTTCCTGATTATGGTCTTCACATTCGGTGCTAAAACTTATCTGCTCTCTTCTTCCTTACTGTCCATCTTTGGTGCCGTGTCAGGACTCCAGATTGGTTCTGGAGGTCTGTGTTATGAAAGTTATTGGCCTTTGGAAGGGTCTGATCACACAGCCGGCATTCTGAAGTATGAAACACACACACACCTTCAGCGAGAAAACTCTGACCACTTTCTGCTCACAGGGGGATTTCAGCAGGTATATTGGTCATTATGTTTGGCTCATTAATGCTGAGTGGGTCAGTTTCCTTCCAGTCGTCTGTATCAAACCTAGGAGCAGAGGCTGATGTGGACTTTCTTCCTCCTCAGTGATCAGCCTGCAGCTTCATATGAACTAGCTGAGCTGCTGTTGGACCTCCAGGCCATCTTGTTTAGATGTAGGTGCTAAGTTATAAGTTTTGTTGTCCATCTGTGGTGCTTTCTACAGCAGCAAGCATTTAGTCAGGCCTTTTCTGCTATGCTCTGCAGCTCTCTGAACCTGCTATTTACAGCGACACTTCTCTTAGGTGCTGTTGGACCTGACCCACTTCCTGTCATCAGCCTGTTCGGACACGACCAACGTGGACAAAATCAGAAACCTGTCAGTCGTTCAAAGTTTTGTTTCAGGATGTTTTGCTTGTTTCATAGCTGCTGACCTTTAAAGCTCCCAGGAAGTTCTACCAGCTCCTACAGAGTCAGGTGTGTGCTGATTGGTCAGCTAGACGAGCCTGATCAGCCTGGGAGGATTTAATTGGACATGGATTTAATAACCTTCCTTTAAATTCAAAAAGAAAAATCACAGCAGCTAAATAAAATAAATTCAGGAATCTTCAGTGTTTGTTCAGCCAGAGTAAACACAGAAGATGCTGAAGATGAGCGTGACAGCAGATTACTTCCTGATGAAGGCAGGAAGTAGATCTGCTGATTGTAATGTAAACTGAAGGGGCTTCAGGTGTTTAGGTCAGGTTGGTGCTGTCCACATTGGTCAGGTGCTTAATGGTGGTTTCTTTTAGCCAGATGTTGGTCATCGATGAAAAGCTCAACTCTTCTGGAAACAAATCCATAAAAGTAGGCGCCTCGTGTCTCCATCAGCTGTTTTGCTCAAAAATGTTCAGGTTCTGTTTCTGGTTCCACCTGATAGAACCTGGTTTAGACTGGTTTTCCACTCAGACTCATACTTAGATTTCTGTTTCAGCCAACCAGCTCACTCTGTTTACATCTCATCACCAAATCTGCCAACACGAAGCTCACTTTTTGTTGTCTGTTTATTTTTGGTTTGATGAGGTCATCTCTCCTCCTGACAGAGGAGGTGAAGTCCTCATCACCTGTTGGTTTATGAAACAATCACCAGTTACTCTACATTTCATCACATTTATCAGTCATCATGTGACTAATGTGAGATACGATTTGGCTCTTCAAGTTTCAGAATAACAGAACCAACAAGTCCAGGAGTAAAAAAAAAAAGTTTAATTTGAACCATCTGATCGTTTCTGGGATGATGGGTTCTGTTCTTTTGGACTAAGCCCTGCCCTCATAAACACTTGTGTCCTGCTCTTTTACCTAAAGTCATCTGATGACTGAAGCATTTCATTAGGTCAACAACAAACATTTCTCCTCATTGAGGGTTTCTGTAATTTCTGAAGGTAATTTCTTTCAAGATAAACTGTTGACTGTGATGTCATCATGATGATGTCATCCTCTCACTGCAGTGGTCTCTAAATGATGAGTATAGGTCCATTCTGCAGGACTCTGTTGTCCATACCAACTCTGTTGTCACGTTTTCTTTTGGTGTTTCAGTCATCAAACATTCGCTGTAATCCTACGACCCACGTCGCCATAGAAACGCGTTAAACTGACCCTCTTCCTCCCTTCCCTGTTTTATTCCGCCGCTCCTTGTTTTATATGGAAATAAAAACACTGTAAAGGTGAATAAACTATTTATAAACAGCTGTGGTTTGTCCCGAGTTTTGTTTGCGCACTCCCATGAGCCTTGAGGTGTCCAGCTGGAACTCATTACATCAATAATCATCCAGAGGATGTGAAATCTCTTTTCTAACACCAAATGATGCATCAGAACCTGCGGCTTGTTGCTATGGTGACAAGTAAAAATTCCAAATTGGAAAATGACATCCTGCTCTAACAAGTTGTGTACTGGATAAAAACCTCAAATAGAAATAATGTCTGAGGGATTTTTTTGTTGTTGCAAAAAATACAAAAACAAAATGTAATCAGGGTATCCGCGGGTCCTTAAAAAGTCTTAAATTTGCTTTTCCAAATTTAAGGCCTTGAAAATCCTTAAATCCAGTTTCCAAAGGTCTTAAATTACCAAAGACCCAATAAGCAAGATTATTTTATTTCTATAAAAATTTTCGTGAATTTCTAGTTTGTGTTCAGCATTTTTTGTGTACGATGTTGGCGTAAGCGGAACCGTACACATTCAGTTGGTTGTGAAAGGGGGCTGTTTTTAGATGAGCACATTAGCTGGTTAAGCTAGTGGGAGCTTTTGGCTTGCGCCATGGGGAAGTGCAAGTTTAATGGTAACTGGATGGCTAATCCCACGTTCACGACGTTAGCACTGGCCCCAGGCAATAGCTGGAAATTATAGCTTAAATTTGGTCAAAGTGGCCTTAAAAAGGTCTTAAATTTGGCTCCCTTAAACCTGCAGATACCCTGGTAATCAATGAGTTTAACTGAATCAGAATTTAAACCACAGACAGGATGAATTCTTCCGATTATGTTGGTTCCTGAAGATTCTGTCTTTTAGGAAATCCAGTTGCTGAGTTTGTATCATGAGACCAAACTCATCTGGAGTGTTTCCATCTGTTGCTGGGAGACAAAAAGCCTCAAGAGTTCTTCAACACCAGTCAAATCAGAGCAGAGAGCGTACCAGTTCTTGGTGTTCTGAGCAAACGCTGTTCATGTTGCTCAGTTTGTCATCCACCTGTGACAGAAATAATCACACTCTGCAGCAGTTGTACTGAGAGCGCTCCAAACGACAGAGAAGAAATGAGGTCACGCGCTCAGAGCCTCACGGGTAGAGAACCAGAACTAATTCTGTCTGTTCTGCTGCTATAAAAAGATCAGAGGAAGTTCTGCAGCATCTTCGCTGCATCAGTCAGCTGGTCGGAGCCGGCTGATGCTCTGCAGCTATCACACCAGGTGGTACACAACTGGTCCTGAACCAGTCAGAAAGCAGGAACCTGGACCTAGTCCACCCCCCCCCTACCTGTGGCCTTTATGTGGTCTGAATTTTGTTTTGTGCATTCGGGTCACACGATCCAGAACTGTTATTCAAGGTAACCTGGTGTGCAGCAGGACCTGTGGAGGTGTGTCTTCAGGTCAAGCGTACTCTGTTTAAAGCAGAAACACTGATGTTTGTTCACATCCACAACATAGTTTATTTAAAGATAAGGACAAAACATCTACTTAGGACTAATCTACAATCACTTCCCGGTGCCTTAAGGATGTTAGACAGGTGATGCTCTGGTGTTCTGAACATCTAAAGAGGTCTTCAGAGCCCCAAACAAACTCAAAGCAGAGTCCACACAGCCATCGAAGTTGGAGTGACTGAAAGCGTCGCCGCCACAGATGAGCGGCGGCTGTGGCAGGAGGGTCATGTGACCCGGACAGTCAGAAACTGAGGTCAACACCTGCCCAAGAAACAAAAAGATGATTAAAAGATCTGTCACCTGAAGAAACAGATTGTCATGAAACAGGGACTCACCTGAGAATACCTCCACTTCTGACACTTGATGCTGATTGGCTGAGGCAAATCGGGAAGCAGACTGTGCAGCTCCTGTAAGATGATTGGCTGGATGTCCTCTTTGTCTCGCTCCAAGTGTTCCAAGCCGAATGGGACACTGGTGTGGATGACAAGGGACGGACCAAGACCTGGAGAGTCTGGGAAGACAGGTGAGGATACGGGTTAATCGGTGAGAAGACAAGTGGACAGGTAAGCCAGAGTCCAAGGAGCAGATGAGGACACAGACCTGCACTGCGTTTCCTGTTGTCCACAGCGATGTAGCGAATGCAGGGGTTGTCTGTGACGTATTTTGCCCCCCAACTGAAACTAAAGACAACATCTGGAGAGAAGAAAAGGGCGAGAGCGAAGCGGGACGAGTATCTGACACCTTCCAACTTCTGCTTCTGCTGAGCAGACATCACTGAGACACAGAGGACAGGCCAAAGTTAGACACTCACCTACTGCACCATGGAAAATTCAGTTTCTACACTTGTCCAGCTGCTGATGTCATACAGAGTTCTGATTGGATAGTTAAATGGTAAATTACCTGTATTTGTATAGTGCCTGCTAGGGTTCTACAACCCCCAAGGCTCTTCACAACACACCGATTCACACACACACACACACATTCACACACTGGTGATTATGAGCTACAACTGCCCTGGGGAGTACTGACGGAAGCCAGGCTGCCAAACACAGGCGTCACCGACCCCTCTGAACACCACCAGCAGATAGGTGGGTTAAGTATCTTGCTCAACGACACAACAGCAGCATTCTCGGCCAGGAGCCGGGATCAATCCTACAACCTTCCGGTTACTGGACAACCTGCTGTACCTCCTGAGCTACTGATGCCCAAACATTTGGTTCAGTGTATGTGGATAAAGATCTAACTACAATAAACTAGTCAGCTTAACTAAAACTTTTGTCTGGTGTCGTTTACCTAGTGGCAGGTTGAAAATTCATGACAAAACTCAGTCTCAACTAGTTAGTTGTGAGTCCTATCTCACCTTTTGAGATAAAACGTGTGATTTTTCCAGGCAGGCAAACATAATGAAGGCCCAGAGGGAAATCGCAGTGATTCCAAAAGACTATTTCCCTCTTAAACAGGTCAAGTGTTTCGACCACATTTCAAATTGTAAATGTTGACATTACTGTCCTCTCAAAGCTGCCCTGGCTCGAGTGGTTTTTTTTTTCTTCCGCACCACAAAATGTTGTTAAGAAAGTCCAGCATCCTTCAGCTGAGGAGCTCAGAACAGTTTACAGCCAGTCTGATCCTGTTTGTTTCTCCCTGAAAGAATTAATTTCATGATTCAGACAAAGAGACAGGCTGCAGATTCCTTCTGCAAGCAAGCAAGCAAACACACACACACACACACAATCTAATAATAACCTGAGTGTGTATGTCAGAGGAAATGGGCGCTGTCCCTGATCAGCCAATCAGAGGACCTGAATGTGACATCATCATTTCATCATTTGAAGAAACAAGGAGGAGCTGTTGTCTGCAGCAACCTGCATACACACCACACTCACAAACACACACGCGCGCACACACACACACCAATTCTGAAGCCACATCTGGACCTGAGAACCAGCTCTCTGGACTCCGCAGCGTCCTCACACATCCACAACACTCCACCTCACTAGGTTTTTATTAAAGGGCCTGTCAGCCAATCAGCGCTCAAGAAAGTGACATAATAGAGAATGCATTGATTCTCTTGAGTGTGTGCATATGTGTGTGTGTTGTGTTAGACGAGCTCCGGCTTGTTTTCTGTCCTCTAACCTCATTCTCTGTGATCAGTGTCTGATGAAAATCTTCCTAATTGAGTTTGTTTGAATTTCAGATTATTATCAATAATCAGTTACACCCACCCATGAGAAGATGTTGATCAAAACAAAAGCAAAGCTGTTGCTGCCCCCGTGTGGTGGATCATTGTTAATGTACTACAGCAGTTTTGATATCAGAACATTTCAGGTGAAAGCATTCCTACAGCAGACATGACCACCTCAGACGGTCACCCGAACCTCTGCAGGTTCATCCAACTTGTAAAGGGTGTGTTGTATCTCTGTGAAGACAGTTTAGACCTGGGGTCACCAAATGGATCCCCCCAGGAGCCCTCTCTACCTTATTTCTCACGTTCCTTATGGAGAAACAATGACGGTAGCAACATCCGGTGAATTAACTAACCCACTGGTTTGCATGGTGTGGTTTTGATGCTGGTAAAGGTTCATTTGAACATTGAAAGAGGATTTTATAAATGATTTACCCTTGAAAAATGTATTTGCGTGACTTGGTAAAATGTTTCTGTGTTTGTGGTTGTGCAAACAACCAGAGAAAATTTCATTTGTGGCTACAAGAGTGATGTTTATAACACGCACCAGGCGGTAAGAGAGTGTGGCTGCAAGCGTCGGTGCAGCTTTCACCACCTCCCCAGAGATGTGGAGCCCAGAGGAGTGTGGCTGAAAAATCTTAACTTGAAAACTACCTCAAACTGTATTTGTGAGTTCCTTTCATTATGTTTCAAACAACCCAGAGAGGAACGCCCGCATCCTACTGTGTTGTTGGATATGACAAACCTCAGAACAGACGCCAGGTAGTAAAGAGATCTGACAGCAGGCTCACAAGAGCAACAGGCATGATTTCATTTGTACAATTTTCTGAATAGTTTTATGTAACGTGCGTTTAGACTGCCGTTACTAACCTAAAAGTGTCCTCCTGCAGTTTGATGTAGAAACTAAAACCCAGGCTTGGTGATGAGGGATTTAAGGCTCTGACTCAGATCTATGTCTACTTTTAGGTAAATAAGATTGAGTCCCATCTCTTTCAACAAAACATGACCAACCTTGTTACTATGTAGGTACTGATAAGCCTCCGAGTTTTTAAGATTGTTTATTGCCTCGCTGTAGCTAAAATACTACTGTATGTTAGCTTTGGACAGATTTTAACATCAAACCCCCCTCTGACTCAGTAAGCAGAAGGAATGTAACGGTGTCCCGCTTGAACTGTGACAGCTGGTGTTCACGTGTTTTCCGTCTCTAAAAGCTCATAAAGAGGATTTGTGAGAAAGGATCGCATCGTCTCAATGTAAACTAATGCGGACCAGACGTTGCTATCATCTTTCATGCAAAGCATCTCATTGATAAGGTGCCGTCACTGTTGTTCTAAAACAGAGCACTTCGCTCTCAGACTGCTGGTTTACTGGCGGTTCCCAGAATATCTAAAAATAGGATGGGAGGCAGATCTTTTAGCTATCAGGCTCCTCTCTTGTGGAACCAGCTCCCAGCTTTAGTCCGTGAGGCAGACACCTTGTCTACTTTTAAGACTAGGCTTAAAACATTTTTATTTGATAGGGCCTATGGTTAAATCTGATGTTAGCCTAGATCTGGACAAGTGGGGGAGTAGAGGAAGGTGGGGTGTACAGTCGGTAAAGATGGCTCTCAACATGCCTCCAGCTAAAAAGCTAGGTTATCCAGAGCTATCTCTGTAGTTATGCTGCTATAGGCTTAGACTGCTGGAGGACATACTGACCACTTTCCACACTCAACTATTTCTTCTACAGTTTGCTCTTTAACTGTATTATTTCCTGCTATTTCAGCTGCTAACTAGATTTTTTTCGCCAAGTGTTTTTCTCCCCCGAAGAAGCTACAATCATGTAACTGATAACTTGGCAGCCGAGGTCTACATAATTTTGGGACCTACAGAGGAATAAAGCTAATGAGTTATAAAGTGAAGCTCTGGGAAAGAGTGGTGGAAGCTAGGCTTAGGTCACAATTCAATTCAGTTAATGTACATAGCGCTAAATTACAACAAGAGTCATTTCAAGGCACCTCAAAAAGTTAAACATTCCAATTGAGTTCAGTTCTTTGTGCCAATTATTTAAAAGTTTCTTACATAAAAAGTGAGTATTTGTGAGCAGAAGAACAGTTTGGGAGTTAAATTTTGTTGCAGATTTAGAGAAAGTGTGCAGCTGTGGTGTATGAGGAGGTGTGGAGTGACAGAGAAGTATGTTGAAGTAGTGCAGAACATGTATGATCGCTGTGAGACAGCAGTGAGGTGTGCTGCAGGAGAGTTCAAGGTAGAGGTGGGACTGCATCAAGGATCAGCACTAAGCCCCTTCTTGTTTGCTAGAGAGGTGGACATATGTACTGGAAAAGAGAGGATTGTAGATTAATTGCAGCAAGACAGAATGCATGTGTGTGTAAATGAGAGGGACACAAGCGGAACGGATAAGTTACAGGGTGTAGAAGTACCTTAAGGACTTAGGATCTATGGTGCAAAGCAACAGAGTATGTGGAAAACAGGTGAAGAAGTGTGTGAAGCAGGTTAGAATGGGTGAAGTGTCAGGTGTGATAAAAGCATTTCAGGTATAGAAGACAGTGGGGAGACCAGCAATGCTGTCTGGTTTAGAGATGTGTCCATGAGGAAAAGACAGGAGGCAGAACTGGAGGTAGCAGAACTCAGATGTTGAGGTTCACTTAGGGAGTGTCAAGGATGGATGGGTTCAGGAATGAGTCCATCAGAGGGACAGCTCATGTTAGATGTTTTGGAGATAAAGTCAGAGAGGACAGACTGAGATGGTTTGGACATGTCCAGAGGAAAGACAATGATGACAGGTACAGGGACGCTGAGGTTAGAGCCACCAGGCAGGAGGCTGAGAGGAAGACCAAAAAGGTGAAAGAGGACACAAAGTTAGTTGGTGTGTAGGTAGATGCAGAAGATTAAACTAATTGGAGGCGGATGATTAGCTGTGGCGACTCCTGAAGGGACATGCCCAAAGAGAAAAGGAGCTTTTTTTTTTTTATCTCAGTTGTACTGATATGGATTTGAAAATAATAAAAGAGCCTTAAAATGTGTTTATTATACATGAAGTTTAGTTAAACTCAAATCTATACTAGTTGAAAGGTCAGTGTTGTGTGCATTAAAAACTTTGTCTACCAACTTGGTAGCCCTTCATACGGCTCAATAATGGTGAAGTAGCTCTCTGCTTCACAAAGAATGGTGACCCCTGCTTTAGCCATGTTCCTACTCAGAGCTCGTCTCCATGGTCAAATGTGGTTTGAGGTGTTAGACTGGTGCTGGGAGTCTTACAGTTTCCCAGGTCTCCTTGCAGCTCCAGGATCTGTGGCACTGGTATCGTCAGGACAACAGCGTCAAACAATTCGCTATCTCCTGCCTTCCTCCGAACCTCCCATGATGCACCACGTTGGTACAAACCAGTCACATGGTGCTCCAGGAACAAATCAGCTCCTGACACACAGTTTCAAATAAATAGAAAGTTGTAATAAAGAACTATTTGATTAATTTCATTTAACAATATTTATGGGTGACAGGTGTGTGTGTGTGTGTGTGTGTGTGTGTGTGTGTGTGTGTGTGTGTGTGTGTGTGTGTGTGTGTGTGTGTGTGTGTGTGTGTGTGTGTGTGTGTGTGTGTGTGTGTGTGTGTGTGTGTGTGTGTGTGTGTGTGTGTGTGTGTGTGTGTGTGTGTGTGTGTGTGTGTGTGTGTGTGTGAGAGAGAGAGATTACCTGAATCAGACAAGAAGTGTTTGACCACACTGCTAATGCCCCGGGGTGTTACATAGTTTTTACTGCCATCTTTCTGTTGCAGACCTTCAATCTGACAGTCAACTGGCTGCAGGATACCAGCAGAGAGCAGCTCTGTGTAGAAACTTAACACACACATGATGAAAGCTTCAATAGCTTCTTACTTGCATCAGCAGCTACCAGGTGAGACGTACCTGTGATGGGAACAAGCGTAGGCTGGTGTTGCTGTGATGTACTGGGCTCCAAGGTCAGCTGAGTGAGAAGAAGCATCAGGAGGACGACTGGTAGACATCCTTCCACCTGACGGATACAAGTTGATCAAACTTTGTTTAAAAACTCTCACATTCAAGAATCAATCACCTGAGGAGAAGCTGAGAAACCTTTAAGATTAGAAGCAGATTTCAATATGTGATGGACATTTTTCTCTTTGCCTTATGGCAACTAAAAAGAAAATTCAACTATTCTGTGAGACAAAATGATGACAGAAAGCAAGGCGTCACCAAAACCTCAAGTGTAAAAGTCCAATCTAAAGTCTGCTTGTTGGTCATCATGATGAAACCTAAAGATAAGTCTGACAGGTGAGTCAGAAATAACTGATATACGGTCAGCTGTCTGGTGAGTTACTATGTAACCAGCTATTAAAGATTGTTTAGAGGCAAGTTTTACAATGGACCTCATCGATGCTTGTGGCTTTTGCCACCTTCAGATGTCCATGTCTGAATGTAAGAATGAGAGTGAACTTTTTCGTTGTGAGTCTTTCTAACAGCAGCCAGACTGAAGTCCATTCATGCGCCGAATTAATGCAAATACCCATCTGATATAAAAGCTTTCTCAAGTCATCTAAGGCGCGCTTCAGTTCGACTGCGAATTCATGAGACCTTAAAATATCAGATTTGTCTATACAGATTTGCATGACACTCACCCGCGCCCCTCGCCTTGTCCCATACAACAATCTGAACTTTATTCTGCAGCTCTCTCCTCAGCAGACAGGCACACAGGCTGCCCGTCAACCCGGCTCCGACTATCAACACCCGGGACATGTTTAGTCATTCAACCGGCCGAGACTGTTCGGTTCGGTTCTAGTCGAAAATAACCGAGTTATAAAACAGAAATGTGGATGGACAACAAAAAACTACCGGGTTTAAATTACATCACTTCCGTTAGCGATTTCAAAGTAAATATGATCGGGATAAAAGCGAGTTTAAACTTGAGGATTCTTTAAGGGACATAATCAAATCACAAAGTTATGAAGCTGGTTTTTATTTTAGATAGACATAAAGTTGATTTTGGACTTTTGACCAATCAGAAGGAGACCTCAACCTCACATGACGCGCTCCTCCCATCAAGTCATGTGACCTCAAAGCCTCTGCACAGTTCTCACAAGTCTACAAGTCTGCTCCAGCAGGACAGGTGAGTTCTGGGGGCTCTTACCTGACGTTTGTAACTGAGAAGGTTGTGTAGAATCGGCGGTTCCGATACAACACAGAACGGACCGGAACCGGGCTCATTTTACAACAAAGTGTCGGAGGCACACCCGTGGGCACAGCAGGCTGTAAAAGAAACTGGTTGTAAACGTGCTACGTCGGCGTGCGATGTTAAAGAGACTACTGCAAGTTTGCACCTGGTCTAATCAGTGATCTAGGGGGAAAGGTGTTTTTTACTGAGATTTTACAAACGGAACGTAAAGTTAAAACATCATAAACAAACAAACATTATTGTCGCAGAAGGTCAGAATAAAAGCTTCATGGTTCTTCCCAAAAGCACTGAAATATTTCAAGACTGCTGTGCAACAGCTGGCCTTTTTTATGTATGTTCTATATAAACACAGTTTTCTTTCTCTGTTTAATTGTAATGTTACAAACATCTTTGGGTTTTTTTCCTGTTACGTTTTGCTCTCGAATCAATTTTGTAAAATAAACATCCACGAGGGTGGATAGCAGCCTGTAACAAAGTAAACAACCAACTAAACGGTAAACAATGCGGGGAAAAAAAAATAAAACACTGGAAACGGACACTGGCAAACAGATGAAAAATGTGTTATAAATCTGTTGAAAATGACAAATTAAAATAAATCTGCCATCGTTTTAATGTCAATAGGAATAAATGACCTAAACTGGTTCATGCAAATGTGTCATTCCTGTAATGGAAAAAAGAGTCTTCTTTTATTCATCATCATCAAGAGTTTATTTTAGAAAGTGTGTGTGTGTGTGTGTGTGTGTGTGTGTGTGTGTGTGTGTGTGTGTGTGTGTGTGTGTGTGTGTGTCAGATGATGTTGTGCCTGTCAGTGTGTGCGTTGTTCCTTTCAGCTCTCGTCCACACCAGCTCGACTGCTGGCAGTCGGCGGTGCACTGGTGGCCCATCAAAGAAGCTGGACCCTGAAGTGGACATGAACATTGTGAGTATACGGGTCGCATGATTCACACCTGAGGTGAGGTAGCTCTTCCTGTTTCCTGCAGAAGGACTGTCAACACAAGCTAAAAGAAGATTTTATTCCTAATCATATTTCTGTCCCCAAAAAAATCCGTTTGAGAAATCTCTGTCAACTGAGTTGTGCATCTTGTGACTTTTCATAATAAAAGCCTTGACTGTAGTCTCTGAGCAGCTGATCTCAGTAAAAACGCAGATGCAGGGTTCAAACCCTCACACAGGTTCCTCTTACATTTGTACTTATTACAGCTCTAATTTCTGAGATGTGTGTCACTTCCTGAAAACTCCATCAGCTATGGTTTTCTGCCTTGGTTGCCTTACGGGTAATGTTCCAGTTGTTAGGCTCCACACCTGCACCTGGACAGATTTGTAAATCTGATCAGACTTCTATCGGCATTTTTCCCCTCTCTGCTGCCTCAGAGGTGCAGGTTTTTTTCTTAATGTTTTAAAGCAGCATCCTGCGGTCTGTGACCCCACAAGATTGCAAGGAGTCCTCGCAATGTTGTCTGTGCTGAGGTTGTGAGGTTACCTTAGTAAAAATGACGTGTAAATTCCCAGTAACATGTCCAATCACCCTAAAACATAATCAAAACGCTGTATAAGAGTTGTACCTCGTGTCTTTATACAGTTAGTAATTAATCACTTTTAATGTGAGTTGGGTTTGGGGGTCCTGGCTTGTCTTTAACACAGGCAAGGGGTTTTTCAAGGAATAATGTTGGGAACCACTGTTCTAAAGTATCGGTTTGGTGTGAGAAGATGAGAAGCAGCAGCATCCAGATGTGGTGTGTGGTTTTTGTGCAGGCTGTTAAGTTTGTGTGTGTGTGTATCATTCAGACGGAGATCATTCTGAGGTGGGGTTACCCTGCAGAGGAGCATGAGGTTCCAACAGAGGACGACTACTTCCTAACAGTCAACAGGATCCCTCGGGGACTCAAACAAACCACAGGTCAGTAACACCAACACGCTGAATGGAGAAAGATTTTGAAATGAACTTTAACCTACCGTGTCATTGCTTAAACGTGACTCATTGTCAGTTTACGTATTTGGACCTTTGGTTTTATTTTAGCAGGCTAACTGATCCTGGTGTTCCACAGGTCCGAGGCCGGTGGTCTTCCTGCAGCACGGCCTCCTGGCTGCCGGCAGCAACTGGGTCACCAATCCTCCCAACTCCAGTCTGGCCTACGTGCTGGCAGACGCAGGCTACGACGTTTGGATCGGGAACAGCCGGGGAAACACCTGGTCCAGGAAACACAGGACACTGAAACCAGATAACGAGGAGTTCTGGAGGTTTAGGTGAGAACATACAGTAGACTATCTGTCAACAGTAGAAGAAGAAGAAGAAAAGATATTTTCTATAGCGCCTCTCAAGACAAAAATCATGAGGCGCTTTACAAAAACAAAAAATTTTAAATATGAAAAAGAATTTAGAAAATGAGCAAAAAATTGACAATCGTAATTAAAAAAATGTAAAGAAAGAGAGAGAGTGAACAGGAAAGAGGGAAATCAGTGGATCCTGAGGAAGGTGAAATAGGTAGGTAGAGCAGCAGAACAAGGAGAGGGCGTTGAAGGTCACACCAAATCCAGCATGAACAGCTGCGTCTTCATCTGCTTTTAAAGGAGACCACTGAGTCCACTGATCTCAGGCTCAGGGGGAGAGAGGTCCAGAGTCTGGGGGCCACAGCAGCAAATGATCTGTCATCTTTGGTCTTTTGCCTGGTGCTGCACAACCAGTAGACTTTGGTCACTGGACCTCAGGGACCTGCTGGGGGTGTAGGGACAGAGAAGATCACCAGTCTACACCAGTAGAACCAAGTGTGGGATGTCTCTTTGTCCCAGTTCATTAGACCTGAACAAATGTTTTCTGCCCTCTAAAATAAAACTTTGATTTTCCTGTTTGGACACCCGGGCTTCTGTAGAATTTAACCTCGGCTTTTAAAGCAGCAAATTTCTGACCGATGGGCGCCAGGCCCTATGATAAAGGTATAATATCTGTACTGTTGTCGCTATGTGTTGGATACACTGTGTATGCTTACGCAGGTCAACAGCAAGCCAAACTCATTCTTCGTGAGCCAGTAAACTGAGAGTCTTGCTCCTTTATTACGGTCTTCTCGACAGCTTACAATCTTTTACAATTGTGGCTTGAATAGCTCGACGAAAGTGCTGAGTGAAAAGTCATTGCTTTCGATGGTGTATATAAAGATTCAGGGCACAGGAGATAAAGTTTGAACACGGATAAGCAGGCTTTCTGTACAATGTTTTTCCCCAACTGACTGCAGCTTCCACTTCCCACAATGCATTGTGAACACAGATTACTCCTTCAAAATAAGATACAGAAAAACTAATGCTGACTGTATAGAAAATATTTTTTAACTAAATGACTCTCTTTTTTAACATCAATTACCACAGATGAAATATGACATTTTTATCACTAAATTATTATGAATCATTTTTAATCTTTAACTTGGGACAGAACAATATCTTTTCTTCTTGGGTCTAGTTATGATGAGATGGCTCTGAAGGACCTTCCAGCTGTTATAAACTATATTCTGACGCTGACGGCTCAGGAGCAGATCTTCTACATCGGACACTCACAGGGAACCACCATTGGTAACGCTCAATTACTGCAGTTTTTTAATTTTTTTTACTTTTCATCTGTGGCATAATCTCATTTTCATTTGTGTATTTCTTCTTTGTTTCTTGTTTCCCAGCATTCATTGCATTCTCCACGCTGCCACAACTGGCCAGTAAGGTTCGTCTGTTCCTGGGTTTGGCTCCGGTCGCTACTGTGGCGTTCACCAGCAGCCCCATGACTAAACTTTCCATCCTGCCCGAAGGCCTGATCTGGGTGAGCACACGATTGATTAAACACGGAAAATTACGATTTATTTGGGTTTATCTGTTGGATTTTACAGGTCCTTGACATTCTTGAACCTATTGTGATTTTTTTTAAGGTTTTGAAATTGGCTGTGGTACAAAAATGTGTACTTTCATGAGAGAAGGAAATGAAATAATTGTTTTGAGCACATATATTCTGTCCATGTATAAGTATGATGTATAAGTACATCAGCGTCAATGGGAAAACTCTGGAAAACTAGCTTAAAAGTGCTTGGAAAGTGTTTGATTTAAATGTTGTCAATGGTGTGATTACTTCATTAACAAGGAAAATCAGTTTCGGTATGAAAACCTTTAGGAGGAATGTAATTTTATAGGTTAACAGTAGTATCTGCTGCTGGGATGTTTATATTTCATTTTTATATCAATAATTTGAGCCATGTTTCAGCTCTGACGATGTGTTCGCGCTCGCCTCCTGCAGGAGCTTTTTGGGAAGCGTGACTTCCTGCCTCAGAGTAAGTACATTAAATGGCTTGCCGAACACGTGTGTGCAAAGACGGTGCTGGACGAGCTCTGTGGAAACCTCTTCTTCATCCTCTGTGGCTTCGATGAAAAAAACCTTAACATGGTTCGTACCCCTGCATTTAGAACAACACAAAAAACCCACTAACATTGAGTGTTTTTATCAGCATGAGGCTTTGGATGTTTGTTTAAGCAACTTTGTTTTATAAAAAAAAAAATTAAACATTGGAGTGTTAAAAGGTTGTAGAATCCAGAAACGTTAAAGCTTTCAGCTTTTTGTTCTAAAATCGGAGCGTCAGCTGCTTCTATCGGCATAATAATCAGTTCTGACCTGAACCCTGATGTGTTCTAGACTCGAACTCCTGTCTACACGACCCACTGTCCTGCTGGGACGTCAGTCCAGAACATGGTCCACTGGGCTCAGGTACCACACACACACACACACACACGTGAAACAACCTAGCAGCTCTTCATGAAAGTGACGCATCCAGTTACACGCTTCTGTAACCATTTTTACTGACTCTTCCTGTTGTTTACAGGCAGTTAAACAAGGAAAACTGATGGCGTTTGACTACGGACGAGAAGGAAACATGAAGCGCTACAATCAGGTGAGTCCAAAACTCTACTCACCAAGTCCAGGTAACACTAGAGTCTAACTTCAGTCTCTGAAACATGATCATGATTGATGTCCCTCTCTGCTTGCATCTTTGTTTTCCTCCCCAGTCTACACCTCCTGAGTATCAAGTGCAGGACATGAAGGTTCCTACAGCTTTATTTTCAGGGGGACATGATACTCTGGCGGACCCCAAAGACATGGCAGTCCTCCTCACTCAGGTCAGTTACAGAGTCACCACTCCCAGTGTGTCAGGTCAGAAGATGCATGCAGCTGTTTGATCTCAGTTTTACTGCGGAGGAATTTTCAGACAGATGTGGTGTTTCATAATAAGCATCTTCAATATGTCTGCATTTAACCACCTGACCGTCAGCCACTACTTTTCCTTTTATCAACCCATTGTTGCCCTGCTGTTTGATGTTGGGACTGCTAGAATCGTTGACCTCGTTCTGTCTGCAGGTCCCCAACCTGGTCTACCATCAGCACATCAAACACTGGGAACATCTGGATTTCATTTGGGGCCTTGATGCTCCTCAGCAGATGTTTCCATCTATCCTGAAACTGCTGCAGCAGCATCATTAGAAAAGCAAAGGACAAGGACACTTTGTCCTCAGAACCTACAGAGTCTAGGAGGTGAAGATGGATGGTTTGACAGTGAGGTTTAATCAGAAGTCTGTTTTAATCTTTTGATCACCAGCAGGCTGGACTTAGGACTCGTGGGCATCAGGATTTGATTCCATTCTTACTTGTTTTAAATTTTTAAATGTCATTGATTTTGTGTATTTTATTGTGAAACAAACTATTATCTGAGTCTCTGGATGAATAATTTGGTTTTAGAGTCACAGCAGTTCTCATCATTTTTAAAAGCACCAGTCATCTCCAGGCTCAAATAAAACAGCATGTCCAATTTGTTTCAGGTCCAGATTCAATTCAGTTGTAATAAAATTTGATTCAGTAGATGAAAAAAAATGTCAGTTTGCTAGTGCAAAGAAAATGGTAGAATGTACTGAATGAACCACTTCAATGCAACAAAACCTGCAGTAAGAAAAGCTCCTTTTTAATCAGGCTCCAAACGGGCAGCCTTCTGTCTACCCGCCGGTGTCTGAGAGGACAGGAAAGAGACAAGAACAGAAGAGTTGCCGTTATTCCGATCACATTTATGATGTAATTTGTTTAGCCTAGAAATCTAGTCCAACTGTAGCAATAGCAAAAGGATTTAGCTCTGCAGGTCAAATTTACATAGGATCGCTTACAGGCTGGTCCTGGAGGTTTAGTGGTTCTTGTTTTTGGTTTGGACTCTGAGCTTCTACAAAAACAAAGGGGGGGGGGGGGGACTGTTCTGGTGTCATGAGATAAAGAGAACTGCTCCTTCAAAGAGGAATGTGTTGGTACTGTGAGACAAAGAAGACGGAACCGAAACGAGAGGAACATCAGAGTTGTGAAACCAGATTAACATGTGATGAGCCTTTACACTGATATTCAGATTAAATACAAACCGCTGGAAATCACTGTGAAATGTCTGAAGACATAAAACATAATCTCATGCCCATCCATCCATCGTCTATACCCAGAGCACCTGGAGAGAACCCGTGCATGCAGAGAGACCCAGACTGGGATGTGAACCCAGGACCTCCTTGCTGCACAGAAACCGCTCTAACCACTGCTCCACCGTGCAGCCTATAACCTCTTGTTCCCACACCAAATAATTTCTGATTTTTAATGGATCAGTTTGAGCTCATTTAAAATGTTATGATGTAAAATGTCCACAAATAATTAAACAAATCTTCATTCAATGACATTTCTGTATTCGCTGATCCTAATGAATCAAATGTGATGCAAAAATATTTTTATAGAGAATTAAACTACACACTAGAATCAACACTGTTTGCTATCAGTTGTTGGATACTGAAAAATGACCAAGCATATTAATCTAAGAAGTCTATATCATACATAAATATCCCGGATACTTATGTATGATCTAAGTTCATACACCAACCTGTTTTGTCTAATTTTAATCCAAAGATTAATGTTTGATTTAAATAGTTAAATTTATAGCAAATTATTTTGAATCAGAAGCTAGGATCTTTGCTTTACAATAACCAGAAATATACCTTTTCTGTGTTTTGTTTCAATAATGAGGCAAGTTTAAAAATGAAGAAATGTTATTACTAAGAATTTTAAACTTAAAGATTTGAAACGAGTCGACAATTATAACCGACAATTCATGGATGACAATTTAATGACAAATTTTAACAGCTTTGATGTTAAACTTGTTTTAAAAGCAAACCTGTGGCTGGATGGAAGCTAAATTGAGAATTACGAGTTTGGATGCATGAATGGAATTATCAGAAAGTTTCTTTCAGGGAGGGAAGAAGCGTTCTGGATGAAAATGATGTTTTGCGGCTAACTTGAGTCTTTCACTTAGAGCATGAAACACATTCCTGTGTTCTACCCCACCCAAATGGGGACCCGGAAATCAGGAGGATGTTGTTCATCCAAGATGACACTCGGTCCGGCAGGGGAGACGCGACTGTCCGATCATCTGGTCCAGAGATGTCGTCGGGTACACAGTTGAGCGTTTGCGGATGGACGTTCTCGTCTTAACTCAGAAATCAATGACTGGGTAGTCTTCGTTAGCTGGTTACAGTTGCGTTTATTCTTAGCTATTCTTGTTGGCGTGACAACAGCTTGGCAGAGGGTCAGGGCGACCGTTCCCGTCTCCTCAGGATGGTGTTGGTTCAAGAACTGGCCTGAAGCTGGTGATGGTTACAGTTTCACCAAGCTCTCAGGACACTCCCGCTCTCTCCCCAAGAAAGCTTTGATCATGCGTCAAAAACGTGTTGCAGTTATCGTTTATCTGGACTCTGTGTTAGCTGGATAAGGTGTACTGACCTTCTTTGTGGAACACATCTTTTACTGTCATCCACCATAATCATAATTAATCATTATTATACCCAAAGCATAGTAATCCATTTCATGTAATTAAAATACCTTTATATTGAACCAAGTGATCATTTATGATGATTATATTAAACAGTAATAAAATCATTTAGTTTTATTAATTATCTAATTATCATCGTGACTTGAAGTGTCCTCCTCCTGGGATGGAACAGCAGCAGGTATGGATATGATCTTGAGCAGACATCGTGGCTCCTTGTTTAATCTGTGGATTTAAAAGTACTGTTTGACCCAGCTGGGTAGATGTGCCCTTTGCCACAAATTAGAGGACCTTCGATGACGCTACAAAATGTTTAATAAAATTCTATGCAGCCTAGATCAATTAGATGTTTGGAGCAAGACGAAGAGGACCAAAACCACAAGATAAACATCCCATACAGACAAAACCTCGATTCATCTCAGACTCAGTTTCATTAGTTCATAGTGTCAAAGTCTGAATAGCAGAACACCAACAGAAAACACTAATCTTGGGTTCAATAAAAATGTGTTAAAATGTAATAAATCTTTCCACTTTTCTGTGTGTTTTTTATTTTATAGCTTTGATGGTTTCTGTAATGTTTCCAACAGTTCTGAACCCTAACATACCAAGGTTCAGAAGGCTCAATGAAATACAAAAACAAAATGGCTAAAATCTACAACAGAGGCAATAATAAATCAGAATAATAGGCATTAAACCTCAAAACTTGTGGTCCATGGTGCCAAAAATTAAGTATTCTGCAGCCACCAATCAAGAGGCTGGAATGGCACTGGGTGGAGCTAACAGCATAGCATTTATGAAACAGAAAATAATTGTTAGCCTAGCCCAGCTCCATGTTCTGTGTTTTGGCATTGATGATCTAAGTAACTAGATCGATTAACATGTCTGTTCATCAGTCAGACTTCCTCAACATGTCGATGATCTTTATGAACTTCAGTCTCCGAGCGACGTCTAGAGGGGTTTCTCCGCCCTGGAAAACCAGAAAAGATCATCACCACCACTGTAATATACTACAAACATTAAACCAAAAATTAGGTCGCAAATACAAACAATAACTTGAACTTTTAGTTTCTATGTTTTAATAACAAAGTAATTGGTTTTGTAGAGCAGGATCTGTAAATCTTTGTAGATAAAAAGCGTTCTGCTTTGTCTGGAAGACAAAGATCTAATTCCCAGGACATGATGGGTTGTTTTCTAGATTTCCTGGTCTCAAAAATAACTTGAGTCCATCATCAGCAACAAGAACAGGATCTGGGTTACTCTGCTGTCGGTCAGGTTTTCTGATTTTTCATCAGTCTTCAGTTTGAGTTAAAACATTAAGATTATGACACTTTTTTTCTTCTTGGGTCTAATTGTTGAGTTGAAGCAGCTTTCAGTCATAGTCATTTTCCTGGTTATTCCTGATTTCTGACAATGGTGTGGTGTACGTACTTTATTCCTGATGTCGGTTTTGGCATCTTGCTGCAGCAGCAGAGGAACTAGACGATGACTTTTTCTCAGACAGACGTAGTGAAGAGCTGAGTTTCCTTTCTGCAACAAAAACACCTTTACTCAGTGAGGAGAAGCTGCAGTCTGATTGGCTGATTAAACATCAGGTTTCTAACTAGGTGGAACACGAGCTCCAGGATGTTGATCTAAAGTAAACAAAGATTTGTTCATCTTTATTTCTCTGTTTGTGATCACTCACATAGTCGACAGCATTGACGTCGACTCTGCTGTTCAGCAAGGTCTTCATCAGCTCCTCACTCGTCCTCTGTTTCTGCAGCTGAAATATGAAAAGAAGATCAACACAACCGGCTTCTGTACGCTATGAGTTTCACTCATTTTAGCACATATTTAAAGGCACACTTGGCAGTTTTGTTTGCTTTTAGCACCCCCAGTGTCCGTTTAGCAGAACCAAAAGTGAAACTTATCTCTTCGCTGTTCGTTCATCTTTTTAATCTAACAGCTGGAATGCTTCCTCAGCCTTCCTTAGTGACTATGGGAGTGGTTCATCACTAAATAAAACAAATCAACTGTGTTCATGATCTAAAACATGCAGGAAACGCGCTGAAAGCAGATTGCAGTGCCAGCTCTATTTTTTTCTGAGTCCAATAGACTGGACCAATACTCTGAAGTTGCAAGTGTGGTATTCTGGCCATTGAAGGCGGTAGGGATCTGAGTGATATTTCATTAATCCTGTAAAGGATCAATTTAGCACATACTGGCTCAAGAAAATGATTTAAAAAGATGAAAAAGTTGCAAAGTATAGCTTCAAACTTCTCTTCCGGTCTAGTTTAAACTCCTGATGAAGTCCTTATCTCTTCTTGTTTACACCCCAGCTGCCAGACGTTCCTGTAATCGTTTAAAAGAGATTCTGATCAACAGTTATTTGGTCAAAGATTTGGACTTTGGTTGCGTTTTCACTCCGTTTCAGTCCTCGCACCTCAACGTTTTCAGAGACTTTTGCTTGTTCAGAGACCTGACTCTGACCTGTAAATCATTCATGTAGGAAAAGGATCCTAAACTCAGGATGTTAGCAGCCATTTTCATGTAGCTATTCACTGAAAAATGACTTTAGGAGTTTATAGAAAACTGTACTAGTGGAGATCTAGAAGAAACTACCGATAAGCAGAATTATCTTCTTTGTTGATTTGATTTTGGGGGGGGGGGGGATTAATTCATCTCTTGGAGGTCAGGGTGGACACTGTGTGAAGGTTCTGTTAAAAGTTCTGATGGAGCTTAATTTCAGTCACTGGTTGGGTCAAAATTGTTTAAATAAAAACTACCAAATCACATATAACTCAAAATCTGCTTTTAAACCACCATCTGCAACATTCTGGTCAGCACAAACCGACCCCTCAGAACCATAACTCAATCGGTAATGAAACAAAGTAGAATCATCTTCACAGGGAATTGAACAAAGAGGAAAGCTTTGGAACATCCTTTAGAACATTTGCAGAACGAATGAGGCTAACCTCTGATTCTACAGATCATCTTTAGGCCTTGATCAGAACATAAATGTTGGCACATGTTTCCTTTTCTCTTGTTTGTAAGTTATTTTGGGTAAAAGCATCTATAAAATAGCATACACGTAAAAAGGACCGTGAATGTATGAGGAGAGGATGCTGCTGTACCATGATGAAGTATCCAAGCAAGAGGATGGGCATCAAGATGGCGATCATCAGGTAGTCCAGAAAAGAGAAGGTTCTTCTGGACACGTAATGAAGACATGTCCTGTGTTTCTGAAGGACACGCACGCAGACTGTTAGACCTCACACAGTCTGGCATCAAATGCAAACATCATCAGTATAAAATACCTTATTGGTCAGGTGGACATTGGCTTTGTTTTTCAGCAGGTAATTCACCACATTCAAGTTACCACGGCGACAGGCAGCGATGAGGGGTGTGTCACCGGTGTGCTTGTCCTGAATGTCTAGACAGGTCGGGTCGTTTTTCAGAATGCTGTAGAGCTGACGGGTGTCCCCATTATATGCAGCCTGGCAGGCTGGCTGAGGGAGATACGGGGGAGGAAAAGGAGAGAGGGGTTGGGTGGTTAGAATTCAGACATGTTCAGCTGCTGAAATCACCATCTGTAAAAAAAAAAAAAAAAAAAAAAAAAAAAAAAAAAAAAAGTTCTAATAGTTTAACAAACTAAAGGAAATATTTTGAAAAAGAATCAAGAGTTGTGTTTTCATGTCATTTCTCTCTAAAGTACCTAAATGTGATCTGGTTTCTGTATGGATGACACCAGTTGAGCCACAAGTCTGGCTTGTTTACGCATACATGTTCTTAATCCTGAGGTTCACATAGAACTCAGATGTTCCTGTGTCTGTCAGGTCTGATTCGGGTAGATCTATATCCACCAGAATCAGAGACTGAATGGTTCAGTGGTAATTATTTAGATTAATTAGTTATCGTCTAGAGTTCACTGATGGACAAATATTAAAATATTACTACAAAAAAACAGATGATATCTTAATTGTTGCAGATTATTTACATCAAATATCAGATCCACTCTCTGGCCTTTATCTCACAATTTGCCTTAATAAATAATAGAACCCTGCAATAAAGTTTATGATCAGCAGACATCATTTAGAAAAAAACTTAATAATCATAGTGACTCATCCCACTACAATAGAAAAGTCCAAATAACAGCTGAAGATGTGACCTTTTTCATGAGGTTTGTGTAACCTCATGAAGCTTTCGTGTTCATTTGGCAGTCATTCCAGCAGTGTGACTGTTAACAGTTCTACTGTAGTAGTCTACGTGGTAATGTTTCTACAAGAATTGCTGCAGTATTCTCAATAAAATCACTGTTTGGTTGATAAGATGCGGCTGGCTTGACTGCGGCTCACAAATGACGGCTCACTTGACCGCGGTCTCAAATGTCACATAAAATTTCGCAAAACCGTTCTCCGGGTGAACCATGTTACAGCTAAATCTCAGGTGTGTGCACGCGACTCGGCTCGAGCTGAAAGCGGTTTAATGTTCTGTCAGAATAAATGAGGTGAAGTGAGAGAACAGAACGATCGTTTGGACCCCAAACTATTTTCCTTACCTCCGAGTAAACAAGCCCCATCACGATCCAACAGCATGAAGTCAAGAGCACACCTGGACTAGTTTTCCGCGAAACGCATCAGCTATGACACTTCCGGTAAAGAAATCCAAAATAAAAGCCTCTGTATACACTTTCTTTTGAATTTTTACAATTTCCTTCAGATTTTTATCTTTATTTACTGAGTAATTTTCTTTGTAGCTTAAATTATATGTTTTATTGAAGATTCTGATTATTATAACTAAACTACAGCTGTCGGTGTTGTTTCCTTTCAATTGTTGTCTTTTATTTCTAGCGTCGTTCATCACTTCCTGTTTCTTTCCATCTAATCAATTCTTTAAATTCAGCTGGAGGCTAAATGTTCAGGTGGCGGCAGGTAAGCAGGTGAGTCATGGGAACACAATGAGGCGCTTAGTCAGATTCACAACTTTAACCCAAACAAAAGGAAACCACGACCAATGACACACAAAGTAAACCGCTGATTCTTTATCCCTTTAATCCGGTTCCAAAATGTTTTCCTTTTTTTTCTAGTGTAATAAACAACCTGTCCAGGAGAGGGAGACAGACCCGAGCTGTTCATTTCTGTTTTTCGAAAGGTGGATTGTGACGTTCTGTTGCATCTGCAGGTTTACGGAGCACCACACCTCAAGGAGCCAGATGCATCACTGGTTCTTCTTTTTTACCCATCAGGATCCCTAGGTACGTTTTATGACACGACTCTAATGTGTGGTTCTTGTTGTTCAGTGTGAGATTGTGAACTTCAGAATTGGAGTAGCCTATATGAAAATCCCCTTTGTGTAAATGGGGTTATATTATTCACCAAAACGTTAAAACTCTTGTGTCAAATTTTTCTTTAAGCTTTAAACAGTTCCAGGAGGGATGAATAAAAAAAATTATAATAATGCTCCATTAAAAAATTGCCTATACAGAAGTAAATCCAGAAGACAAATTATAGATAGATAGATAGATAGATAGATAGATAGATAGATAGATATGATATGATTATTATCAATGTACAAAACTGATTTGGGCCAAAAACATTTAAGGTCAATCAGTCTGAGACTGTACACAAAATTCATAGAAAAAAAAACATCACTAAAGTTTTATGTCTCCAAGAAACAAAGATCCATCAAAACAGCAAAAAAAATCTTCTAAAATCTGGACATCGGTTTCATCTGACGTAGAGGCACATATGCAGATCGGGACCCAACCAAATACCCATGTCCTTGAAAACCTGTCAGAGTGACTCACCTCAGTTTGCCTCCTCTTTGTGAAAGCAGCTCTGCGCATGCGCCTTGCGTCACCGGAAGATTACAGGCACATCTGTGCTAAAATACGATCTTTGAAACCACCATCAGCTGTCTGTGGATCTTTGTAGCTTCACCCAAACCTCTCCTGTCGGAGTTCCATATCTGGTAGGCTATCTGACAGCTTCGGGACCAAAGCTCTTTGGACCGGCTTCGTGTTCCGTTCGGTACCGGGTCTGGACTCACCTCCGCGCTTCTGGGCTCCACGCGTGGCCACGGTCAGCCGGTAAATCTCTCCGCCACAGAACCAGAGCTTTCTACAGATCCTCCAGTAGAATCGAATCGAAGCGATTACATGTCAGCAGGTTCTGTTCGGTTAACTGATCTGAAAGCTACTGGTTGTTCTGGCTTCACTTGTAAATAACCCTTTAACCCTCTGGAGGCAGGTGTTGCAGATTTGCAACGTTAAAACCTGCCTAACTGGTTACTCCACGTATTTCATGAGCATTTTTTAACTCAGACGTACCCCTGAAGGACTCCGTTGTTCGTCCTTTTATCAAAACTTATTTTGAGCCTGAGAGGCTCGTGGAAATATCTGATAACAGCCATTGATAAAATCTGTTAACAGAAAAATGATTAACATCATCAGTCATTCGGTCAGTGAAAAAACCCACATGAGAAATGTTGTTTCTATGTTTGTTTAAAGTAAAAAAAAATCTAATTTAGCTCCATCTGTTTTGTTCATCCATTAAATCCGTTATGAATGTTTGCTTGGTTACATCTGATCTCATCTTTGATATTTAAAAGATAAAAAATAAAACATGTGGTGGTTAAGCAGGCATCACCAACATCAGAAATCTAGACGTATCTGGATTTTGAGTAAAATTTCCCTATTAATTAAACATGTTTTAATATGAGTAATTAAAGAGAAATCGACACAAGTTTATGTTACGATGCCTCATGCTGTTTGTGTTTTTATCAGCATCACTTCTGACACCGTGACAGATCTGGATAAACAAGATCAAAAGTGTTTCAGGGCTTCAAAAACTGTGAATGAAAGCTTTTGATTAATTTAACAATTATAATAATTTATCTCATGTTTACCTATATATAGTTGAGTCTTTGTTTGTAAATTTAGGAACATTTTAGAATTAATTTAGTCATCAGTGTTTTTCAGTTCCTTTTATGGGATAAACATTAAGTGATGGAGAACTTTCCTCAGGTCTGTGTTGTTCAAGATTTCACTTAAAAATGCCTTAAATATTATTTTTAGTATATTTGACTTCACTGGAGGTTTATTGATCAGATATTCAGATGGTTTTACATTTGCACTTTAAAGCAACTTAACGGATTTATGGAAAATATTGTCCTTTATCAGAAAATGGAACAGAAACATGACAAACACTTCAAAACATCTTGGTAACCCTGCACAGTTCTGTTCCCTTTAGTGTTTCTAGATAGAAATGATGATGGGAGTCGGAGGAAGTGGAGGGTTCAAACACCTGTTGGACTTCCTTTCTGAGAAATTTAAAGAATCTGTGTCTCTCATAACACTGCTGTAACTCAGACTGGTCCCACCGCATTCTGAGGTCCGATCCCAGCAATAAGGAACGGAATATGTGCAGGTGACAACACCTGTGGGTGTGAGGCCAGTGGGCGGGACTTTGAGGGTTCTGCTGTCAGTTTGACTTTAGATTGTTGAAAGTTTCTTTCACGTTTGCTTTTAGTTTGAAATTGAAGCCCAACCACTAGTTATGTCTTAACCTAGTTGACATGGTCTATATGACGTGATTTTTATTTGAGTAGCCATGGAATAGTAACGGCTTTAACCTTTATCATCCTCCTGAGTGTCTCGGACCTTTTTTTCCGCCTGAGGCTATGCTTGAATTCCTCAACTGAAGAGCAACGGGGGTATTTATGTTTATGTTTATTCGCTTAGCTGACGCTTTTATCCAAAGCGACTTACAATTTCTAACCTATAGGGCATGTTGCGATCTGTGGGGGAAACCGGAGTACCCGGAGGAAACCCACGCATGCATGGGGAGAACACACAACTCCACGCAGAAAGGCCACAGCCGAGTTTCGAACCTGCAACCTTCGTGCTGCGAGGCAACAATGCTAAACACTGCGCCACCATGCAGCTATTTAATACTCCTTCACACACAAGAAGCACTCCGTGAATTATTGCTGTTTTTGACTACAAACTCTAGTTATTGCTAAACTAAAAAAACAGCTCAGTGACCTAGTGGTGTGAGTGTCAGCCCTGAGACTGGGAGATTGTGGGTTCAAATCCACAGTCGGGTTAAACCACCAAATAGTTCCTGAGCGTGGCTTCGTCTGCAGCTCACTGCTTCCCCAGGTGATGGGTCGGATGTAGAGAACAAGTTTCACCAGTGTGGGATGACTAGTGGGGCTTTAATCTTTTATCTTTGTAAAACATCATTTAGTTTTAGATCTGATTCATTCATAAATATGACTCACGCTGGTTGTTTGAATTTAGATTTTTAACAGAAGTTGGGTATCTCTTTATTGTTGGTGTTATTCTGATTTTAAGTTGATAATCTCTGACTTTAGGCTGACTTGGAACCAGTTCACTTTTAGGTTCACTCTGATTTCATCGTGTTCAGCCTGAAGCCTCAACTTCGACTTGCTGCTTTACTAAGAACAGAAGGACATCGCTACATTTGATCTTTTTATTTGCTTTGTGAGATTTATTACTGCAAATGTGTGATTATTCAACAGATGTGAAGCAAAGTTTAAACACTGGAGGGTTCAGAGAACTGGTCATTCTGGTGTTAGGAGGTTTTGGATGTTGATCTGTGTTTTGGTGCAGCTGCAGAATGTTTGCCTCAACACTAAAAGCTCTTTTTGATGGTTGAAACCTGAACGCTGCTCTTCCTCTTCTGCCCTGTGGCTCATCGACTCTCCTGGTCTGCAGCCCGGATTCTCCCGTTGCTGTGGTGACAGCATCCCAGCCAGACGGTGTTGGTGACCGACTGAATCAGACATTTAGATGCTGGAACTCTGGGAAGTGGGAGCTTGCCCTCTTCTGTTTCACTTTTCTTGTTGTTGGAGAGGGTGACTCACTGCAAAAGTAGCTGCTGGTCGTCGTGGTAACTGAAGGACGACTGATCATCATGATGATGAGATGCAAATGGCTTTTTGTTACAGGAATCTTCCTCCCGAATGTCTGAAATGTTGTTTTCCCAATTTCCCTGCAGTGAAACATCATGGGAGGTGGCAGATGGAGGAGACTGTCGTGGGCCGACCACTGACACATACAAACACTTGCTGACGCGCACACACCGACACACCATGGAGCAGGGCTTCAGCCTAAATTCACTGGTGAGGTGTGTGTGGGTGTGTGGGTGTGGTGTGTGTGTATCAAAAAGTGACTCATTCAGTTTCTACAGCTGGTGTTTTGAAAAATTCAAATGAAATAATTACTTTTAAAATTTCAACTACATTTTGAAAATGTGCTACCAAACAGCCAGAAGAAGCAGCAGGTACGGGTGGAAGGCTTCCCCTAGGCTGGGAGTGAGTTCACGCCTTGAGCGGAGGAGTATCTTGGCTGCTGTTTGAGTGATGGTAGGATGGACTCCGACTGAGGCTTCGTCTGCAGCAACGAGGGCGTTGCTCCGGACTGTCGTGGTGAAAAAGGAGCTGAGCTGAAAGGATCAATTGTTCCGTCCACAATCCAACCCTTGAGATTAGATCAGATGAAAAGAAACTACTTGAGCCAAGCGGTTGAAATGATCTTCCTCTGTAGGGTGGCTTGGTTCAGCACCAGTTAGGTGAGGAGCTCCATCATCTAGGAGCCCAGTGGATCAGAGCTCCTGCTTCTCCTCATCAAAATAAGCCAGCTATGGTTTACCTGACTATATCTCTCCCTGTCTTCCTTCTGGAAGCTTTTTGGTCTCCTACCAGTGGGATCTGATTCACTATAGGACATCACAGAGCAGATCCTCAGCTTGCTAGAGAGATCATGTATTGTACAGGAATGGAAACACACCTGGATTCTACAAGGAGCTAGGTTTCCAGGCTTTTCTCCTGGATCCCTTTCCTCCATGATTCATCCTTGGATAGAAGGAAGTGAATGAATGAAATCCAGCGTCCTCTCCATAATTAAAAAGGCAATAAGCATGAGAGGTACTGATTCATATTGATTAGGGATAGGGTTTGATACATGCAGGGAATGCTATCTTATGGGGGGTGAGCAGTTAAGGTTTCTTAAATTTAGGATCCTATTCAAACTGTTTGCGACTAAGCAAAGGCTTTAACTCGGGGGTTCTCAACAGTGGCCCTGAGGGCGACATCCGACCCATGAGCTACATATTGTGGCCCCCAAGCTGTAATTCTTTAGATTTAAAACAGGCAATGCTGGATTGTACGCCGATTTCCACTTCCAGAGCTGTGCACTCTGAAGGTTCGGCAGCGAGAGTTAAGCATGGCATGTAAGACATGGCAACCACCCCCATCCCCACCCTGTAGATCATGGACTCTCAAAAAGTCAGACCTGTAAGAGAGGTATTTTAATTCCTCTGATTTAACCGAACGTTTAAGCTTTCCTTTAAACTTTTGGTCATATTTAATTTCTGCAGATGGAAAGTTTTGCACAGATCATCTGACGACTGAAAAGCAGTCTGTCTTCTTTCACAATAAAACTGCCAGAATAATTGCAGCAGGTTTTATTGGACTCTAACATTTTTCAGGTAACGTTTATGATCTATGTGATCAAAAGTAAAAGCAGCACCATGCTTGGTAGGTTTGGGTTTATGTCCCTGTCCACTTATCCTCTCCTGTTCTACACCGAGTTCTATGATTATTTGCGTTTTAAGTGTCCTCTGATTCCTCCAAGCTTCCTCTCAGTTTGGACTGAATGCAGTTAATCTTCTTCATGTAAATGAGCTGGGGAACAAATGCTGCATTCAGGCTTTCAGCAGGAGTGGGAAATCTGAGTGTGCTGCCTGGGAACAGAGTCCAGCTGAGATTCCTGCTTGGTGCTTTACCTCACCTTTCTGCTTCAGATAGTGGTATTAATCTATCAGAACACCAACAGAGTCTATATTCAATCTCATCTTTGTTCCGATCTTGATCTTGACCTGCAAGAGAGCGGAGGATGAGAAATGACACATTATTGTCTGATTCACCCACTTAACTAGAGCCTTCTACTGGGACTGGCATCCTGCAGGACCAAATGCAAAACGTGCATGAACAGGTTCCCTTAGAGCTGCTGCAGGGCTGAGCAGGCAGATAATAGTAGATGCTTTTCTGTCCGATGGTAACCAACAACTGACTTTGGTAATAAAATTAAAAGTAAAACAACTAAGGAAAAGGACAAAATCTGATATATGGAAAACATTGTTTGTCTGATGTTTTAATTGCAAAGTACGGCTTTTATTATTGAGGGTGGAGACGGGGTTGGGCTTGAATATTGCGGAGACGTGCAGGAGTGACGCAGTCTGTGGGCATGGGTGGAAAATGGTTAGAAAATCTCCTGGAGAGGATTTTTTAAAAGTCCAGCGCAGGGCTGTCCCGCTGACTTCTGGGGTAAGCTTCACCTCCTTGCTTTGGCCGAATCTTTTAAGGCTTCAGCTGTTGTGATGTTTGTTTGTGGTTACCATGGTTACTACAGCGGCTGCTTTCTATTACGGTGTCTTTGTCTGAGATTAAATGTCCACGTTCGTATGAACCTGGTTTCCTGGTTCTGTTTTCATCCTACAGAAGAAGCTGGCAGCAGAACCGGACTACACCGACGTGTCTCTGACAGCGGCAGAGCGCGTTCGAGCCCTGGCAAAGATGGGATGCTGCGTGGAGATCAATGAGGACATCACGCCCAGACGCTACTTCCGCTCAGGTGTGGAGATGGAGCGCATGGCGGCGGTTTACCTTGAGGAGGGTAGTCTAGAGAATGCCTATGTTCTCTACACCAAGTTCATCACGTGAGTCAAATGATGTCACTGCTGGCTATGGGAACAGGTCTTCTTTTTTATGTGGAAGATTAATTGGCTTCCTGTAATCAGTCTGTTTGTAGAGAAGCTGCCCAGCCACAGAGACTATCAGCAGGGTTCATCCATCCCAGAGAAGCAGCTGATCATGAAGGTAACTCACCTGTGGTTGTTCTCCTCACCACAGATTCTGGAGAGATCTGGTTTAAGAGCAAGCTCCACCTGGTTTTCCACCCATTCCCTATTCTTATATGTACTGCTCAGGGTCTAGGCCCTGATTCTATTCCATATTCCCATGTTCTTTTTGTGTCTGAAGAAACTTCAGGAGGTGGCGTTTCCTCGAAAAGAGGAGCTGAAGAAACGTCTTCAGGAAAAATACAGCAGGGAGCACACCGATTACCTCAGTGCCCAGGTGTGTGGGTGTGTGTACGCACGCACAAATGCATGTGTGTACGCGTGCGCGCATGTGTGTGTCACACGGATAAAGGTCACGATGTGTAGTTTTTTTTTCTGAACTTTAACAGCATTACTGTTATTAAAGCTGGCCCTGGCCCTCACCCTGGGATTGTTCCGACTGTTTCCTCAGAGATCATCAGTGATGGTGGATGGGTGTGGCCAGCAGCTGCAGCGGCTATCCCTATTGGATGAGGAAAGGAGCCGCCTCTCGCTGTTAGAAGAAGAGAAACTACGGGTTGCAGCCCAGAGGCGCATGCAGATCGAGTCGGAACAGTTCCGCTACTTCGAGGACCAACTGAGGCGCCAGGAACTGGCCAGTAGGAGAGTAGAAGAGGCGGAGCCAAAGGTGTCAAACCCTTCAGATAGTTTCTCAACTTGAGTACAACAGAGTACTGAGGACGTGTTCCCATTTCTGGTTTCTCCTCTAGATGGAGACCAAAGTGCCTGAGGTCACAGATGGCTCCTGTCTGTCTCAGCATCCAAACAGAGATGTTGTTTTATCCCAGGGACTGAACCAGAGCCAAAACCGGCCTCCTGCTGCCATCAACCAACCAGCCCCGTCTTTGGCTGGAGTACACAGTGAGTACATGCAAAGACATTCAAATATACACTGATCTGAGTTTTTTTTCTACTTTATAAACCCGTCTGATGCCAAATCTTTGGGTTTTAAAGTGGATATAGTATGCAAAACTCACCTTTTGCATCCTTCTGCACTGCCATGTGGGCCTTTACCGCCTCTATGCACACTTCAAACATGAAAAACCATCCATCTGCTTTCTGTCAGCATTCGGTTTTAGGAATTATGTACCTAAAACAAGCGGTTTCAGAAATTGGCATACCCACCAACACCACCACCTGTCAACACTGGATCAGCAGCAGCTCTACTCCAAGCCCCTCCCTGATGTTTGAGCTGCTCACCTTTTTGTCTGTGCAGGTCAGAGAGTGGAGGGTCTGAGGCGAGTGGTGATTCCCCGAGATCTGATGTATCGGTTCCTCCTGCTGGCCAACTCCAACACCTCCAGAGGAACAGAGACCTGTGGCATCCTCTGTGGACGGCTGGTGGGTTTCCTACCATCCGCAGGGTTTCCTCAGAAGCAGGAAAACAATAAAATTTTCATCTAAATGTTTCTGCCTTTCAGACACACAACGAGTTTGTTCTGACTCACGTTGTGATCCCAAAACAGTCAGCTGGTCCAGATTTCTGCGACATGGAGAACGTGGAGGAGCTGTTCAGTTTCCAGGACCAACAGAACCTGCTGACCCTGGGCTGGATCCACGTACGACAACATGTTAGACACGTGATAATGACAGGTTCACATGTTCTGAGGCTTCAGCTGTGTCACGTGGGCTCCTTCATGACTTAATGTCTTGAAACTTCAGCTTGAATGTCAAGGTCACACAGGGTCTGGACATTTTATCATTTGCTGAGAGAGACGTTAAAACGATTCAAACAAGAGTCAGAGGACCGTTGACATAAAATCTTTTTGTTCTCTTCAACGAAAAAAAATCCCCCATTATTAGTCCCTTGAACTGACCTTCAAATGATTAAGTTTAAGATGAAGTAGGCTCTAATCGAATAGGCAAGGCAGTTTTATTTATATAGTACATTTCAACAAAGGGCAATTTAATGTGCTTTGCAATTGGCGTGAAATGGCACAACAATAAACAGGAAAACACAAATTAAAAATATACACAGATAAAATTATAATTTAGAGCTAAAAGGAAAAGGCAGCATTAAGGTTGAGCAATAATATCGCAGCTTACAGTGGAGACAGATGATGCAGCATCATTCACAGGCTGATGAGTACATTAGGGTTTTGATTTAAACACTAGAGTTAGGGAAGATCTGAGGTCCTGGGGAAGCTGATTCCATCCATAGTAGCTAAAAGCATCTTCACCCTGTTTGGTTCTGACCCGAGGTTCTACCAGCTGATTGTTACCTAAGGATCTCAGAGCCCAGCTGGGTGTATATACAGGAAAGAGATCTGACCTGAATAGGCTGTTTTATTAAAAAAAAAAATAAAAAAAATAACAGAGGGGAATTAATTAAAAAAAACCATGGATGACAGGAGGAAAAGTAGGATTCTTTTTTTAAAATGCAAAAACTTAAAAATCAAGAACTAGTCATTGTCCATCTAATGTGACATCAGAGAGGTCCACAGTCGGATGATTTAAACGATTTCAGGGAGTTATCACACACCGAGTCAGAAAAATGACCTCCGTTGTTCTTTTCATCCCCCTTCATTTGCATGAGCTAATATCACCATAGCAACAGTGACTGCAGTCCAGCATCTGAGGAGCAAGGGAGGGACAGAGACGGGAAAAAATAGATGCAGGTCTCGCTCTGAATTTCTTCTACTTCAGGGGCACAGTTGGGTTCAGTGCAGGGGACCTTCCGGTCCAGCGTAGGGGACAGTTGGGTCTTGTCCTGGAGATGATCAGGTCAATCTCCAGGTTTAACGTTGGGATTGTTAGGTCTGACTTGTCAGAGGACCATTGAGTTTGTCTCTGGATCATGTGGACCGTTGCATGTGGTAAAGCCATTAAACTACTGCAACTCTCTCTTCACGTGTCTGAGCAGAACCTCCCTGAACCGTCTACAGGTGGTTCAGAATGCCTGTGCTCGGCTTCTGACCAAGTCCTCCAAACACACCCACATCACCCCGCTTCTCCTCCAGCTTCACTGGCTGCCAGTCAACTTCAGGGTTCATTTCAAGATCCTGGTTCTGGTCTTTAGGGCCTTACATGGACAAGTACCACCATACATTGGTGGTCTTCTCAGTCCCTACACCCCCAGCAGGTCCTGAGGTCCAGTGACCAAAGCCTACTGGTTGTGCAGCACCAGGCTAAAGACCAAAGGTGACAGACCATTTGCTGCTGTAGACCCCAGACTCTGGAACTCTCTCCCCCTGAGCCTGAGATCAGTGGACTCAGTGGTCTCCTTTAAAAATCAGCTGAAGACTGACTTGTTCAGGATGGCTTTTGCATGATCTTCATCACCTTCCTCTCCTTATTCAGCTCTTGTTCTCCCTTTCCCGGGATCCACTGATTTTCCTCTTTCCTATTAATTTTCTCTCACCCTTTCCTTACATTTTTTAAACAAAATTTTTTATTTCTTCTCATTTTAAACATATTTTTAATTTTTTTTTCTTTTTTATACATATATATTTTTGTTTTTGTGAAGTGCCTCGTGATTTATCTTGAGAGGCGCAATATGAAAGATTGTTTTCTTTCTTTCTTTAAATCACAGCAGAGGAACTTCTGTTCTTTCAGCTATTGGTTTGTCAGTTTCCGACCCCCTGACCTTTCTGCATTGTTAGGTTTGTTTTACCGTAACATAGAATGTGACCTGTAATATTTGTACGGCGTACATTTTAGGACATCCTCAGGTGTCAGTCCTCGGGTCTCAGTTGTCAGACATCGTCTGAGTCGTGGCGCTTTCGGACAACTGCAGGGGAGTTGGGACAACCGCGGTGTGTGTCCCGCATCCCAGCCTCCCCAACACCCCAGCCGCTGTCCGAAAGCGCCGGAGCCACGCCGAGCCGACCAAACTCGGTGTGCCTGTAGCTCGCTGCCCCTTTACCCTGTGCGCCCCGCCAGTTCCAAAACAGCCTGTGCCTATAAAGCGACCCCCACCCTCGACAGGGGAGGCCGTGGTGACTGGGCTGTGGACGGCCAGCGGGAACGGGGTATGGGGACTTGCGAGGTGCGGGACGTGGAGAGGCCTGGCATGCTCCTCCGTCGCCAGGATGTTGTCTGAAAGTGCTGGAGCAACGCCGAGCCGACCCAACTCCGTGCGCCCGTAGCTCGCTGCCCCTTTGCCTTGTGGACCCCCCCCCCCCCCCCCCCCCGACAACACCGCCTGCGCCGATAAAGCGACCCCCCCCAGTTGTCAGACATCACAAGCCTTATGTTTTGACAAAATTTGTCCTGAAGCAGTTTTTCCTGAAACCGGAGGCTTTTTCCCCATGGTCTGAAGTCTGACACCTGACACCTGAGACCTGACAACCGAGACCTGACAACCGAGACCTGAGGATGTTTCCTGAAGCAGTTTTTCCTGAAACCTGATGCTTTTCCCCATGGTCTGAAGTCTGACACCTGACACCTGAGACCTGACAACCGAGACCTGAGGATGTTTCCTGAAGCAGTTTTTCCTGAAACCTGATGCTTTTCCCCATGGTCTGAAGTCTGACACCTGAGGATGTCCTAAAATGTACGCCGTATATTTGTGTTATATAGTGTGTCTCTCAGGGTGTGACCTCTGACCTGTGTGTGTTCAGACTCATCCCACTCAGACGGCCTTCCTCTCCAGCGTTGACCTCCACACGCACTGTTCCTATCAGCTGATGCTGCCCGAGGCAATCGCCATTGTCTGTGCTCCTAAACACGATGAGTATGTCAGGACACACACACACACACACACACACACACACACACACACACACACACACACACACACACACACACACACACACACACACACACACACACACACACACACACACACAGAGGACTTCATTTCCCATCAGACATTTCAGCCTGGGTGACCTCTTCACTGACTCTTGCCCTGTTACAGTACGGGAGTGTTTCAGCTGACCAGTTCTGGGATGACTGAGGTTTCTGCATGCAGACATAAAGGTTTCCATCCTCACTCCAAGGACCCGCCCCTCTTCACGGTGAGAGCGTGTGTGTGTTTAACTTTCATCAGCCAGTAGCATGTTGCGTTACAGTGGAGGCGATTCTGAAACTTGTCTCATTTAATTCCTGCTTATATTTGTAGCTGCTGCCGCCTGCTAATCAATCAATCAATCAAAGCTTTATTTATAAAGCGCCTTCCGCAACCCTGTCAGGAAGCCCAAAGCACTGAACATGGTACAGTTGTAGATAAATATATTGAATAAATCAACAATAAAAGCAATTCAAATTACAAAATACAAATTACAAAATACAAATTACAAGATAGAAGAAACATTCTGGTACAGGACAAATTTGTGAAACACATTTGGATTGAGTGAACCAATGAAAACTGTGAAATAAATTCAACATAAAAGAGGAGCCTAAAGTTAGTTGCTAAAGTTAGCTCTCTGGCTTTGATTCTAAGACACCACCGACCTCGCTCTCTCTCACACACACACACACACACACGCACTTACAGTAGGGTTGCTAACTTTCTCACATACAGGTGAGAACATTTTTTTTATCTAGTATTTCAAAATTAAACATAGGAAGGTTTTTCATTAAAATAAATAAATATTAAAATCCAGCCTCCCTAAAGAATAAAATAGATGTGAATTGAACAGAATTAAAATAGATGATTTTGCAAGAAGCCAATCTCTCTCCGGGGAATAAATTATCTGCCTGTTTTAATAAACTATTTTTAAAATTGTTATTATAATGAATAAACTCATGTTATTTGACTCACCTGTAACTTTCAATAACCATGCCTGCTTTCTAATCTTCTCAGGTGTGTAAACACGTGGTGGTCAGAGACGTGAAGCTGAACCTGCTGGATCTCAGGTGACAGAGCAGGGGTGCTGTCTATCTGCTGCCAGGCTTTTATTCTGAAGAGAAAACTGTGACCCTTCTGCCTCTGTGTGTAGTGAAGTTTCTTGATGTGCTCAGTTTACAGGAGGTTTACTTTTATTGTGTTGAGCTGCCAGCTGCGCACACAAATCTATGATTTATTTTTTCCTTGTGGCTGAGAGTTTTTCCTGCAGTGTGTGACGTGTTTACAGGAAACAAACAAAAATCAGACGCTGAAATGACGGCGTGCCTTCTCATGAAACCACGAACGTTTGTGACAGTCAAAAAAATCTGAATCTAAATTTACTGAATCTGATTTTAACAGAACTTTTAAACCAATTAGTTTTTTATTTTGTCCACATCGGCCAACACACAGGAGTGTTTTTTATTTTTTATATTGCTGTTTAATTATTTTAATAAGATTTGAACACTTTAGTGCCTGAAACTACTGACATTGTCAGTTGGTGACTCCGGTTACTGGATTATTGAGTTATTTTATCTCCTGAATGTCCATCTGAAGCTTGACGTTGTTTAAAAATCAGAACATTAAGGCTCAAATCAAGAACAGAAACACTATCAGATAAAAGTTATACCGTCACAATCTACTGTTTCATTTTTGCATTTTGCCATTTTCAGGTCTGTTTAATTTTTCTTCACAAAGATTGACATGTTAGAAATTAAGTTGGGATTTACTCAGGATGCAGAAAAGCATCACAATAGCTTTATGGTTAATTTTTCTGGGTACTAAAAGTAAGGAGCTAAGATTATTACGTGTGACTTGTACCAAGTATTGTTACTTGCTACATGTTTTGTAGCTAACTTTTGTTTTGCAGCATGAAATTCACATTTTGTTACATGTAACTTTCGATGTGTAACATGAAACTTTCATTTTGTAACTTGCAGAATAAAATCTATGTACAAGTTTCAAATCACAACTCTCAAAACACACATCTCAGTCTACAGTTACAAAGCTCAAGTCTCCATGTACAAAATATTGTCTCAATTCAAGGTTCCTTCCCAAAGAACCAATGACAGGTTTAGTCTTATCAGCCAACCATCTGTCTCGGATATGAAATCCTGCTGTAATTCAAAATGTAAGTTCTTTATTTACATCAGTTTAATTTCTCTAAAAATTACCTCCACCTAGTGGTAAAGCGTGAGAACGCAAGCACGTTTGGTTGTTGTGAGCAGCACAACAGACCTCTGCCCTCTGGTCATGATTGGACAGGAATCCAAGACTCATGATTGGCTGGTCAGACAACGCCTGTCATTGATTCTTTGAGATAGGAAGCTAGAATTGAGACAAACTGTTTTGTATAATATAGACTTGAGTTTTGTAACTGTAGACTGAGATGTGTGTTTTGAGAGTTGTGATTTGAAACTTGTACATTGATTTTTTTTTTCTGCAAGTTACAAAATGAAAGTTCATGTTCTGTACTGAAAGTTACAAATCAAAAGTTACGTGTTACAAAACATGAATTAGATGCTACTACATGAAAGTTACGGTTACATAACATGTAAGTTACAAAACTTGGTTCGAGTTGCATGTAATATTGTCCTGATCCTAGCTCCATATAAAGTTGCGTGTGCATGAAATACCTGCAGACAGTACTCAGGGCTTCAATAACTGCTGCTGTAAAATAAATATTCTACATATCTAACAAGTTACAGTCCGTTTTCTGAGAGTGGAAGGGCAGAGCTAGACAGAACTACTGAATGTTAGTTATTAAATGATGATCAGACACCATCAGATGAATCAGTGATCTGAAAAGTTGTAAAACCACGTCGTATTGAACCATTGTACCATTTTAGTTGAAAAGAAAAACCGTATCTCTGCTCCAGCGATATTTATTAAGACAATTCTTAACTTTCTAAAATAAACCTTAAACTAACCTGAAGTGAAAATGAATCTGATTTATGGAAAATTTTGAGAAAAATTATCTATGAAATCTGATTTTAAATGAGAATTTATCAATAAACATGAAAATATAGTGAAATAAGTTAGAAAAAACTTTTTGATTTAAAATTGATCTGCAATCATTTTTGATTGATTTGAAACCGAACCTGATACGTTTGTTTATTTATTTATTTTTTATTTGCTGTTCAGCCAGATTTTCTTTTTTTAATGTCTTTTGGTTACATTTGGCTGTAAAAATGCCAGCGGCGAGGTGCTTATGTGTATTTTACTGCAGACAAAGACATTTATAATTTTTTATAATTTTAACTTGCCAACAGCTATAAAGACTGAGATCTGCATCAGTTTTTTCAAACATTTATTTAGGTAAAAACATTTTTTTATGTGTAAACAAGCTGTGTATGTGGTATACACTCAGCAGGGAGCACTGCACAGATGACATGTTTTGTTTCTCCTTAAGTCAATTTCACAGGTATAAAATCAGCTGGTTTACATTTTGTGGGCATTTTAAAAAAATTTCCTGAGAAATGTTACAGGAGGACTTTTCTCTATTCTCACTGATGTTTTTGGTGCCATGTTTTCCGATGTGCCGAGTGTTTCATTTTGTTTGAGAAGCAGATTTGAGGTTTCTCCTTGTGTGTTCTGGAGCTGACTGCTGTTTTAAAAACAGGCAGCTGATTTTCGGTAATAAAACACCAACTGCTGCTCAGACCTGCTCAGTGTTTCTTTGTTTTATTGTTTTACGTATTTCTTTATTCAAATTAGCAAACACATGTTGATGATTATTGGAAGAAAAGAGCGATTCAAAATTGACGTGCGTGCATGTGGTTTTCTATTCTATTTTTGTTAGTGTCTGTTTCTTGATTTTCTCTCCACACTCCTAAGTAGACCAAGAGAGAGCAAGCAAAAACACTATTTGCTTTTAATTAACGTTTAAGCTTTCAGGTAGGACATCAAAGCACTCTGATTGGCTATAGTTGCACCACTCTGCCCTAACAGCAGAGTAAGTGTCTATTATAAATTAGATTATATTAAAATCCCCTCCTGCTTCCTTCCTCGTCCACTTAAGTATCCTCCTCCTGTTCCTCCTACTGTTTTAGACCAGTTGGCCAACCTATTTATTTGAGCTGATTGCTCAGCACACTGACTGGGGCTAATTGGCCATCCAATCAGCAGAAACAAGCCCAAATGGTAAAAGTCACTGCTTGCTGAATTACCTTCTAATATAATGGCTATTAACAGTGAATGATCAGTCACATAATTGAAATGAACAACCAAGTTGTTTCAGAGCTTTTTATTCTTCTGGGTCATTCAACTCCTGTTCGTATGGTTTACATCCTTGAGGCCACGCCTCCTGCTAGCCAGCCAGAGTTGAACCATGCTGGGACATCACAACGCAATGCAAGTGTGCTCTGCTCCCCAATGGTGGAAGGAAAACACTAGCGAACAACATTCAAGCTTTACTCAATACAAATTAAACAGTTTTTGACGAGAGAACAACATGGAGGAGGGAAGGGGCGGGGCAAAAGGAGGTGTAAATGGCAGAGTTACGGAAGGTGTACAAGTAGCACATTCACAGTTTTAAGGTGAGCAAAAGGAGGGGATGTTTGAGCTGAAAATCTCCAACATTCTGTATATTTAAAGCTTAACTTGGCTAAACATGACATCACTTCCTGTTAGGTGTTTCAGCATCTTCTTGCCCACCACAGAAACTCCTGCTGCTGTTTTTGGAGAGCTGACTTGGGGTCTGTTAGCTGGTGCTCAGTGCAGGTTACAATAAAGGCAGTGCTGAAACTGAAGAGGGGCTGCAGAGCACAAACGCCAGGTGGGTTCTTCAGAAACACTTGCGGTGGACGATGGAGGGTCCAGCCTCATCATACTCCTGCTTACTGATCCACATCTGCTGGAAGGTGGATAAGGAGGCCAAGATGGAGCCACCAATCCACACCGAGTACTTCCTCTCTGGAGGGGCGATGATCTGAGGGGTAGGGTTTGAAAAATGTTAGTCACCCTGGACAAAGCCCCCCGCGCGCACACACACACACTCACACACACACACACACACTCATACACTTACACAAAAGAGCAAGTAAATTTTACTCAGAGTAACATTTTATTGTTACTTTTCAATTTTATTGGAATTTGGAGTTTATCTTGAGTAGGATTTCACCAGAGTAAAAGTACTTGAGTGCAAAGTGTTTTTTACACCTCTGGTTCTCAGTTATTATTCAGCATTCCTCTTCATTTCCTACCAAAGTTTTCATATCCTCAGTCAGAACTTTTGCGTGAACAGGTAGGTACTAGCATTCCCTCTGCCTGAATTTTAATTGTGACTCCTGTGCTCAATAAACATGATTTATGACCTGAATGTTTTCAGCCTGTTCGTAATGGATCACGAAGGCAAACAGCAGTACCGAAGCAGACGGGTCAAAGGTCATACCTTGATCTTCATGGTGCTTGGAGCCAGTGCAGTGATTTCCTTCTGCATACGGTCGGCAATTCCTGGGTACATGGTGGTTCCTCCTGACAGAACATTGTTGGCGTACAAGTCCTTACGGATATCAATGTCACACTTCATGATGCTGTTGTAGGTTGTCTCGTGGATTCCAGCCGACTCCATTCCTGCAAGTAGAGCAACATCAACACCTGCTGCAGTCGCATCTTCTGTCACTGCTCATCACTAACTGGCTCATTTATAGATTTATAAGATTTAACTTCCTTTTCAATTATAAACAAGCTAGGTAATAATGGATAAGAAAACAGACACAGGCATGTAGACAGATAGAAAGACTGACAGGTGAGCAGTTAGACAAAAAGGAGAGCAAACAGACAGGTAGATAGATACAAAGGTAGACAGACAGGCAGATGTGAGAGTGTCTGACCTATAAAAGATGGTTGGAACAGCGTCTCAGGGCAGCGAAACCTCTCATTGCCGATGGTGATCACCTGACCATCAGGAAGCTCATAGCTCTTCTCCAGAGACGACGAGGTGGCTGCTGTTGCCATCTCGTTCTCGAAGTCCAAAGCCACGTAACACAGCTTCTCCTTGATGTCGCGCACAATTTCCCTCTCCGCTGCAGACAGGTGAACACAGAGAGAGACAGACAGGTCAGAACCATTGTCATCTGATGTGGAGGGAGTGTGTCCCGGTGCAAACATCATACCAGTGGTGACAAAGCTGTAGCCTCGCTCAGTCAGGATCTTCATGAGGTAGTCGGTGAGGTCACGGCCTGCCAGGTCTAACCTCATGATGGCGTGCGGCAGAGCATAGCCCTCATAGATCGGAACATTGTGGGTGACGCCATCACCGGAGTCCAGAACGATACCTGAGAATAGACAGATAGTTCTGTTCACAAATATCAACAACATGAGAGCAAAAGTGCATTTCCATAATCAAAGCATCTAAATGTTTGTTTATCAGGGTGAAGAGTTTTGGTGTGGTCCAACCTGTGGTGCGTCCGGAGGCATACAGAGATAGGACAGCCTGGATGGCCACATACATGGCAGGAACATTGAAGGTCTCAAACATGATCTAAATGGAATAATAACCTTGTTGTTATTTTCTTGTTTTTTTATGATTTGGTTTTGAAATGTTCTGTGACCGAATTAAGAGTGGAGGTTCTACCTGGGTCATCTTCTCCCTGTTGGCTTTGGGGTTGAGTGGTGCCTCTGTCAGCAGGGTGGGATGCTCCTCCGGAGCCACTCGTAGCTCGTTGTAGAATGAGTGATGCCAGATCTGACCAATCACAGAGCAGATGCAGGTCAGAGCTAGCCACTTGGGTGTGTGTGCTTCTGAGGGTTTGTCAAACCTTCTCCATATCGTCCCAGTTGGTGATGATGCCGTGTTCGATGGGGTACTTCAGCGTGAGGATTCCTCTCTTACTCTGAGCCTCGTCTCCCACGTAGCTGTCCTTCTGCCCCATACCCACCATCACTCCCTGGCAAACAGACACACACACATGCGTCACCTCTCACCTATCTGATGGATTTGAAATTGATCTATGATCGTAGGTCATTCTTCCATTACCTGATGCCTGGGTCTGCCCACAATGGATGGGAAGACAGCTCTGGGAGCATCATCTCCAGCAAACCCGGCCTTACAGAGACCAGATCCATTATCACAGACCAGAGCGGTGCTCTCCTCATCATCACACATGGCTGCAGAGGGTGCTGTGGACAAGCGATGAAGCTACGACACCGAGTCACACTGGGAAAAACAAGACAATACTTTAAACAAGGTCTCATCTAACCAGGTAACAGAACCTGCTCCTGTAGGAGCCAAGAATCTGTTACCGTGGTGACAGAAACAAGTTTGCAGCATATCTTGCCATGGTAAAGAGCAAAAAGGTGGGTTTACAGCATATGTCGCCATAGTGACAGAGTCAGGAAAGTGTCCCAACATCTGTTGCTATGGAGATAGATTTTGGTGGGTTTAGAAAGAAAGAAAGAAAATGATCTTTTATATTGCACCTTTCGAGATAAAAATCATGAGGCACTTCACAAAGAACAAAAAATTTAAATATAAAAGGAATGTTTAAAAGATAATTAAAAATGTGTTTAAAATGTAAGGAAAGGGAGAGAGAAAATGATTGCGAAAGAGGAAATCGGTGGATCTCGGGAAAGGTGGAACATGTAGAAGAGCAGAATAAGGAGAGGATAGTGATGAAGTTCACACCAAAGCCAGCCTGGACAGGTGAGTTTTTTGCTGCTTTTTAAAGGAGACCACTGAGTCCACTGATCTCAGGCTCAGGGGAGCGAGTTCCAGAGTCTGGGACCACAGTAGCAACTGATCTGTCACCTTTGGTCTTCATGGGATCTGTTACCATGGAGACAGTCATTTAAACTTGTTAGCTGTAAAACCGCAAGATACTTTACCACACTTGTGAAGATTTTTGCCAGAAATTGCTTCTATGAATCCAAACAGCAGTGAAGTTTGGATATTCAATCAGAGATATAAAAAATAAGACATTTTGTTTGAGCTTATACCTGTTCTAATGAGTTTAGGGTTGAATCTGTATATTATCAGCTAAGTTCAGTGAAGCTGAAGTTCATAACGTATCCTTAGCATGATGACTTCTCTAAACTGGTCCTACAGGTAGTGTCTTTGTTTTTTTTTTAAAAACAAAAATATTCTATTTCTGTAAGAGAAATCAAAGTAAAGTAGATCAAAGAATGTTCATTTTTCTAAAATTCTCACTGTTGGTAGGGTCTTCACATAGCCTGGCAAGCCAGACTAAATAAATATGTTATTTGCAAGGCAAGAATTTGGTCTAGTTCACTAGGCTAGTGTTCACACCCAGATGGATCAAACTTTAGAAAGCAGAATTTTGTAAACGCTGCGATGAAATAGCTCACAACTGACCTGAATCCAGCTGAAACAGTTCACGGTGCTGCTGTTTCCAAAAGGAATGTATAAACCGTTTTATCAGAACATACGAGTAAGAGAACTGTTGAAAACAATCAAATCTGTTCATAAACTTCAACAACCAAACCTCCCAAAAAGCATCTAACAATTTTCATCTAAATTCACTTTAAAGGCAGAAAATCCATCACTTCTCTGCAGCATCTGCATCACCAAAGCTGGAGCTGAGAGGTGGTCACATGACCACACACACACACACACACACACACACACACACACACACACACACACACACACACACACACACACACACACGTCTCTCTGGGAAAACTTCCTATTTCGGTCATGAAGTCAAGTCCTGTCAGTGTTTGGTATGCTCTCTCTCCTTGTGTCAGATATAGCTTGCTCGCCCTAGCTCCTCTCCATCTGTTCTTCCTCGTCTCTCCTAGTCTTTATTTCCCTGCAGACCACTTTACTCCTTATTTAGTCATGAACATTAGGAATCAAATATTTCTGCAGTTTCTGCAGCAGGCTAGGCTTTGCCTAGTCCTTTTTCATTCCTGTGATTTTTTGGTGTATTTTTGTGTTTTGCTCTGTTGCAGCAGTTCAGCCTAATTTAGAACACACTGACATTGTTTATAAGTGTGTTAAAAGTGATTTTGCCCATAACTTTTCCTCATTTCCCTCCTGCAGCAGCTGTTAGCCCTTCTCAGAACCAGTGCCACTCATTCACAAATTCAAAGGACCTCTGGCCTTCAAGCAGCTATAAGAGTAAAGGATTGATACTTTCTCAAAAACCTGCCAAAATGCAGTTCTTCATGTCTTCTGTCCTCTGGTGGAGGCTCTACAGGTGGGAACGGCTCGTTTGATTGTTCTCTGGTGCGATGTTGACATATAGCTTGATAAAATAAAACTATTATGCAGTTGTTATAAAAATACCACCTAATAAATAGTTCAGTTTTAAAAACATTAAAACCGTTATTGATATTTCTTATTACAGTTAACGTCTGACTCTGATCTTTGTAGAAGCTCAAAATCCATTTAAACCTTAAAACTGAAGTTAATTCTTGTGTATTTTATGAAATTACAAAAACATGGTTTTTCATTACACCTAATAAATGTAAAACAACATTATCTGAATGCAATAATATTTTTGTAGCTGTTAACTTACATTTGTACTTCAGGACTTATAGAAACAATCATCAGGTGCTTCAGTCATACAGCAGGGAGTGCTGCAGAAGCGTTTTCTGTCTAAAGAGAACAAGTCCAATAAGAAGTCATGCGATTTTTAAATAACCTCCTTACATTTATTTTTGCTGTTCTGTTTTATTATGTGGTTTTCATTAGCCATAGCTTTTATAACAGTTCTGACTTGATCCGGTTGAACTAAATCCTCCGTCTGTGTCAGACCCAAACCATCCTGAGTCCAGTAGAGACTGGCTGAGTCCCAGATGTTTGAACTGAAAACTAGTTTCAGTCAATCTTTCTTTATTTACTTTTTGTTATCAGATAGTGACTGGTGTTGGGACCTGTTTTTCCAGAACAGTAAAACAAACAAACAAACAAAAAACATTCAACTGAACAATATTCTGCCTTTTCTAAAAGACCAACTGACTCTGATTGGCTGTTGGGGCCCGTGGGACAGGGCACCTCCACCAAAAACATTTCCATGAAATCCAGAGAACACATGAAATGCAGTTAGTTGGAAATAATTGAATAACAATCACTAGAAATGTTCTGAAGAAATGACTTTAGCCCAAAAGGTTCATCAGGACTGAAGTCTTGTAAGGGGCCGCATGGTGCACTTGGCAACACTGTTGTCTCACAGCAAGATGGTCACAGGTTCAAATCCTGCCTGCGTGCATTTCTGTACAGAGTTTGTATGACCTCCTCATGCTAGCATGGGTGTCACCAGGTGATCTAGCTTCCTACCACTGACTGTAGTCCCTAAGTGAGCGTGACTGGTTGGGCGTGTCTCTGTGAAGGAATAGTGACGTGTCCAGGGTGTCCCCCGTCTCTTGCCCAATGACTGCTGGAGTTAGCTCCCTGCAACCCTACTGAGGAGTTAGCAGGACAGGTGACAGATGGATGGATTGTTGGGATATTTCTTGATTTTAAAAAATTGTAAAACATTTTTGTTTGGATTAAAGTAATCAATGGATGTATTTTAATAATTTACAAGTTGTGTTTAACTTACTGTCATCCATGTCCAATATTGACAAATTAAGCAACTCAGAAGAGCCTCTCAGTTTTCTCCTTTAGATTAATTAAAATTAGATCCCGTGATTCTCCACATGTCGTCTGATGCTGTAGGATAAACGATCTGGTGAGAAAACTGATAATGCTTTTATAGAATGTTGGATTTGTTACAGGTTATCATTTTCATCACATATAAACTTCATCTTCAGGTGATCTCAGATTTTTGTCAGTAAATACAGTTCGATCACGTTTTTTATTGTACACCACAGAGAAGTTAGAAATATTTAATTATTTAGTTGTTTTTTGTTACCTGAACAATGTGTTTAGTTTGGTTTTGTTGGTTTAAAGCAAAGAACAGTCCAACTGGACCTAAAGATCTGCTGCAAAGAGATTTGTTTCCCATTCATTTTCGTGTGGTCCTCAGTTTATGAGTGTGCCTGTCAGTTAAAACTCAGGGTCCCATGTGGGAAAGGAACGAGAGCAGTTTGTAAGAAGAGGACAAACCCATGTCAGATTTTTAGTTCAACAGTTTAAACAAAAAACTTCTAAACAGAAAAACTCTGTGTGAGGAGAGGAGGAGAGGTGATGTGAAGCAGGAGAAAAACTCAAAGAGGTAAAACAGGAAAAACAGGAGTGGAAATAACAAAAACTAGACGTAGGAGTAGGACAAACTATGGTTTACCCTGAGAGGTGATGAAAGAGAGATAGAGATGAGGAGGTGATGACGAAGTGAGGAGTTCTTACCGTGGCAGATCAGGACCTGTGGGGCTGATGTGGAGGTGGGGGCAGGACAGAAGTGGGATTCTGAGGTGCTGTGATGGAGTTTATCAACCCGCCTCCTCCTCCCTCCATCCTTTCATCCAAACAAGGTTGTGGCCTCCTCCTCCCCCCCTCTGTCTCTCCAGCTTGATTCCTTATAGGGCAGGGCCTGAGGGAAGCAGCCAATCAGACGATTCACAGAGCTGCTGGACTTTCTTCCATCATTCACTGCATTCCTCTGAGAGGCAGACAAGGCACAGCAGGAAGCATCTAGAACCCACACTGAAGTAAAAGTATTCAGTCACAGGTAGGAGTTTCACGTTTTAAATGTGGACCCTGACCTTCTGAATCTCAAATGGAAGCATTGTTTGACATGTTACATTTGAGTGAGATGCTCACTGACCTACAGACTCAACAGAGGGACCATTTCACATTCTTTCTACATTTATTTTACTTTAAATTCCCGACAGGAGACCTTTGTTGAATATTTGCAATACAGAAGATTTTGAAGATAAACATCAGCCCTTTAGTGTGATGATCATCACTGGAACGCGCAACATGCTACAAATGCTTCTGGTGTTTTCCTCAGGAGGCTTCCAGATGTTAACCAGTCAGAGGAGAGCGGCTTTATTAGTCTTTATTAAAACTGATCATATTTTTGTATGAAAATAATTTGTTGACTAAACTCCATGGTCCAGTGGTGTTAGAGCTAGAAGGTCCTGCTAGCAGGATGTCCTCTGATCTGAGGTCAGGCCGGGTCTGGCTGGCTGTGGTTTGGGCTGACCGGAGACACGGAGTGTGTCTGTTAAAGGTCAGACGGTGTTCAGTGACACTGTCTCACACCTCAGTCATCCCCAACATCCTCTTTTACAATCACCTGCCTATCTATGGAGATAATGTTAGTTTATCTGACCAACAACTTCAAACCAAAGCAAGTTTAGTTTTGCGGAAACGTGTTATGGATGAATCTGTTTTGTAGCATCTAAAGGTGCTGCTTGGGTACTTTTACCAAAGTCTTTTCATTTTTCTTACTTTTATCAGATTTCTTAAAAAGCATTGTTTTGCAGATTCAGATGATTATAATGTATTTCTTTTCTGATGATCTGATTATAGTTTTATCATTATCGTACCTTTATGAGCTGCTGCAAGTCATAGTCAGTTTAATATCTATGGATCCAAAGTGATTTACTGTGTCTGAGAGGGTTTTCATTTGGATGTTAACAAGTTTAGTTTACTGAAGCATGAATGCTGCTGGTGCTCAGGAACTCATCGCCTCTGAGATGCAAGTCTGTAACGTGGCTGTAAACACGTTGTGCAGCTGACTTGTCCAAGCTTCAACCCTTCAGGGCCGAACTGGTGTCATTCTCAGCTGTGCTGCTGCCGACTGATTTACACTCATTACCAGCAAAGTACAAATGCACAAACGTATCGTGTTCCAGACCAAGAAGCTCTGCCTGAGTCAGATCATCAAATTGATCCTCAACAGTCTCAGAGCCAGCCAAGTCCATGTTACAGATCTGTTAGAAAACTGATCTTAGATCTGCTTTCTGACTATAACCGACTTCACTTGTATACTATCTTTCTGAGTCAGGGGACTCCAAAGCGTTTTACATCACAGTCATTCATTCATCCATTCACACACACATTCACATCATGGTGGTGGTGAGCTGTATTGTAGCCACAGCTGCCCTGGGGCACACTGACAGCTGTACACAGGCACCACCGGTCCCTCTGACCACCAGCAGCAGGAAAGGAGGGTAAAGTGTCTTCCCAAGGACACAACGACTGACATGACTGCAGGAGCTTGGGTTCAAACCTGCAAACCTGAGATGAGACTGATTTTTGATAAAATTCCCTGGGGTCCATTTATTACAGTACTTTATATCCGCCTCTCCTCCACGGTCATGCTCACGCACCCACACACACACACACACACACGCACCCACACACACACACACACACACACACACACACACACACACACACACACACACACACACACACACACACACACTGTATACATCTGAAATGGGTGCCGAAAGGGTGACATCATTAGTTTACATGATACAGACAGCAATTCCCATCTGAGGACATTTCCAGACATCTTGAACTCACACAGCCGTCTCATCTGTTTGATGTTAGACATCACCAGGATATACAACATGGTCCAATTTAAACTCACAACCACATCAGAACCCTCCAAAAGACTGTTAAAGGATGGTCCCAAAATGAAGACATTGTCCCCATAAAGACTGCATCACTGCCCCGCTGTCCCATAAAGACAGGCTGACAGAATCACGATCAGATCCATGTTGGGATTTAAGCATTGAGATTCTTCACAGAATCAACATTTTGGCCCATTTTCCTTAAAAGAAATTGATCAGAGTTGCACCATGAAAATCAGAGAAACCTGCTGACCCTGATAAACTTAATAAAGCATCATTTTGGGGTAATTAACACCATAATATCTAACTTGAGTCTTACTTAAAGAAGGAAATAGTTGAAACTCTGCTACTTCCCCTCTGCTGGTCAAAGGCACAGCAAAAAATACTGATGGATCCAAGAATGAATCAGAATCTTTTCTACAGACAGCATCATGGCTTTATCAGACTGAGATGAGATCAAATTAACTCCATAAGTACACCTGATCACAGTCATCTGCATCTTAGATCCTATCATATGCAGATGGATCCGTCTGGGTGTTGAAGCATTATTAAACGAGATCTGTTCGGTTCTAGTATCAACCAGAATAGAACCAAAGTGAGTTTGGTCTGAAAACTGGAGCGTTTTCATTTTGTGTCAGTCACTGTCTGACTCCCAGAGAAGATGATTTTACATCCTTTTGGATCGTAACCTTAAGTGAAACTTTGTGTACCTCAGATGTATAGTAGCTAGCTGCTACTGAGCCCTATTGTGGTTTTAGACCAGACTGGAGCAGGAATGTTTCTGAATGTTTCTCAGCAGTGTTTTAGAGTAACAGGTTTTCCTTAAAAGGATACTTTACTATGAAGGAAACCCAAACTTCCAGGATAGACTCCGCCTCTTGATGCAGCAGAGACTCCACTTCCTCTCCTCTCTGCTGTGGACTTTAGGAAAAATATGTATAAGACAGAAAACGTCGAGTGAGATAAACAGAAAACAAGACGCAGCGAGGAGATCCCCATGGCTCCAAATAAGGCAGCCGGTCAGTCGTGCTCCTCCTCCTCCCTCCTCTTTTTCTTCCTCCTCCTGTAAGGAGATGCAGTCTGATGGGTGTGGTTGTTCTGACCTGCAGTGTTTCTGATGTCCTTGTTTAGTTGTTCTGTCTTGTTCTATTCAACATTTGACCAGGCTCCTCACGCTCTATTCTCAGAATAAACCTCCATCGCTGTGATGGGGCCCCCAAAACCAGGAGTGAAGAGACCAGAGGACCCGGTGTGACCCGGTGTCTGAGGCTCAAGGGTCAAGATCCCAGGAGCTACGAATCCTGCTGCATGACAGGAGGGGATAGATCCTAGAGCCCAGTAGCCAACAAGCCGGAGGGCCATGACTAGATAGCTGAGTGACCAAAGACAGTAGGGGCCCCCAATCTTCACCACAGAGAAGGAATGACACGTTTCTCATCCTTCACAATCAGGCTGGGGTGCAATGGTGTAAAGGATCTATGATGATAAAATATGTTTTCTTTTAAAAGCAAAGTGACATTTTGAATTGGACGATCAAGTCAGAAAGACTCAAAGATAGAAGGTGATGGATGTTGATGGTATAAGGTGTGTGTGTGTGTGTGTGTGTGTGTGTGTGTGTGTGTGTGTGTGTGTGTGTGTGTGTGTGTGTGTGTGTGCGCGTGTGTGTGTGTGTGTGTGTGTGTGTGTGTGTGTGTGTGTGTGTGTGTGTGTGTGTGTGTGTGTGTGTGTGTGTGTTTCAACTCTGAAGCTCCAATTAAAACCTTCTGCTTGACTAAAATGTGATGGACATCTGAAATTAGAGTGGTGGACCTACTTTGTTTTTGTTCATTCAAGAAATCACACACACACACACACACACACACACACACACACACACACACACACACACACACACACACACACACACACACACACACACACACACACACACACACACACACACTGCCTGACACAAACCTTGACCGAAAATGGAAAAAACAGCTGGAGCCCTTACAGGGATTGAAGCAGTTCCTGACTGGTTGTCTAACATCAACACACAGCAAGTCGCACTCAGCCAGCTAAGGAATCTCTCTCTCTCTCTCTCTCTCTCTCTCTCTCTCTCTCTCTCTCTCTCTCTCTCTCTCTCTCTCTCTCTCTCTCTCTCTCTCTCTCTCTCTCTCTCTCTCTCTCTCTCTTCCACTTCCACCCTACCCCCACCCTCACCCCCCTGTGTGTGTGTGGTGTTTCGGAAGGATAGCTGTGATTGGGTACAGGAGCCTGTCAGATGCTATATTGGCTTAAATTCACATCTAGACGAACATCCAGAATAAAAAAAAATAAGCAGTCCGAATGACAACACTGTTAGCAGCTCTCTAAAGCAGCACGTTTTTGGTATTATAAATCAAAGGAGTTAACCTCTGGTTCTTGCTTTCCCTTGCTGGTTGGGTGCAGATGTTGCAGCTCACTGAGGAGCGTCACTAGAGCAAGATCTTTGTTTTCTGGATTTTCTGTCTTTAGCTTTGTGCAGAAGACATCTGAAAACGTGTCCAGAAAATAATACCGATGGCTCCAATCAAGTTTTACGTCTTTGAGATCCAAGACAAAGTTAAGTCACAAGCCTCTGAGAGCTAAAGCTGATGTAACTGTGTTTAGTAACCTGCAAAGGGCGCTGTTAGACTGCTAAAGATTGATCGCCATTTAATGGACTGCTGAGGCTTTCACCTTCATTTTTCTCAGGGTTTGAGTAGGCCTATGTGAATAATCTGTCATGTCAAAAGGTTTTCAGTATAATTACAAACAGGAATGTCAAAGGCAATCCATCTGGACTTAATAAATGTTTATAAATCAAAATGGAGAGTTCAAAAGTTTAGGTATTTTGACAATATACATTATATTGTACTGCTGTGTATTCTGTATGTTAAAATAATTTATACATTTTTGAAGCTGGTGTGAAACAAGAGCCTCAACTTTCCTTTTTCAGTTTCAGTTTCC